AAAAAGGGGGGGGGGGGGGGGAGTTTGGCATCAAAGATTGCGAGATTCGGTGAAAACTGCGTAGAAGTCACGAGTTAAAGGCCATTGGCATGTTCAAGGCTCCGCAAAGTGGGAAGACAAAGGCAGTTTATTTCGGATCAACTTCAGTTATTCCGCCGTTTCTTGTTTCACCTTCCCAAAAGCGAATGGAATATCTTGAGCGAGGATTCTGACAGACATGGAGGGACAAACGTCCTCGGGGTTCGTGACCCTTCTTTCGGTCATACGAGATAAATATACCGGAGCAGCTTAGGAGCAGAAGCCTAGAGTTATTTCTCGCGAGATATCCACAGCACTTCCTTCTCGCATGCTGCATTCAAAAGGGGTCACTCCCCGCGTCCACTTTGCTATTTCCGCCAAGGAAACTAGGTCGATCCAAAATCCTGGTATGACGATGTTCTAGTGGAGTCCTTGGCCAGCAAGGACACTCCTTAATTACATAGCCATTGACTCCCACACATTGTACAGCATCCTCAGGGACAAACTCCGGATGCTATAAAGATATGGAGACTCTGAGGATAAAGTCAAAGGTGGACAAATAGTAAGACAGTGGATCCTGATGAAATAATAACGATTTATTTATTCTATTCCAGGTCGTCACATCGAAGGAATATGGCACACAGCAGTGGTTGCCTATGGACGAGAGTACTTCTTTGGTCCAGCTGGTATTCACAGCGTCAGACCTGTAAGTAATCCAGAAAGTGCTTGATCACTCGTGACAATAACTATCCTGACAAGATACTCAACGTCGTCCTGACCTAATCTCCTATGATTTATGAGCGCAATCTCCAGGGGTGATTCGCACTGGTGCTAGGATCGTGAAATCTAGTTGTAGGCGCGTTGGCTATTGGCTATACGATACACCGTACTCGTGCCCGTACTAAATTTGGTCTGAGGATGACTAAAAATAAACGCCGCTAGAGGCTACTCTCACGGCTCTCTCCCGAACCCATACTTTCCTGCAGCGAGACTCTTCACCGGCGAAAGCTCACGGTAAGTCCGTACCGTAATCCGCCGTGCTGGGTTGCGCTTCCTTCTTCTTTCTCTTTCTCTCATTCTCACTCTGCTCTACTGATCTCTCATCCTCGCCAACTCCAAATGATACCAGCACAACCATCCTCGCCACCTCCACCACCAATACTAACACCATCGCAGCTATTAGAGCCCACGGCTCCTAGAGTCTCATCAGCGCCGTACTGAGCAAGTGCTGGAAAGCAACAGGAACAGTTGTCTGGTGCCGGTATTAGAGTCAACGTGGAGCATCATGAAGTCCTGGAGTGAAGTGCGCGAGTGTACCAGATGGAAATGTGAAACCAGGAGGAAGAGGAAGGATAAGAATAAATCATAAACAAGAATAACGACCAGGTCGCGTAGATCAATTATGAGTCTGATCGGTACTGATTCCAAACGTGGCTTCTAAAATTAAATTGAACGACGCAAATTGTACCCAGGCTAGTTGTCTGCTCTCTTGGTCCTCGGATTTGTCATCTTATAATAATTCTCATTCCTCTGGTACTTGTTGCGTGCATTCCACTTGCGTGTACGTATATGCATCTGTATCGTGTCGGAGTCGCGTAACGAGAGTGCCAACACAACGGTGGGACGCATCGTCAGTCTAGGGATGCGCGTTTATTTCTGTGCCATTCGTGGTCCACCGAATAGATACGATACGAGGAAGTTGCTGCCCGCTCCAAAATTAGAGTTCTTCGTCGTCCGTTCGTCCGACCGTCCGATCATCATCGAATCGCAGGCTTTCCAGTCTCGATTTTAAATACCACCGCTGAATAAATGCGGTAGCTTCAATCTTTGCTGATGAATTTCAGGGAGGAACTGAACTGGGCGAGCCACAGAGAGTAGAGAAGCTTGGCGAGACGTATCTGCCGTACTCCGTATTCCTTGAGTACATCAACGGTCTTGGCACATCGAAGTTTGCGTGAGTAATCCATTCTTATTTTATCATTCGTGACCTATCTCTCTTTTACACTTTTTCTTATTCTTCTATTTTTATACGTATTTTCATCGTTACCCTTTCTACTGTTCTTGTTTTTTTCAGACCGGGCACCTACAACCTCTTCAGACACAATTGCAACTGCTTCTCTGAGGAAGTCAGCTGCTTTCTCGTGGGTCAGGGTATACCGAAGTACATACTTGATGTACCTGAAGAAATACTACAGACGTAAGTCAATGGATTTTAATAAGTTCCTGAGTGTTGGACTGGTATTTTTAAAGAGCCTTGAAAATTTAAATTAATTTTCATGCAGACCAATCGGTCAGGCTTTGGGTCCACTCATTGAAACCTTGAGCAACGCTGCCAGCGCGGGATTTACCGTCGGACAGAGATTTGTGGAGGCTAGAATTCGACGAGAAGTTTCACCGGATTATCAACTTCTTAATAGCGAAATAGAACAAGCAAGGTACGTACTATCTGGGAAGATTTGTTCTTGTTCTTTAGTCTTACTCGAGATTTTTTAATTTACGTGTACCTTTACTTCCGGTGTGTAGATTGAATTCAATTGCCCTTGAGGAAAAGAGAAACGTCATTAACGAGAAGTTAGCTAAGAAAGAAAGAAAGAAGAAAAAGAAAACGAAAAAAGAGAAAAGAGAGAAGGGTGCCAGTGGAAGTGTCGTTAGTGAAAGTGGAAGCGGAAGTACCGAAAGCGGTAGTCGAGTAGAAATGGCGGAAAGTAAGAAACTTCTCACTGAAATTCCAAAAATTTGCTCCTTGAATTAAGTAGCTCAATGAATAATAATTTTGGTTTTGCGTTCAGGTGCAATTAGTGAAATTCAACCGAATGGCGATACAGCTGCTGGTGTGGCAGAAGCCGTCGAGGATATGCTACCATCGGACAGAGTCCTGCAAATGGAGGCTGAGGAGAGACGCGAACTGGAGGAGAAGAAGCGACAGCGAGATCCTCCTATAGTATTTAAGAACGTGGTGGATGCAAAGGCCGAGTACGAGGCATTGGTTAGACTCCTGGATGGAAAATTGAACGACGAGGAACGCAAGAGTATCGAAGAACTTCGTCAGTATGTTCTGGAGGACGAAGGTAGCTGGGCTCTGGGAGATAACTTTCTCAACTTTGTCGGTATGCTCATTTACCTTACACCTTCTTTTATTAGTTTTCAAACTTTCGTACGTCAGTATTAATTAAATGTAAATGTTTTATTGTACGTACAGGGCGTTTGCTGTATGACAAGTCCTTGGAAAGTGCTGTAAGAGTACGATTGCTCAATGTACTCTCAATTGCTGCGTTAAAGGATGACGTCATTTTATTACTGCATCAAGATAGACGCGAACATATGATAATGAACTACGCTTTTGACATCGATCGTCATCCTCTGGAGGAGCAGATGTCCCTGGCACTCATGGTGAGTAGGCTCAAATGGTAGATAAATTAAAGATGAAACATTAATCTCTCACCATGACGCAGATGGCAAATATGTTTGAGAATCTAAGTAGTTCAGAATGGCTTCTGTACATATCTGAATGGCAACATCAGAACCAGGGTATCAGCAACATCCGGGTCACGACTAAGGTCGCCGTACACTCACTCTTATCAGATAAACCCGAACTGCAGGAACGTGGTGCAGCTATCATTCACAATCTTGCCTGCAAGGAGGTAAAAACTGTGGTCTGTATCCGTCCCAGCATCCTCAATTGTTTCCTCGTAGATCTTCGACATTCGTTAACCTCGTCGACATTCTCGCGAGCTTCTCGATTCTTCCAACGGAAGTGCTGCCTTCTACTGTATCACTACGATTATATTGGCTTTAGTATATCAACATCCGCTTCTCTTACTCTCTCCTTTTATCGTATTCCGACACTCACACTCTCACTCTAACTCTCATGCAAAGAGTCACCGCCTCCTTCATTTTTTCATCTGCATTGTATCTCATCACCACGTCTCTGTTATCCTAACCAAAAGTTGATATGGGGTGAATAGTAAAGGGGAAGAAGTGTAAAAAGAAAAAGGATAAAAACGCATGAACTCTATTTATGACTATGGCTTTGGCTCTTTACAAACGGCTGTAGAGCAATAACGGACGCGTAAATCACAAAAAACCGATACTTCTCTAGGGATTCGATATTTTTTCAGAAAATGAACAAGAGCAAAAAGCTCCGGCAACTTTTACCAAAAGGCAGCATTTCCAAGGTACTCAGTTTAAATTAGTTCAAAGTACTCAGTTAAAATTATCGTCATATTGATCTTGCACATGCGGAATAGACGGCTGTCCATCATTTTATGTGGTTCAGAGTCTTTGCGAAAGAAAAATAAATCAAATTATTCTAATGTTGAAAATACACGTGGAGGAGACGCGTCTCACTATCTGTATCCGTAGTTACATAAGCTGATCCAGATACTTGTATTCCTAGGTCTTTGATGACGTCGCTGTGGAATTGACAATGGCGTTGCTACAATATTTCAATGGAAATCCTCCTGAAGAACAACTCTACGCTTGTATGAAGGCTCTGGCACGTTTCACACAAATTAGTGGACAGGAAGTACCGCAGCTGATACAAATGATTGGTCCAGAACCAAATAAATTCCGCGGTACTTCGCAGAGGTTGGACGAACAGATTGATCAGATCAATAAGAAGCTGCGTTAAAATATTAGATGATCCTTTACTCCCTGACACCATGAACCCCCTTTGATCGTTCTATTAATCGACGATCAATTTTTTTAAATGACCGCCATCTACTATTTTATGAGTCTCGTAGAAACGAAAATCTTACTTTTACCCCTGTCATCCCTTCTGATAAACTTTTATAAATCCTATTCGTGAATCTTTGCGCAGATGCGCCTGAATAAATAAATTAAAATGAATGAATGAATGAATAAGTACGTGTGTCAGGGAATATATGAATGAGGGTGTACCTGAGTATTTCTTTGTTTGGAATATTAACCGAAAGTTTTGAGAGCACACATTTCTTTTTACTTTTCATTTTTCTACTTTCACACTATTGATTGTTCTTCATCAGTCATAATTATCATGATTGATCCTAATTTGGATTTTATGTGAATATCCAAATACGAGGATCCAAGATGATAGTCAATTATTATTTCATAGATAATGGCTGATAATAAATTTCTTGTATTCTACGATTAATTATGCTTCTATTATAAATAGTTTAACTACCGCAAGTAGAGGTCATCCAATTAATTCCTCCCTCAAAGTCCTTTATGAACCATAAATGATTATGAGGATGACGTACACCAAGGTGGGTGGCTTGTGAATAGAAAAAAAAAATAAGAAATAGAGAAAGTTAATGACAATAATTAGGTGAGATTGTCTGAGACTGTAAGGTGTGGGAAAAAGAAATAAAATTTATTGAAAGCGAGTACATACATTTTTGTTTATTCATGAAACATCCATGATCCTTGAAACTCACTTGAAAAATTCTAGCTGCTGGGACAAGTATAAAAATATTTCATTTACATCATAACACATGGTTTTTTCTTCCAAGTTAACATCCCACAGTCATATATATCCTTTAATATATATGGCTATGCTTATCAGTGTGTCAACGTTTAAACATACAAGGAGCTGCAATATTCTATGGTACAACTCTTTCTTATTGATACTTCGCGTTTACACTGAGCTTTGCAGATAATACACAATCAATGATAAGAAAATGTGTGGAACAATTAACTTTGTTATCAAACTTTTCCTCAATTATTTGAAACTTCAGTACAGTCCTACTGCTTTCAACAGTATATTCCAAGTCTTCCGTATTGCTTCCTAACAAGAAGTCTACATCAAATGATTGTGAAGTTTTAAAAAGAATATAAGACAGTAAGTAATAATATCTAAAGTCACCTTTATTATTTTACATATGTATAAAAATATCTGGCTCAGTAATCATATACTTTATGAAAGGGAATAATCTGTTTCCTAGGTACAATGGAAATGTTACCAAGTAAAGATAATGAAAAAGGGTATCAAGAAAATGACGACAGTACCGAATGTGCAGAAGAATGTGAAAGTGTAGGGAAAAAAGCTACAAGAAAATATAGAGGAAAATCTATTAAGAATTATATCTCTATAATCCAATGGCTTCCCAGGTACACGAAATTTGAGGCAATCTCAGATTTGGTTGCTGGTATCACCCTGGGATTGACTATGATTCCCCAGAGTATTGCTTATGCTGCACTGGCAGGTCTTAGTGCTCAGGTACTGTACTGTTCTATACTTATAGAATTGATTGAAATGCAATTTCAAATTTGTGTATTTTAATTATGTACCAATTTTCAGTATGGTCTCTATTCTTGTCTTTTTGGTGGGTTTATCTATGTCGTCTTTGGCACCGTCAAGGAAGTCTCCATTGGAGCGACATCCTTAATGGCTTTACTTACTATTCAATACACTAGCGATATGCCAGTAGACTTTGTTCTACTATTAACATTCTTAGCAGGATGCATTGAGCTTGCAATGGGTTTGCTTAATTTGGGTGAGTAGATGAAGTTAAATGAGAATCAACAATATTTTATACTAATTCAAATCAATCTTAGGTTTCCTGGTTGACTTTATTTCTATGCCGGTTACTTCTGGCTTCACTTCTGCTACCTCAATTATCATAATAGCTTCGCAAATGCAAGGATTACTTGGTCTGAAGTACAAGTTCCATAGTGTACCTGAAAATTTGTACAAGCTTTTTAAAAATTTTGGAAGTATCCGTATCGGCGATACGATACTCGGTATCTCCTGTATAATATTCCTCATGCTCGCCAGGGTAAGCTGAAATATATTTAACGACAAAGAACTATGAAAATTTACGAAGTTGCGTCGTTCCACAGAAAGTCAAAGATCTGACCTGGCTAATTTCCAAAGGTAACAAGAATGGGTCTGACAATAATATCCTGAAGAAGGCGTTATGGTTCTTTTCCATAAGCAGAAATGCTGTGATTGTTCTAGTGACTGCTGTAATATCATATTACATTGAAAATGATAATGGCCACGTTCCATTCATACTTTCAGGTTTTTAATTTTTCATGACGTTTCATAAAGTCGCAACTCCATTCCATAACCAAAACTCATCGATTCATCCTTTATATAATTTTTATTACAGGAAAAGTCATGCCTGGATTACCTAAAATTACATTACCGCCATTTAGTAGTCAGAGTAAAGACAGAACGTACAACTTCATCGAGATGGTCTCTCATCTGGGTACAGGAATAATAGTCTTACCATTGATAGCAGTCCTTGCGAACATAGCAATTGCCAAAGCTTTTGGTAAAATTATTTTACACTAATGAATATATAAAATCATAAAATATTAAAATAACTCAAAATTAATATATATTTTAGCTAGCGGAAAGAGAGTCAATGCTTCGCAGGAAATGTTTACCTTGGGTCTATGCAATATTGTTGGAAGTTTCGCAGGTGCGATGCCGACCTGCGGCGCCTTCACCAGGAGCGCCGTGAGCAACGCTAGCGGCGTCGCGACGCCCTTCGCCGGAATATACTCTAGTAATCATTTTTCTCATTATAACTTGCTTACATTACGCAATCTTATTTTCATAATTTTTTTTATTCAGGCATTCTTATTGTCTTGGCTCTAAGTTTTCTTACACCTTATTTTTATTACATCCCACGTGCTACTCTTTCTGCTGTCCTTATTGGAGCTGTTGTCTTCATGATTGATTGGAGAATCGTTAGCCGTCTTTGGAAAGGAAGCAGTGAGTAGTCAGGATGATAAATATTCCAGCCACAATGATGCTATGGATGCTATCGAATATTTGATCATAGAAAAGGATGTTGCTGCCGCACTGGGAACCTTCGTCGTCTGTCTGGTATTTGACGTGGAAACTGGACTGCTTCTAGGAATTCTGATTAACTGTCTGCATCTGCTATATTTGTCTGCAAGGCCAAGCATCCAAGTAACCCAATGCAAGGTATATTAATTAGAAGAATAATTACATAATTCTTATAATTAATGACTCATTTTATCTTCAGAGTGAATTGGGATATAAATATCTGTTAATCAAACCGGACATTGGTCTGTTTTATCCAGCAGTGGATTTTCTCTGTACGCAAGTAATGATAGCAGCCAAAACAGAAGGCAGAGACAAACTGCCAATAGTTATAGACTGTGACAGATTCAAAGGCATCGACTATACAGCAGCTAAGGTGAATATAATTTTTTTGAAATTATTTCACAAAATCATTTCAGTTTTTATAATTGTACAGGGATTTGAGAGACTGTTAAAAGATTTTAGTGGCAAAAATCAAGAGCTGCTGTTTTTAAGAATTTCGCCTAAGATTTTCAAGAGAATTCAATCTTTTGGCGTTGACATTACAAAGTTTAAACACGCTGACAACGAATCAAGCATGGCTAATATTCTTTATGGTCTGTATAAAAAAAAGCCTCATACTTCTGTGGGCTTTTAAAAATCATTAAACTTGGTGTTTATATTCGAATTTGCTTTTAGGAGATGAATTAGAAATGAGCAGAAGCGCCACTCTTCCCGTATTTAAATGCGTTGACGAATAGATGGAATTATTACAATATCAGTAACGAAAATCAGCAAGCAAAAGAATCATTGCTTGTTGAATACAAAGCTGTAATTAAGGAACTTGAAACAGCCGAATATTCTTATCTATGGAAACGATCTTCTATGTTAACGCGATAAGAAAACTCATTCACTTATCAGGTGCATAAAATTCAGGCACGCATTGTAAATATTTACTTAATTAAATACTTGTATCGTTCTTATAAATCTTAACTATTTTTTTAATATTACATGTTTCCTAGATTCTTTATTTTAAACGGCGTCGAGTCATTAATCATTACTTTTAATTACATTTTCTCATTTTAACGCATCGGCTTTATTCTTATCATACACAGTAACAATATTTACATTAATTTACAAGCATCACGCAAGAAAATGAGTAACTCTCCGTGTGGCATACCACAAAGGAAAGTTCTCATTGGACATTTTAATTAAATTATACATAATATAATGAAGTAATGTACATGTGTTGTATACCGTGTATTTAAAAAAGAAAAAAAGCCAAAGAAAAAAATAATAATAAAATAGACAGTCTTTATGAGAATATCGGTGCTTGATGTGTCTGGATTTTATTTAATTATTCTAATTCAATTAATCTTCCAGACAAATCGAGCACCGTAAACAATAAAGAATTTCATAACGATAAATATGAACATGGCATAGACTCCCTTATAGAAAATAGCGGTTAAACATCCGCCGTAGAAAATGTTCGTCCTGAGATAAGAAGTCTGAAGTGTTTCATGGACGTACAAGTCCTGGAGTAATTTTCATTGGTAAAAGATTCTTACTTATCCACGAGAGGAGTGTAAACCATTCATTCGATTAAAGAAGTGTTTGATGAAAAAATAATAATGATATACTGCCCATCACACTCGATATGTCATAAGGTACTTTCCTTGAGCTGATTCTGTCCAGCAGCAAATATGGTGCTGATAAATAAATTACAGTATCCGCTGCACCATAAGTTTCATAAATATATAATATTTCAAGTTGCAAACTTTCTTCCATTTCTTATTCACAGAGATTAATGTCCCTAAAGGATATCAAATCATCGCCAAACTGTGAAACACTAAAGTGTCAAGTGCACTAAAGTGACGGTAGGGTGCATGACTATAATAATTAATAATCCGAGCATCAAAGGGGAATGTTTCAGGCAATCAGTGGCTACTATACAAAGACAAGTTTCATAAGTTTCATTTCTACAAGTAAAAGATGATTTCATGCCTACGGGACATTTGGACGTTTCTTCTTCTTTGTTTTCTCATTCAAGAGATTATAGGATTCATTAAGCACATCGACTTCAGTTTCAGGAGAAAATCATGGTCAAGTCATTCTGTACAGGCACTGTAAGCTCATAGTAATCCAATCGGAAAAGAGCTCATCAAAAATAATATTGAAAATAACACAGCAGTCGTACCAATATAACAAATATCACAATTCGTCTTTTGCAGTATTACTTTCAGTTGAGGTGACAGTTTGTTTCTCATCGGTTCTCTTCGACACATCTTCAATTGCTTCACTGTACACATCCAGAGCCATGAGATCCCTGTAGTAAGTTCTGTATTTCTCTTGTATTACTCTAACCTTATCCACGTCCTTCCTAAGATCATTAGTCGAGCCCAGAATAAGGTGTACGTCACGGATATGCTGGAGCTTTAGTAGTATCGATCGTCGTTTATTACACGCAGTTCTTTTATTCATAAGTGATAACTTCCGGCGTAGCTTTCTATACTCTCGAAGAAGCTCCTCGATGATATCCAAGCACACCCACCGGATACGAGCTACGCAATCGCTTGATGGTTCACCAGCTCCTATATGACATACGTTGACTAGTGCTTCTACGTTCGAATCACCGTCCAGATTAGCCAGTACGAAGTTTAATAGATTTCGAATGGTTATTGGGAGAGAAAATGGAAATACTGTACTATCTTCTTTTCTGTGGAAAAGAAAATTTATCAAATAATTAGACTACTGTATAAAGTGAATACACATAGTGTTCTCATATTAATATAGAATTCATATTACCTTCTAGCAGGAAAGAACAATATAGACGGATAACGATTCATGGTATATTCCCATGGAAGATCGTTATTGTCACCGTCGATCCTGACGAATATAAGACGATCCATATTAGATAGATAATGCGCTGCAGTTAAATAAACATAAGCTATTGCGCTACAAAAAGCGCAGTAAGGCGAATGGTACATCACTACGACATCCTGTCAAGAAAGTAGATTGATTATTGAATGAAAATATTAATTAAGGAGTGATTCTAAGTATAGTTACCATTGTGGGATTTAGAATGGTATCTAGAAAAGTTTCAGTCGTTAATTCTGGTACACAGATTTTAGAATTGTCATTTGGCTCGCATTCTATTCTTGTTTTGTGTGCAAAGCGTCGCGACGCGACTGAGCGTAACGTACGTTGGAGCATACCTTCTGTATAGTTGTTTATAAATTGTACCAGAGAATATCGACTAAGATCCTCTTTCATGACGTACTGACTCTCTTGCTATAATAAGATCAGTCAGATTAATGACCTGCTTTAGTTAATTAAAAATTAAAAACATGTAGACGTGACTCACTGTAGGTTCTATGATGACTACTGCAGTCTTATTCCTTTTATTTAAAATGTCTATGCCAAGTCCTTCGGCATAGTGATGATACTGAAGACTATCAATAGCTATTAGTACCAGAGTTCTATTAACTTTGCATCTTAATTCGGTTAAATTGATGTTAGGATGTCCTGGCAAGTCCTTTGGGAATACTGGAGGGTGATAATTATTGCCGGTTAATAACTTTCGACAATCCTCTTTAATGAATGATCGTCTCACGTTATTCGCTGATCGTGGGTCATTTTCTCCAGTCAGCATGGAGGTCTCATAACTTTTACTAATGAAATAAAGAGATATATTAGTACGGAATTCTGTTATATAGTTAATGCATAATACGTACCTGTTTGATTTGGAAAAATCATTCTTATCATCACTGACTTGATGCCTGTTACAGCATAATTCGTATTTTTCTTGTTCCTCTTTCAGTGTTGGTATACTAAATATATCAGCTCCTTTACACATTGGTGTGCGATGTTCTGTTGTCGTTGTGCATATAGGTGCTTGATTTTTCATAGTATCTACGATTTTCTTCTTACATAACAGACACTTGTTCATAACAATATTAGCACAGCAACTATCATTAATCCACTGTTGAATAGAGACGCTGATGGTTGGCATATGCAAAGGTACTTTGGGCTCTTTGAGAATTTCTTCACAGTGCTCACTTTTCTCGCGTTGTCTAGTTATAGCATTGTGTCGATTTTCTTGTAGACGAGTAACGACATTATCTACCGTGGGATTGTTGCCACAGTTGTAATATTGAAGTCCTACTTCTTTAATCTGTTGAAAGCAGATTTTATTAAGGCTAGAGTGGCCCTGACTACATGATTAATGAGGTAACTTTGCACGTACCAAGTTGTAATTATAGTTTTGAAGATGTAATGGATTTCTAGGAGTGAAGAGAATTAGAGCAGGTCCATCACGCAGGTACGGTGCTAATGTTACAGACTTACTTCCAGGAGGCTGCAACCACAGCGGAGCCTGAACTAATGCAGAGGAAATCCAGTTTAGTAAGTTCTCTGAAGACCATCGATTTCTCTCAATGTAAGTCTGTGAATGGATTTAGTTAGTTTTGTTTGGTTTTTATTTAATACTGTAAAAATATGATATCTAATTATGTGCTTACTTTGGACTCACTCCACATGAACAGTGTAGCTGATGGAAATTGAGTGACGTCATAATCGGCTTGAGCCGTAACAGGGTCTGTTATGGCAGCAAAAATAATTTCTCTATTTGGATCTTTCTCGAGATGGCGAATTGCTGTTTTATAGAATTCTATATAGCCAGGACTCTTAGCTACTCCAGTAAAATTGAAGTAACCTACTATAACAGCCTGAATTTATAAGAGAAATATAAATAGTAGGAGTTATTAATTTTAGTTTAAAGTACATTAGGTGCACTCACATCGTAAGTAGTCAAGAGATCTGCAATTTCTTCTTCTTTTGTTATCCTGTGAATTGGATTCATAAATGCATCCAAGAAGCGAATCATGTACAGAGCTGAACGAATACCCTTGTATTGCACACCTAAACCTTTTGAAGGATATACCATTAACACAGGATAACTTTGAATTTTATTATACTGCGTTCTACACTCGGATCCAGGATGCCAACAATTAATTGCAGCAAAAAACACCTGAAATAATACATAAAGGCATATTATTGAACTGCCATATTGTAGTTATCTTCTTTTCCTTACCCGATTGTGATAATACCGTGCCACAGTTTCAAATTCGTGTCTAAGAGCCTGACTATCAGCATCCCACGGTGCATAGTACATAAGAAAGCTAAAATCAGCATCAGTTCCTCTTTCGAAGACAGCATCTAGATGTCCTTTATAAAAATCCAGGACCACAGAACTTTGATTGAAGAATGGTTTAGCCAAGGGTGGTTTAGATATTTTTGGAGGTCTGTATAAAGTAAATCAGTGCAAAATACATCCTTCAAAACAAAGAAAAATAAATAACATGTAACTTCAATCTCACGAGGTATGTAGAGCAGCGAGAGCTGTGAAGACGATGGCAAGGAAGAAGCATATTTCTCTCGCGTGGAAGATCATTCTACTAGCCAGTTTTTCTTCTACGGATAACCGTCTATCCTGGCTCTTGGCCTCGTTATCGCTTCCTGTATCGGGAGTCGCGGGAAAATTATCAGCATTTCTTGGCAGTCTCGGTTCGTGCTCTTCACTGGACATCGTCCGTTGGGAATTTGTTTGCTGGAAGGCGAGCCGACCACCTTCGTTAGTTTGTCATAACTTAACGCGAAGACGCGTTAAGTACACTGTGTTTAAAAGCTAATACGATTACAAGCAATTGGCCAGAATTGTGCTTGCACATATGTCAGCAAGCTGAACAAATAATCGTTGATCGGAAACAGCTGACCGACTGTCAACATCGCCGTAACAAAAATAATTCTCCACTTCAGAAAACTCCTATTGGCTCGTCATTCTTGTGCTTGAATTAATTACAAGAACGCAGGCGCATTTCTTTTGCCTGTTTAATCTCCAAAAAATCACACCTTAGTCGGGTTTAGTATTACCACTCCAATATTTGTGAAGTGTACCTAACATATGTCAAGGCAAAATTTTTATTTTAAATTGAAGTTTTTCTTGACACAGAATGAAGTCCTTGTTAATATTTATACCACGGGAATTATATAGTGAAAAGCCTGGATACATTTTTGGTAGAGTCAATTATGATGCCAGGAGTGGAACCAAGAAGTTTTTTGCTATTGGTATTCGACAAATAAGATCTGATGCTATTGTTAAACTCAGGAGAAACAGTTTTGATTCAATAGCTGGTGCTAATAATGATGTTATGGGTCATCTTTCTAGTGCAGATGACACAAATGTATATCGGGATAACTCATATCCTGATTGGATTAATATCTCTTTGAATACTTGTGAGAGTTCCAGCATTGACAGTCCTGGATATTACTTGAGAAATGTATTTGTCGATTCAAGAAAGATAGAACCATCACAGTATCACACTGTTCTGATTATTTATGATCGGTTAGTTTTGATGGAAGCTGATCTTTTTATGGATAAGACTCCACCAGATCATTTTCATGAACTGAAACTGATACTCCAAAAGAAATCTGTTGAGGATGAAATAAGAAAAAAGTCTACTTTTACAAATACTCAAGAAGTTATGTTAACTTATATAATGTTAATCTTTCTGTATCCAACACGAATGCTGTGTAAACTGACAAATGGATTACTACCTATATTGAAATTTTCTGCTCTTGGATTACATCTAAATGCCTGGCTGGAGAATTTGCAGTGGATGCTAGATACAGTAATGCACAATAAAAGATTTAATCTTAAGGCTGGAAACTATTTGGTGGCAATGGCACTTGATGTATTACTTGGAGTATTACTCTTGAAATTCTTATTACATGCCATTGGACAGATGCCTCCGTCAAAAATACTTCTAGATAATGCAGAGGTAAGTTTGCAAAATTTCTTAGATTTAATACTATAATTTATTCTATTATCTTCTATAGAAAGTAGTAGAGACTCTAAAAGGACTAGTAAACTGGCTAATGGGTGCACCAGCTGGACTAAAATTGAATCATTCGTTCAATGAAATACTTGGAAAGTTTTTTCTATATCATATACACTTATGGTGGACATTTCTTGTATTTATAAAACCAGTCTTGGACTTTGCATTCAAAGTTTTGCTGTTATTTGGTAGATTGGGCGTCACATTTCAAGTTTCAATAGCAGCTGACTTATTGGCTCTTGTGAGTTTTCACAGTTATTGTATTTACATTTATGCTGCAAGGTAACTTTCATTAAATCTATCTAATTGTGTACATTTAATACACTTCCTTTCAACTATTTTATTCTTATAGATTATTTAATATCCAATTACGTGGACTCACGGCGCTTTTTCGTCTTTTTCTTGGAAAGAAACAAAATCCTCTACGAGAACGAATTGATTCCTGTGAATATCAACCAAATCAATTATTTGTAGGAACACTACTCTTCACTATTCTCTTATTTCTAATGCCAACAACATGGGTTTACTATGCTGTCTTTACAACGGTAAGTCTAGAAGTTTTATTAGTCGAATTCTAATATTTTGTAAGACTGAAAAAAAATTTTCCACAGCTTCGTGTAGTAATGATTGGTCTTGGAGGATTTCTTACTAGACTGAAATTCTACCTTCAAATAATGCCAGTGTATACATATAGCAAATGGTTATTTTGTTCACCAATAACTAGCAGTGAGTTTTTTGACATCATCCATTATCATATTCGTTATTTGGTATAAGATAATCATCTTTGATTGATCATCTTTGATTGTATTTCATGTTCATACTTAATTTTAGGTTCTGTAAATATGAGAATGCATCCAACACAAATTAAAGATGCTACTACAATAGTTGTATCAATGACAGTTTCACCCTGGTGTGACACCTGGAAACATTGCATTCCTGACACTATACATTATCATCCTTCTATTGAATGGACAACGATAGCCAATAATGTATTTTCGGGTCAACTACTGTACCCTTTGTAAATTAAATAAATGAACTAAATAAAATATTTTACATTGAATATTGCTTTATTCTTAAATATAATTAAATGATACAGCTTTGTATATCAAACATGTTCATATACAAAAATGAAATTTTGAACTAAATAATAACACTGACTCAAGCACTAAGCAAAAACTAAATTTGTCTCAACTCGCCTGTTTTGCTTCTAATTGTATCGCGTACTGTTGTGCCTCACGAATGTGCTGTTCCTCTAAACCTTCAATGTGATCGTACAAATCTCTGTCAAATAATCTATCAATATCATTCTCTTCCCGCAGTACTAAAAAATATATCATGAAAACTGACAAAGACGCAGAGATCACATAAGGTTGATACCATGGTCTCTCGTCATTATTTATAAAAAAGGTGTCTTGTGCTTTCCATGATGCAGCTGGTGAGGTAGAAAATTTAATAGGCTTGTTTTCATCATCATCTTCCTGATTTTCATTCTTCATAGTACCAAATTTTTGAGAGGCTACACATTGAGTTGCATACCTGAAAATTATAATATCCTATGAAACGTTGCATGGTGCATCATATAGACAATTACTTTATATAAGCATAATAAAATTATTAATGATCTAGTGTTCCAAATAATGACGATATAAATATTTGGTTTATCCTGTAATATTATAATGAAAAGTACCTGTATATTGAACCACTTTCTTTTACAGCTCGTAATGTAGATACACCCAACCTCGTTAAAGCCATGGTTTGTTTATCGTGTTTAATATCTTTTTCTTCTTCTTCTTCTGTATATGGTTAGTGATGCTTAATATCCATGCAACTGTAGCCGGAACGATTAGCAGTAATTAGCAGACAGACGGCGTGTTCCGATAAAAACTGGCAGTGCTGCCAGTACTGCAGATTTCATTCCGATATTGGAGTACAGTGCACTGCGGCAGTGCCTAGTAACTTTAATGACGTCATAAGTTTCTCCCATTTTTTCACTATAAGCGCCTGAGCTCCCATGGTCAGGTACTGAGTGATCCCCCACTCCCTACAATAATAGGCGGCAAAAATGGTGAAGATCAGTTTAATTGACGGCGAAACAAACAATTTATATGAAATATGTGTAACACCTGATGAATTAGTATGTGCACAAAATAAGTGATAGCTTTTTGATCATCTTATTTTTTTCTCTTTTGTTTTGGTGCAAATAATCATATTTTTGGTGTTGCCTCCCTTTGTTTTATTTGTGCAATTCACCAGTTACTGAAAAACGTTCCGATATTATTCCCAACCAGTTATAAACACTGGCGCTAACGAAAATGGAATGCTTCAACAGTATACTTCAATGACGTCACATATTGCAGTGCTCACAGGGTATATCGGAACACGCCGAGAATTGTCTTGCATTGCCAACATTTTTATTATTTTATATTACCGATAAATAACGATCCTAAAAATATTCATTAGAGGGCATCGTCATCGAGAAATGTTTTTTCAAATCACTGGCGGGACGCTCTAGGTACCGCGCAATACCGCTTGGAAAACGGAATCAGATAAATTTGCTAATTTTAATACTGTGATACCCCATAGAGAAAACTCTATCTTTACAAGAAGCTAATTCACACAATTTAAAATAATTAATATTGTAGACACACATTAACAGGCGTCAAACAAAAATGTATGGGCTACTAATTTATTGGTGAAAAAATAATGAAATAAGGATGCGAAGGAGGCTGGGTGACTGATTTATAAAAAGATGTAATGCATTGCAGGACTGAATAGAAAAAAAAAGAGATTACGCCATCAAATTAAATGGTGGATACATAAGACCAGACTGATTCAGAATTTAATTGATGTTATAAAAACGCTGCTGTAAATTGGATGCTGAGTATATAAATTGTAATTTCCTAGATATGCAGTGTGATGCTTGTGATGACGACTCGTTGATATTGCATAATTATTTATTACTTAATCATTTAGACACAACTAAAATTACTTGGACACGACGAAGGAAACGCACAAAAATACATAAAAACATATCGCGAATACTTTTGGATATTTTATTAAAATATACATTTCATCCAAAATACAAAAGAAAAGTATTATGTACAAATTGTTTTGTTACTTGCTGAACGTTATGAGTAATGACGGTAGTAATAATGAATAACAACGATAATATAGCGGCAATAATAATATTAATTAATTATAATCGTAACAGTAATGTAAATTGCAATTATAATTGTACACTATAATCGTAATTTAATTCTTATTACGCCTAACGTATTTGCCGTAACAATTACATTTAAGGGCACCTCGATAAATCGTAGCTCACGAGTGGCACGGCTTCTCTTTTTCATTGTTTCCTCTAAATTTCAAATATAATTTCCTTTCTCCATTCACAGTCCATAAAATAAGTCAACCTTCATTCTAATATTAACAATCAATATACTCTCTCTATCCTAAATACATTTGGATATCACAGAACCACTCGTGGCATCGATTGATCAGTCCGTACGCTTAACAGACAGAAAAAAAAAAAGAAAAAGAAAAAAGATAACATAAAGAAATGGGATGTTACTCTCCTTATGAGTGCACGGGCAGACATTTCATTCGTGTATTACTTGTTACGGCTTAATGACGAAGTTGATCTAATTGACATTTAAGACAAGAACCAGTGAAAAAAAAAACTATTCTCATTGTCTTAACCTGCCCACTTCCGGTTAAATAATAATTAATCAAGCATCTGGGTAAACTACACTGCAAGTATCGTTCATCGCCACTTCATTCTCGCACACTCAATCCCATACACTTGAAGATATCATTACCCTTCCGGTAATGAAAGAAACAAGAATTAATTTACATACCGAGAGGAACGATTCCTCGCCGACAAAAAATAAAATCCTATTCTCTATTACATCATTATTACATATCTCAAACTTTACTTTTTGTTCTTGTTCCTATAGCTCCTTTCAAAAGGCACTTTTACTGCGTACAAGCCTGATACGAAAACGGATTCCAGGCTCTGCAATGTAACAGAAATTACAAATCTTTCCAGCACAAGTGATCCAGACTATGTTCTTTTTGTAGCCGAAGACATCAGACACTTGCGACTCACTCTCAGACAACATACGAGACAAATTAGATCCGTAAACATATGTTATTTGCATGTACGAGCAAAGCACGCTATTAATGGTAGTCATGAATTTTCAGAAGAAATAATAGCAGCAAGAGATAGATAAAGAAAGCTAATCCGATACACGATTAATTACTATAATAATAATAATAATAATAATAATAATAATAATAATAATAATTTCGATAATCACGTTAACTTACAGAAAACGTGTATTCAACTATCCTTTTGCTTTTCTCTCTCACCCTCTCTCTCATGCCTGCAGCTAAATAATCTCTTTGTTATCTTTCTTCCTTCTCTGAATAATACCAATCACAGTTATGTGCTCTATAACAGTTATTAACTAGTAAATCATGTAATGGCGATTAAAATATCTTTACAGTAGACTGCCAAGAGATATTACTAGATCTCGCAGAGCGACGTGGGATGAACAATATATTTATATAGATATACATAAACCAAAAATATATATATAAATCCCACAATCGTTACCCAATTGACTGTACATGTGTACGGAGGCGTGTCTTCCACATTCTCGTATAATTTCTGCTATCTTCCAAGACAAAGAGAAATCGAAATTTCTCGAATTGATTCTATTTTATATAATAATAATGATAAATCCTCGAATAGACTCTTTCCTTAAATACTAATATAAATTAAAGCTAGTATACACGTCTGACCATTACACTTAATGCTCGTACAAGTTCCCGTAGGATTTAATTATTTTTTTTCTTTCCCTTTTTTTTCTCTTTCTTATCCAGTTACCGTTATCTGGCAAAGGCCTATTTTCTTATTACTTGTTCCTACATTTCATTAATTATATTAAGCTTCTCTACCTAATGTATTTACAATTATTCAACGCACGCGCTCATACGTATATCTTCGTTGGATGCACCAGGGGAAAATTGAAAAGATTCCCTGATTTCATTCATTATTATCTTTACTATTATTACTACAAATTCTAAGATGCCATTGTTTAGATTTGATATGAAGAGATAATTGACTGTGCATGTCGAGCAAGCGTTTCCATATTGTAAAATCGGATTTATACAAAAAAAATTCTCGACGAGCGAGGCCAACGCGAGGCCGTTAGACGAGAGGAAATAGAAAAAAAGATAAAATAAAATAAAAAGAATAAGAATAAAATAATATTACATGTACGTATGAAGCGGGAAAGGAGGGCAGAAGAAAGAGAGTTATCACGAGAGAAATATGATAACGAGAATAAGTATTATTTTAGTAAATTTCCTTTAACTTTTTTTTAATAAACAAAAAGGAAAAAATTAGATCGTTCGTCGAGAATTTTGACACTGTGTGCTGTCGGTGCGTTATGCGTGTTTTACATTTAGTGTCTTCGTTCGATGTCAATCAATCTATCTGGACTATTTTCTTCTTCTTTTGTACGCTAACGTTCCTAATATCAAAGTGTTCGATTAACTTAAAATTATACGCCTTCGAACAAGATCCGATCGATTGGCAATTTATCGGTTTGATCGTCGATCATGATTTATACTAGTATAAATCATCGAATCGATAAAGTCTCTTTAAATAATTGAGTTTGTACGGGCTTTTAGTATTGTGTTTCTTTGTCGTCTATGCGAAGTACCCGCTCAAAATTGCGTGGTTTTCCCATTTTATATAGAAACAAAATTCTATGCCACGTCATGTGGTACGATAATAATAACATTCGATTCTATTTTGGATATGCACGTACCGAAGGCACGAATTCCATCCACGGAAATAATCCAGCGGATTTTTGTTTTAGGAAAACCTGTTTAGTATCACATCGTGTCCTAAATATAGTGATTCCAGTTCAATGTTTAGCGACAATATCCTGTCGGAACTGAAAATCTATGAGACACAAAATGACAAAGAGATAAAATTATTGTAATAGATTCATCTGTATTCTAGATATTATTGAGGATGCTGTAGAATATCATTGATTGACTAACTGTATACTGAACTGTACACGTACCTACTATTCAACCGCGAAGCCACAAGTCTCTTCGACAGCCTGTGTCAATTTGTCCAACATCTTCTGGTAGCTTGGGTAACTTTGCGGGATGTCTATTCTGTTGAAGCAGGTATGAGCTTTGGGTAGATTTTCACTGGGTGCGTCAACGGCATGAATCGTGAAAAGACGTGGTCCCGAGGCTCCGGTTGATCCTGATGATTGATTACAGTACAGGTGTATTCAGTCGTGAACTTTTATACCCAGGTAAAGCAAGGCTTACCTTGCAACGCTTTGAAACCCTGGAGCGGCACCCTGGAACTTCCAGTAACGAACTGGAGTAGCCTGGCACGCATTTCTTCCCCGTATGACTCAACGATCTGCCAGAACCATTTGACAACAGGTGTTTCCGGGGTGCAATGCTTAAGCCTGGTGTGCATCTTCCAGTCGTTGATGTCGATGGTACCTAGACCTCCTATAACCAGCTCCAATTCCCTTTCGTCGAAGGGTCTAAGTAGCTGAGGCGGTATTAGCTCGTGAAAACCCTTTTGCAAGGCCAGAAACTGCTGCTCTATGCCTCTCATGAAACGGTAGTTCACGTAGAGACGTACGTACTCCCTCTTGTTCTCTTCTGTAACGGATATCTCCTTGCCACCAGGTTTCAACTCGTGATTCCTCAGGACGCCGAAGCTGCTGTGTTCAACGGAGAACGCAGCATCGAGAACGCCATCTATGCTGTTCTCTCTGAAGAGATATATTATTAAAAATATGTACTAACAATTGTCAGTTATCAACTACTTACAGCATCCAAGTGAGACTTCTATGTAACTCAGGGTCCACACCCTCTATATCACTGAGCGTAATAGCTTTATTGAGCAACATCTTATAGAACGGAGTTGTAAATCCGCCATCTATATGGTGTCCATGAAACACAGCGATCCCTATGATTCTTCCAGCAAAGTGGAAGTAGGATAAGTGTTCCGGATTGATACCAGAGTCAGGATTAATTTGCAGCGTGTAATTGTCATCTCTGGAATACTGAAATAGGCCGTATTGGGGATTCAGCATCTCATGAGATAAGAGATATAGCCACTCCCGTGCAACACCACCATAATCAAGTCCTTCTTCACCACGAAACTTCACCATAAGTCTTTTACGCATGTCTTTAGAGCGCATCTTCATTATCAGTCTATATGACTCCTATGAAATCAATTACACAATGTATAATTACAAAGATGACACAGCCTCTGCCTGCAACATTAATTATCACAAGCCAAGGGTCAAACCTTACCTCGAATATCTCATTCCTGGAAACTTCCAATCTGCAGTGTCCGCTCTGTGGCTGAAGAGCATTTAATTCAGCCCTGAGGCACTTTAATTTCGCGACCAAGTCCCTTTTATATTTAGGCAATAGTTCACTCTCCATTAATTCCTTTGGCAGATCCGAGACAGTCTGTCCATTCTGAGTGGAAGGAGTGCTTTCGGCTAAAAGACAAGGAAACACTTTTAAAAAAATATCTACTAACCTCGAATATCACAGAGTTGGTTCACAATGCAAATACTCAGATTTAAGATCAGATTTAAGATCCATTGCGACTTAAATTACGAAATTGACATAAATACAATATCAAAAAAAATTAACAACCGTGTGCATTGACGAAGAATAGTCTGGGTAATTTAAAAGGCATTTTGCGCAAAATAATGAACGATCAAGACTGTCGTAAAACGGGCCAGGATATAAAGTATCGACAGAGATATCCTCATGATAAGATAGAGGCATATACAAGAGCAGTGCGACGTCCACGCGAGCAAGTAACCTTTTGTCTTTCTTATTTTTAAGCGTACCACGACGATGCACCCACTTGAATTACAAACAGTATCGCGCGCAAGATACACACTCTGTTAAACTCTTATTCTGCTGTGCAAATAAAGGTATAGAAAGAATCGCCAAGGTAAGATCGCCATTACTAGTACTAGCATAACGTGGCTCCACGTGACATGTCTCTTTGTGCTTACCAGTAGTTGTGTTGTTATTACTTGCACCCTCCACTCGGGTTCTCGATTGATTCGGATTTGTCGTTGGATTCGAAGGAGTCGTAGGAGCGGCCGTACTTTCTGTACAAGGCGCTTCAGTTCTAGTAGGCGTGGTGCTACTGATGTTTCCGGCTGTTTGATTGGTCGTGCCATTACTTTGTCTTCTGTCAAATCAAAGATCTTGTATTTGTATCAAGATTCAGCACACTTATTGAACTTATCACATACACTGAATAAATTGTCAGAGGACTTACTTCAGCAGATTGCTAATTATTTGACTGGACAGTCTTGGATCAGTGAATTGTGTCGTCCTGTTATTGTGATCCACAAAATAAACACGACCGCTCTGGGTCTGACGCATTTCCCATCCACTAGGAAGCGGACCCAAGTCATTAGCTAGCTCATTAGCCGGCAAGTCCCTGGGTATCCTTGGATCGTGCCACGTGGATGCGCCGGTTGGAACGTGATAAAAGTAAACCTGACCCTGCTGTGTTTTTCTCATCTCTAAGTAGACAAGATAAGCTTATGTTTATTAGCGTTGTCTACAATGTTTTCCAAGTCTTTAACACCTGTTATTAATGATATTAAGGATGCCTTCTTATTATTTAATTGATACTTACCGTAACCTCGTGGCAGATCCGATGGTTGATTTTCGCTTCTTCTTTCATTACCAGCCATTATACTATTGCGATTTCTATTGGTACGACTTGGTCTTCTAGCTTGACTGCCATTGGAAACCCTCTCCGTTCTGTTCACATTCTGATTGCCATTTTGCTCGTCGCTACTTCTCGGCGTTCTACGTTCCCTGGTCGAGGAGACTGGTGGCGTATTTCTGGCATTCTGCTGATTCTGATTTTGGTTATGTTGCTGGGTTGGAGTATTTCTTGGTGTGTTTTGAGCGGAGCTATCTCTACTCGGTGTTCTACTCGGTGTAATCTCTCCATTCCATTCCGGTGTACGACGAGGAGGACTCTCGTTCCTTGTAGTCGGGGGGCTACCACTTCCGCTTGGTGAAGTAGGCTCCGACGAAGGCACTGGTGGTGGTTCTGGTGTCGTTGTTATGAACGTGTTACCGGGTCTGCTTAGAGAAAAGGAATGTTAAACATATCAAGTAGAAATACCTTGATGTTCTCCGACAGTCGGTTTTGCATGACAAACATGACATTTCATTTCCGTAAAACTAAACTCTGTCCTGTCATGAGTCGTTCCTTGTTAGTTATGAGTATTGAGAAATTAAGTAAACAATACTTAGAATAATTATTATCGGAAAAAACAGGCCGTATCCTTGTTACGAAGACTCCTTATCAACTCGTTGCTAATGCATTATCGTCTAATAGATAATTTTAAATGGGTACTGACTTGTAAATTAGCTCGACCAAATATTTTTTACATAGCCACAGGTTAAACTATAGGCCGTACGATATCTTTGAATTATGTGATATATCTCTAAAGGTTGTTCCAGGCGACTAACGCGAAGAAGACTGTTTTAAAGATTTAGATAGTTTATGAGGGAGTTACAAAATATAAGTGAAATAGAATAAATGAAGATACGTTATCGTATAGACTCTCTATCCGCAAAAAATCAAATCACCAAAGACGCCAATAAACATTACGCGTTGCACATTAACATTGATTATCTAATCAAACTTGGTTATGAGTTATAAATTCGACAATTTCTCCTAAACGTCAAGTATGTCGCATTATAATAGACAGAAAGGTGAAATAGAGAGTGAATATAACAATAAGTATCAGTGTAAAATAATGATAGAATGGCATATCCTGGTGACCTGTGTGAGTGATTCGTACTTAATGACATGTGAAAAGAATCATTTATCTCTGATATTGAAAAATATTTACTTACAAATCTTTATCGTTAATGAGCGTCAATCATTTTTAGATCGTGATTAGGTTTTACTCAAGGTCACACTTCTACTTCCAATGGATTGCATGGCCACGATCAATGGAGTGTTGTTTTATTTATTTTTAAATTAGCTTACCGTGAATTAGGACGGATCCACTGTGTAGTTCGTGTATAATGATTTACATAGTAGAGACGACCACTTTCGGTTCTTCTCTCTTCCCATCCATCCGGTAAGTCCGTAGGACAGCTCAGATCTCCTAGAACGTCGACCACCGCGTTATGGCCGACGGTGTTACTCACTGCGCCATTGTGACCGTCACGAGATAACATGGATACAACTATTTGGCCCTTCACAACGTCTGTAGTTTCCATATAGTCTTTGCATAGGTCCAACCGTTGATCTAAAATACATGTAGGGATTAGAAAAGAAATGATAGGAGCATTGATAGATTTGAAGAAGGATTATTACAGCCTGAATCCTTGAGTCTTTGAATCGTGTGTGGTAATATGCAGACACAACCCAAAAACCCTCCACCTTGTTTCTTATGTACTTTTCTGTGATTCCAGACTGTTATCGTGATGCCATCGTTCTTCCCGATGTATCTGCGATAAAAAATTATTATAGTTCAGAAGTTTATATTAGAATTTTGACTAGAGTTATGTAAGAAACAATATTTACAAGTCAAAGTACTGATTCCACTTAGGATCCAAGGTAGCTTTACACGTGTCAGTGCTATGGCATTGACCCGATCCGTTAACAGTGATCTTAGCAAATGGGTCAGGAAGGCCTGAAAAAATGATTAATTATAAATGGTTTTTATTTTTTATGGGAAATCATCTGAATCGTTTGAATGATACTTACGAAACAGATCTTTTCTGGCGAGGTTACGGGCACATAAAACTGAAAGAATCAAGAATTACCATCTTTCTTCCTTATAAGTATTATTATTTCACAATATTAACTGTATAGAACAATTTTCTCTATAGAAATAACAATATTCAACTATGAAAAATTGCAGAGCAACTAATGCCAATGGTCATTTCTTTTAACAAACATTCAAGTACTACTTTATAAATGTTACAAAGCACAGTTGAATGGTATTTAATTAATAATTACTACCCGTCCAACGTAGAACATCAAAGCATAAATCCAAATAATAAAATCTAAAAGAGTTTTGTTCCTCTTTCCTCCTTGGCTCCAATACATGTAACAATTTCACTCATGATCAGAGGAAAAATATATGAACAAGCAGGACACATGATGCAAGCATCCTGATTGTATTAATGAAGAAAAGAAGTGAGTGATAATTCCGTGCGAAACGGGGCCCCCACAGAGAGTCGAGCTGATGGGTCAAAGCCGTGACAGGGAGTTGCCATAACCAAAGGAATTAACGGTCGGGAAGTTTCAAGGAGTGTACATGGCAATAGGAGGGTACGAATTCGTGATAAAGGGTCAATGAAGCTTGATAGTTTGAATGAATTAAATAATCCCCGATATAGTTGCTAGAGGGGCCATATTGAATAATGCACAACAAAAACAGAATAGGTGTAATCGTTGGATTCGCTTGGCTGAGAGTTTTGGCCGACTTTCACGAGTCCCTCGGTCAGCCATTCTTGTTAGGTTCACTTACGCGTCAGCCTGATCTTCATGGCCCCGTTCCTCCTGCTACCGCCGGGATTCGACATTTTCCACGCACATTTAACGCTCCGCACCGCACATCGGCATTTTAATTAGTAAATAAAACTGTTTAGCGCAGCAACACACACGCGAAACGAACATTCGACTCTGGGATGCTGGTCGGATATCGACTATGCCGACGGTGCACGTGCGTATCGAGAAGTCGAAAGTGCGAAGCAGACGACTTGGCGGGAATTTTAAAATTGATAACGTAAGGCCACATAGTTATAGATTTCACTTTTCTTTTTATTTCTTTAACAAATCTTTCCATGATAAATCCATACTGGTTTATTCTATTCGCTTTAACCTTGTACAAGAAAAATCAAATTTTAGTGGGTCTAGGATCTATATATGTGTGCATTGATTTTTTCATATTTATTGTTTTAAGCAATAGAGCATTACAAAATGTACAAATAAATGATAAATAAATGTAAAACCGCTACGGGTGATGACACTGGTCTCAAAATCGTACAATTAATTAAATACGTGTTATTACATGCGTGTGTGTACAATAAACAAGTATAACACTAGGCGTGATAATAGTATCGAGTATAAAATAACTTCTTTTTGATTTGACTTCCCCCGACGGAGATACATGGTCTGTGCTTCATAAGGAGGCAGAATGAATGAATATTTTTGATTTGTATTATATATTTTTTAATTCTCTTAATCTTAATATAATGATGTAATGAATCGGTGTGACTTAATTTACAAGCGACAATAACAGTTACATTATTATCTATAATGTTGTTACAAATTTTGTATAAAAAGGGACCGCCTTTAAATCTCATAACACCGTTTTTATGGCCTCTATATTATCAGAATATATGTATATATAAATGCACACAAAAATACTCCAATCATAGTAATTCTTGTTTTGAAAAGTTCTATCATTGCTTATTTTCATTATTTGTACTGTGAATCGACTATTACACATTCTAATATAGATATGTCAAGAGGGGTATAATAAAGTATGAAAATAAAATGATCTTCTCTTAATGAATAATGTACTTTTTATGAAGGATAGGGAAATGGAACCAAAGAAAGGCAAAATGAATTTCTTCATTTGCTGATTTCAAACTGAACGAAACAATATACATATAAATTCATACGGAACACTAGAAAAATTGTTCAAGTTGTAGAAAGTAAAGGCGAAAAGACATTGAAAGGAAAAAGGGATCGAAGCGGTGTTATTTCTTTTCCTTTTCTAAGACAAAGAATAGCAGCATTCGTCGGAACGACAAGCCTTCCTTCACAATGGCGGAATGTTACTGGACGTTTATATAACGACATAGAAGAAATTTCGACCAAGCAGTCCCTCTTTCGTCGAGTAACTCGAAACTTATGCTTCTCCTCTAAAAGTGAGTACGGCGTCCACCAAAAATAGAGCACCCTCGATAACAGAAATTGAACCCTTGGCCAGTCCTGTATCGCGTAACGAGGATTTGTTGTACTTCTCGAATTCATGAATATTGAGGGCACCAGCAGCGATGAAAAGGGCACATCCGATAAGACTGAAGAAGAGATCCTGAAATAGAATTAAAAATACACGACGATTAAGAAATATAATTAAAGTAACATATAAAAAAAGTCTTCAAAGAGTTTCCATCGAGCCGCCGTATATTACGTGTAACCTTTAAAGGAGTCATGGCCAAGAATAGTTCTCTAGAAACTTTATCAAATTTTCTCGCCGACAAAGACACGCGATACATCGTTTTCATGTTTTGCCCCGCCGCCATCTTTAACGAATCGCTCAAGAATCTTACGAAATCGTGTTTCATCGACTTTTCGTAGAGCTCTATTCTTGCGTAATGGAGTACGTTGCTCTCAGGAATTCAAATGACCTGTCTATATAGTCTCACGGATTAAATATACATTATTATACGTACCACGCGACGATTAACTGGAGTTCCCATAACTCCACCGGCGAATAGTCCTACGAGGATGATGAGATATCCACCAAAAGTTCCCATAGTGATCATAGCAGTGTGATCATCACCGGTCCTGAACGAATGGTAATGGAGTCCAATAAGGATACATACTAGGAGCTATAAATAAAAAAAAATAAAAATGTTAAACATATTTCCCATCGACTCACGGACCTAAATTATATTTGTCCAAAATAAAGTCCTTGCTTATCCCACTTTCAACATCTTGGTCTTGATCTATAACTCTAAACAAAGGCATGACGTCTCGTGAGAATTTCTGTCCACTAAATAAACCTTGAGACCTACCTCTTCCGATTTCGCCGTCAAGATATTACAAATCCTCATGGACACGCATCCATTTGTCACCGGAAATTAACCTTATCATTTCCGCAAATACATTTACTTATAAATCAGTCTGGTAAGAGCCTAGCGAACATAGAAAAAGGAGGGCACGATAAATGAGAACGATGAACCATCAATATCTTAAAACAAAATAACCTCACGCTTTTGCTGTACTATATTTACTATCTGTGTCACTTTCCTACACAACAGGTTCTACAGAATAAAGGTGCGTTCATATTGTTGACTACGATATCGCAAATAGATGCATCTGTGCATTCATCGTCGTTGGTTTTGCCACTCTGAATTACCTACGGAGACAGGAAAATTAGGCAGTGAGCCCAGGTCGGTAAAACAGAGTCTATTACACATACCACATCTCCTCGCGACATACAAAATCCTAATTCAATAACTTTATCGTTAATCAGAAGCAATGCTCGTCATGGCACGAAAGCGTCAAGGAGTTTACTAAATTACAATAAATCCTATTACCTCGATAGCTTTTAAAAAACGTGATCAGCTAATACAAAAAACCCGATCGCTGTGAATCAAATGAAAAATACATTCATTCGTATACATAACGAGCGTACAGCAACGGATAAAAGACTGACCAATCATCCACTTGAAGTCATCGTCAAGCTTTATAAAACTTCAAAGTAAGATGCTACAATAAGTTACGACCTTTATTCGACTCTGAAGTACAAAATTCCATTCTTGCAGTTGAACTTTTTCTCTCCTAGTCCCACGATTACGTGTATGCTGTGAATATAAGATTGTCGCTAATTGAAAATGATCCTTACAGCTATACGAGCTACCGTCATAAAGTAGATTCCAGTTAGACGGATTCCACTTATTAACTAAAGTGAAATTAAATTCTATATTGTAATAATTTTAAGAAACGAGAATAAAAGCCTTTACTGAGAGGTTATGTACGTTACCCGCACTTAAGAAAGTTATCTGCATTTCTAATTATTCTCCACAGTCCTAACACTCATAACGGAAACTCCTACGTGTCCTTGGCTTCCGGTTTTGCATGTCTCTTTAAACACAACGAGACTTCATGGATCATAATTAACGCGATTATGTCACGCTCCATTCCTGATGCTTACACGGTCTTTTGCGAATGCAACGATTACGACTTCGTGTAAACGTCTTTTAACTATGATTCTATGCGGAGGCGTGAGATTTAACTTGATGACGTGTGGTGAGCCACACACATATGATTCAAGCGTGGTATTCAATGACTATCAAGACAGTCAGTCGGCTACTAACTATATACAACAGCATAGTTATTGTACGCTACGATTTTGTATACGGATATTTGTATAAGATTCAGGCTTACCAAACATTTTGGATATTTGTATTTTGACAGTTCAGAATCAAGTTTTTTTTTTATAACACTTCGAGTCTGGCATATTAACCCGAAGGTGTTTACAGCATATTTATCAAGGCTGTGATATAGTATGTCATTAATACTTACCAGTTCAAGGAATTTGACGATAGCGAGCCGCGTGATCACAGCCATTTTCTGCCTGAAATTAAGAAAAAACGTTAGTATGCTTTTATTTAAAAAAAAGAAAAAAACAATCCTCCCAAGGCGATCAACTGACTATTGCCGTTTCATTTTCAAACTCACTGCTCGAGTCAAGTTACGATCTGGCGGTTAATATAAAACAAGTCGAGAGCGACTTTCGTACGCTACAGAAAACGAGGTTAGATTTGTAACTCGTGAAACGTAAAAGCGTACAGCTGCGAACCATAAAGTATAATGGTCTCTGTAGAAATCGATATAAAGTCCATTAATAAAACAGAGCCATAAGAATAAAGATATTTCATTCGTCCTGACAGTGCCAATGAAAAGAAATGTCAATTTTGCACTATATATATTATATATATATGTATATATATATATATGTATATGTATATATATATATATATACACATCTATTATACGTATACATAAATATATTATCATAATTTCTAGTCGTATCTCGCAAAGTGCCTCGCGTGTTCGCGATTTACATGAAAACGCCTTTAATATGCGTGTTAAAATTACATCGTCAATTCTTCGCATTTCCAATATTATGTCCAAGTACAAAAATACACACAAGCACACGTAGACGATAATAAATGATATCTTTAATCTATGAATTATATAATCGCGTCATTATTCTTTAACAGTATTAAAAAAAAAAGGATATTCATGACCCGCGAGCGCCTTAAGGATTCCACGTTTGGCACAGCACGTTATTTCGATTGACATTTTCTCCTGGTACCCGAGTTAATGAGAACGAATTTTTTTTTTCTTTCGAAAAAACCATTGCCAAAAAATCGTAGATCAGGCAGGTGAGAAGAAATTCCCTCCCGACCCTCAAATTATTGGCGTGAAATCATCAACCAAATAATCCTGACTACCTCGACACGATTCGAACGCTATCATGATCATTATTTTTGAAATCTGATGTCATAGCTTTACATTGATTCCAAGCGTATTGTAAATCAAGCGCAAAAAATTGCGACTGAAAGTCACTTTTTTATATTAAATTTTATACTTCACAGATAATATAGCCATTCAATTTGTACTATCTTCCTCGCAGATGCTACTACGTTTGTATTTTCTAAGTGACAGACTACAGGGGTTAACTGCATACGATAAACTCGTATAAAATTGGCCCGTGTGATGTTGAATCCCACTCGTCTTGTCAGAGACGCAAAACACGCGGGGATCATGATACAGACCAGCTTGTCGGTAAACAAGAATCGCGAGTGTGTGTATATATATATAAACTGTGAGTCATCGAAAAAAAAATATAACATGTTTTTTTTCCACATAATATGTGTATATATATCTGTGTATGATCTTGACCTAAATAGTCTTATTTTTTGTATTTGTTTTTCTTTTCCTCATTCACTCTTCTTCTTCTTCTCAAAGCTTAGGTATTATTTCTTGCAGATTCCTCGAAGTCACCTCGCACTGACCATTAGCTATTTTCGAAGCTCAGCTCTGGTTCTGGATGCAGTAGCATCCCATAAATCCTAAGGAGATTTATGGCCCGGTAAACCATGGCCACTGTTCGTTTATTTATGTTCACGTGCATGCTGATGTACCTCAGGCATTTTTGTTGCACCATACGACATTGCTACGTGCAACTGCTGAGCAAAGGGCATGGATTTATATATAAGTAGGTGGAGAAACGTTACCTCAAAAAGCTGGGTCAGTGGAACGTTAATAATACGACCGTGGGATTCCAAAGATGGTCATAATGCAATGAAAACTTGTGAGCTATGACGAGCGCCTAACATGAGCTGAATACTTATGTCACCCATGAGCAAGCTTTCCATTGCCGTAGCAACTGTAAACACGTCGCAAAAATACGCGCCCAAAGAGCATTCATTTGACTATCAAGTCACTCCTGCATAAATGTGTAAATATACATAGAAAATTTAAAAAAAGATATAAAAACGACGCTATTTATTATATAAAGGACAATAACAGCAGCAGTACTAAAATTTAATGGCGCTTATGACCACGTTGAGATTGTCGCGACGTTTGTTTTACATGACCATAAATTTGCAACATCAAAAAAATACTATTTTGTGGACAAAAATAGCGGCCTTCTAAAGCATAAAAATCCTCTTGTTATTTGACGCCTTTGTATTGCAAGCTACAGAGCAAAAGTAATTAATCCATAAGAACGAAGGTTACATAGGAAATAAGCTTTCTGTTGGACTTCCGTTCTCATATCTGACACTTGGTATCGTCAGGAAATTCAACATTAGTCAAGCCTCTCGAAACAATTAGTCATTGACTGTGAAATCGCACGGACACACTGCAATAAGACTGAACGAATACACGCACTGAAGCTGGTGCACTGATACGACAACGCGATTCAATTACTAGCTAGAGAAGCATGCAGATAATTTCTAATGCTTTAATAGACATTGTTAAACAGCATCAAAGGACACTGTGCAGCGTCCTGTGCATCAAATCTTAGAATAACACACCCTGTCTTGCATACAATTCGTTTCCTTAACAGTCTTCGACATCCCGAAGCACGCACGTATCCAGGTTAGAAATAATTTTCGAAACAATCCAAAATCCTTCGTGAGCACGTACTAACTACGTATTTACGGAGTATAAAATGTATATAAAAACAAAGGATGGGCGAACGGCGTGGTTAGGATATTTGTGGAAGACGCAGTTGAGACGCCCAGAAAAGAGTCCAAACGAATACCTTAGGACGCGTTCGCACTATAAAGCGTTTAAAATATTTCTATATACACGCTCCTACGAACGAGCAACAGGTGCACGACGTATCTAATGGTGGATGCTACTTACGTTTGATGTTTGACGTTGTGGACGTGACGTTTGTAAAGTGTGCTGAGCGTCGGTTAACGCGTCGTAAACGAAAGTCTCAGAGTGACTGGCGTCCCGAATTTCAGCGTCTTCTTCAAGCGTCGTGAGGGCGCTATTCTATTACGATTCTTACTACTACGCCAAGCCTCACCTTCATCCTATTCTCTTCCTACCAACTCTCTTTCTCACTCTTCTCCTGCTCTGCACCTTACTCGGCTCGCTGCTCTTTATTCACTAGTCACACACAAAACACATACTGCTTCGACATAACCCCACTCGTGCGAGCAAATGCAACTCTGACAGACACACTGACAGTTGGCCAATCGAACTGGCCAATGGGATGCTACCATGAGGAGGATGGGAGATATAGGACTTGGGTGATATAATAAGTAAAAAGATATGCTGTCTATCCTCGGTAGTATTGCCTTTTGGTTGTGTTCTATGCTTTCTCCCTACCTACGAGGATTCCATGGCAGTGGTCTATTCGGATAATAACAACAGTACAATATCTAGACCTTGCACGGAATTCAATATGACGTTAGATCCATATATATACCAGTTACTCACTCGCTGGCGAATCATTTTACTCACTATGGAATTTCTGGAATTAACTACTCAATCCAGAGTCAGAGATAAGATAACTCGACTTGTGTTGCTTGGACCAATATGGATACACCACCACACTGCAATGAATAACAAAGTATAAGAACGTAACACAGCATAATATTTATTCTGTCTAAATGCAGCAAGGGTATCTATAAGTTCTGTGTATTTGAGGAAACGTGTATAAATCGATATAGAATTCTTGTCAGCTGATTTTAATAGACTGCAATATATTTTTTGTGCATTTTTAATATGGATATCCAAACTTATCAGTAGAGTTCTTGAAATTATTAGACTTCCTAGTGATTTAATGTACGCAATCATGGAGTGTCTCGTCGCATTAGAGGATGACCGAAGATATATATATATATCTACGCCTATAACGTGACATCATGCTTCTGCATAACACTCCTGACTCCTCCGTATGAAGAGAGTTAGCTCCGAAGTTGGATCTGATATCATATTGTATGTACGTAGTACCTAGAGTATGTTATATTGCATCATAATTGATAATAAATATTATGTACGCGTTAGTATGTTGGGTAAGGTATTTGGACGCTTATTGATTCTAAATAGTAATGTCTTTCTCCATTACGAAAGCATCCGTCTACTCCAATTCGATTACTAAATCAGATGGATTCATACGTGATTCCTGAGATCGGATTCACATCACGTGAACGACTTGGAACTCGTGCGTTGGTTTCTTCGTGAAATACTTCATATTCGTGTACATGTACAGGTCTACGCAGCAGCAATATATGTTCATAGGTTCTGCTTCTGAATTCTGGAACAAGTAGAAAATTTGATTGTAGAATATCAAAATATGGTACAGTAGCTGGAATGGATTTTGTGGTAAAGAGAGACCTTCGCTACCGACTGTAACTGAATAAAGCTTTTACTACGGTTACCGACAGAAGATATGTTATTGACCGAGTGCAAATAGATGGTGGCTGTAACATCTCCGGTGCAAAAGATGGCGTTTTTTCTTACGAATTTGAAACTTTGAACATCCATCTGACTTCCTTGTCGATACGAGGGGAGTTTATCAAGAGTGACGACAGGATCTAAAATACCAGGCTGTTCTTGCATGTCGTATTTCTGGTTTTTGTTCTTCTTATCTTTAGTTTTAATACATCGTCGTCGCTCATTACTTGACTCTCTGGATACCGTAGGTGCATCATTGAATGACACGTTGCTCGAACCAGACTGTATCACATCGACGGTATTAACAAGTTGCCTTTCCCTTTTCTCCTGCAAATATCTATTATGTATAAAACTCGCCCTACAAATACCTCTCAGCGAGACTTGGTATAAAAATTCCAATCTTACCGACAGCCAAAAATCGTACAGTATCCAAGACTGTATAAGATACAGGGTACAGCCAAAAATCGATATTAAACAAACGATATAATTATGAATAAAAATCGGATGATCGAGTAATTCATTGTCAGGTACCTCCGCGATATTTATATGAATCTCCGCGTGTCTCATAGCAGATATAGCACCAATAAACATAAACATTGCACCAACGAAGGAAAACGTCATGGGCTTAAAGAAAAAGAAAACCAGCATTAATTTATCAAGGCTCTTTTTCTACTCAAATCACAGACTCACGATGGCAGGCCTCCTGACGAGTTTCCTGGTGCCAAATCTTAATATCGCCAATATCAAACTGAGCATCATGCATGCCGGAAACACGATGAAGACAGGATTCTTTTCTTCCGGCAAGGTCGGCACGTCTTTATTCTGTTCTTGTGCGATGCGATTCGCCGCGTGATGAACATGATGAAAGACAATGAGCGTGACGGCAACAGTCTGGAGAGAACGAGAATCAAGGCTCGTAGGGACAGTGGAACCGCTCCCAGAATAAATCCGTTTAACGACCTCCGCTGTATGCAAACAAGAACGTAAATCGAGGGAAAGGACTGCCATGCGGAATATAAAAGCGAGGATGGAGACTTCAGTTTCAGGATCGCGTCAATCGAGGTCGAGGACGTTCTAACGGCGATTCTCATAAACTGAACTTAAATTAGAAGCACGATATAAGTAATTTAAATCGTAACACTTGAGTGTATAGTTGTCTGTGTGTTACGATGTCTCATAATTTTGTTATGCAACCCGAGATACGTACTGACCTAACACGTTTTAAGATCTTCCAGATCTGAGCACATGCATAATATATTTAGGACAAAAAAGGAGAACAGGCCTAATCTCTTAAGGAAATCCACAGATATAATTTCATTAAGGTGTAAGATTACTGTCTGTTTTATTTATGTTCTAGATATTAACGTCGACCCAGTTACCTTCTTCGTATTAGTTTTTTTTTTTTTTTTTAATGCGAGCTCAGTAAAGTGACACCAAACTGCGTACAACACGATACTTCTTACAAATGGTCTAGTGTTTCACGTAGTCATTCATTAACTGATATATTAATTAGGTTACTGATAAGAAACTGCAAAAATTGTTAGTTGTCCATAAAAAATTAAAAATCTCATATTTCAATGTGTCTTTCATGCCTGTGATTTGTTTAATAGAATTTAAAGGGAGGAAAAAATTACGTACAAGCTGACACAGATGAAAGGTTCCGTGAACGATTTCCGATATGTTAGATTTCCTTTCGAAATTCTCATCCCTGTGATAGATACTGGCTATCTGTGCTGCAGTTCGAAATTGATGCACTTCGTGGTTTGGTGTATTGATACCGTTCATCCCTCAGGTGGTTTACGCGCGATTCAAAGACTTATCGTTTTCCTGCATCTCTGCCTGTCAATTGGGAAATGGCGAAAGACGTGAAAGCAGCAGCGTAAACAGACTTTTCTTCGAGTTTCAAGTTTCACGGTTTCTTCGTGTCAGACTGAATGCGAAAATTGACAGTTGAAAATTTTGCAAAATCTAGGGAAAGTAAGAAATAATACGTATACTGATTATTATATATAGAGTATGCAACGCGTATAAATTATAAGGTAGAAAATTGTTGAACTACCAATTTCCTAGGATATTTTGAAAATTGACCAAAAGTAAAAGTCATGTCTTTTCCTCCACGCTCACATACTTCTTCCATTTATCATAACAAGTGGAAGTCTTTACCTGCACAAAATATAGTGGATTCTTGTGTGAACTTAGCCAGGAATTTCTGACCATCCGCCATTGATGGAACCTGATGAGGGAGAAGAGAAAAAAAAAGTATATAGAAGAGAAAGAAAAGCCAGCTCGCATGCAACTACGCACAGTCAGGTATAGAGGAGGTTCTTTTTTTCTTCTTCTTCTTACTCCTTTTCTTTAAACTTCTCAAGGGATCCACGAAGATGCGTATCTTATTTTTCATCACATTCCATACAGATTCCATTTATAAAAATCATTCAGTTTCATCAAAGAGACATCGTATCCTGTTTCTATGTATACTTGAAGAGAACAAATTTAAAAAAGAAAATACAAAAATATATACTACTTAATTTACTACTGTTATTAATACAACCAACAAGTCTATAGAAAGACTGAATTTTATTTTTAAGACTCTCACCATGCACAGGCTGACTGGCAGCCACTTACAGCAGTTGCTGTAATAAAGTCCATCATTACCGTTGCAATTCCAGCGGATCATTCGGCGAGATGGACAATTACACGGCAATGAACACATGTGTTCGAACCTTTCACGCCAGTATATAGTTATACACCTATATTGTATATAGATACATGCGTAGGTGCATTAGCCAGCTGAGGAAAATACGAAAAGGAAATGGTATGCGATTAACTATGCGCCACATTCGAATACAACTACGAATGAAGTTGCACTTTCATTAATGAAAGTGAATGGTTACTAGGTGATCTTACAGACTTTGGTATACGTATATTAAAGAAAGACACTTGAAGCTAATACTATTAATAGGCACTAATCTGATTTATAGTGGATTTGATTAAGAGAATTTTTCTTCAATTGCAAATTAATTCGTTCGATTTTCTTTGTCTAAAATTCCACTGTGTTTCTGTCTTATTAATTTAATGCAATCAACTGATACAACTGGTCGGTTAATGTATACGGTACTGCAGATGCGCTATCACGTTTTTAATCGAAATACTGCACATGCAGTTCTCGGCTATTTGTGTAATTGCAAACAGCAATGCACCTGCACCTATGTCGCGCCTTTCGCTGGCCGGTTTACCTTGCAATTGATTGCAGAAGAATCCGAGGCAGAGAGATCGACTTTTGTATTATAACAACTGCTGGAGTTCCTGGCGTAGCTAACATTAACTTGTAAAATGGTTGATAATGTATGGACTGCGTGTATCTAACGGGTGTCTGAATGAAAAAGAGAAGAAAAAAAAAAGGTTAAATACAGATTTAAAGGAAGGCAAAGTAAACATTGAGAACTTGGACCAAGAATTTTAAGAAGAGCCAAGAATTTTCATGGAAAACAACAAAAAGTACCTGCAGGTGTCCGAAAAAGATGCACGTCTAGGGAAGAGAAGAAAGAAAAAAGTGGGAATAACGACATTTTTCAGTTGGGTTATCTTGAAGATCTTCGACGCCATTAATATTTTCTCCCTTCTCTCCCTTCTTAAGATTGGTCAGGTTGGCTGCAGCCGTACAAAATTCATCCCTCGAGGTGCCTTGACGTAAGGATGGATGAGACGCCCTGAGGGAAGTAAAAGATGAAGGAGAGGTAAAAGATAAAGAGAAACACGTCTTACGCCAAATTCCTTGCAAGATTATAAGTCTAACTACGTCACAGATTCTCCTCGTGTACCTTTTTCTCAAACGAATAGTCCGCTTCCTGTCGTCTTGGAATGCCGACGATACTGATGCTCCTGACATCTTCATCTAGACCATTTACACTGCGTCCCTGTGACAGGGTCGTTAGATAAGCACAAAGACAAAAGACTCACCATCTCTAGATAATACATTGTTCTTTACTCGAGAGGAAGTGGAGATAATAATACAAAAAGATGAATGAAGAATTAGCATGATACGAATAAAAGAAACATAACCTATAAGTACTTCATTTATTCCGTATCAAATTTCTTTTTAGTTTCTGAATTGAGGAAAGTGCCAGTGAGATTAGATTGTCGTTCACGTATGTCCGCGTGTATAAAGTCCGACGAAATATTTATAAGAAAGTGGACTGCTGCAAAATTTCTAGAGCGAGGAATTCGTCAATAAGGAAATCCCCAGGGAGGCGACGCCCCAGGGTGACCATCTTTCAAAGTACAGTATGGAATGCGAAAGGGATATGGGCTTTAGGTATGAAAAAAATAGGACCTAACCTTAAACCTGACGCAATAGATCACCGACACGTTTCTAGGGTTAGTAATTTTTTACCTCTGTACTGTTTTTGCAGGGTAGCTAACAATATCATAAAATTCCAAGGGATTTACAAGCCGTGTAGAATTTAGCCATGAACTACGATACATTAAACAAAAGAAAAGATTACAATTAACTACGCGCCTATTACAATAAAATTTGACAGATGCATAATGCTTGATCTAACGTTAAGTAATAAGAATCAATAAAGACAATTTAATTACAAATATTTCTCCATTTTATTACAGCAATTTAGTATTACTTCTATGAAAGAGCATTATACGAATTACGAATATTCTTACGTAATACGAAATCATCAACACTGGCAATCCATATTCATGCATGTATAAATTTCATATGGTATCTGAAAACCGGATTTCATCCTTCTCTATCGTTTCAACTATAAGTTAAAGATACTCATTAATGTAATGCATTTCCGGTACGTGAGAGAAGGCTCGTAAACATCGATCACTATCATTTTCGTCTCTCCGTGGCGTCAGCCATTAACCCACTTAAGGCGCATGCGCACAAGAGCACACGTAATCATCATAACGAGTACATTGTACGTATATTATTGTGGCGTGCTGCCCGATCACGAAGAACAAGAAACTCTTTGTCGACATCTCTCGGACGTCCATCTTGCAAGTATTAATAAAGGACACGCGTAGGACACAAGACTTTTTATTAAAAGCAAATAAAACATCATCGATCGGCTTGGATACGAAAGAGATAAAAAAGAAACAAGCGTCCTGGCCTCAAATTTAAAGAGAAGAAGATATAAAAAATAAAACTCCAGAGAAGTTCTCAGGTATTACGTCAAACACGTTCTCGAAAGTCTTTCTCTTGACTCTGGTATTATAGATTAAAGAAGGAACCCCGCGATTGGGTAATGGTGGAAAGTGGGACGCCCGGAACTTTTGAACTATAATAAGAAGAAACGGACTGTAAGGTGGAGAAGGAGGATAAGTATGAGGAGGTAGTGAGAGATGACGGGAAAGATCTGTCGATAGGAGTAACCAGGAGAAAGACAGAGAGCATGGAATTTTATGTATCCGAGAGAGAAAGGAAGACTGTCCCAGGTCGTTTTCTTAACGAGCGTGAAAGCCTTCGGCATAGGGTAAAGATGTCGTGGGTCGACGGGGAATGAAAAACAAAATATGCTAGCTAGTCGAAGCAATAAATGTCAACTAGGCAACACTTTTCGACATGAGTCATGCTAGGATAGGCAGACGCTAGGCGTCGCAACGCAAGGAGATATATATTTAAATATTCCAGCGATGATAGAGAAATGGGTTTGCTTATGATTTTTTTTAGTAATTTTTCCTTTTTCCTTCTTTATTTATATTTTAACTTGGCTCTACTACTATATTCAAACCGGATGCATCTGCCCTTTGGGCTTTCCCCGGATAAACTACCACTCTGACAGGTGCACTTTTGCTGGCTGGATAATGCTGATACGTTTGAGGTGGGATTTACGTATTCTTTTCTCTTCCATTTCTTGTGCTCTTATCTGTAGCTGTTTTCGAAACTCCATGACCATGTTTCACACAGGTAGGATGTGACGTAGGAATAATATGGTAGATACTGAGAATATTCTAATAGATTTCTGAATCATACGGAAGCTCAGCTGTTGTTGGCATTTTAAAATGACCTATGACCTTGTGACTTATATGCATGTTATTCGAGCCTGTAGTTCAATCGAAATTTACTTATTTCAGAATGTCTGCAAGAAGCTGTGATGTGTCGAGGAATCTCTGAGCTTCTTTACCTGTACCAGAGGTTTCCCGGAAGGAGGCTGTAGAAAAATTGGTGAAAAAAAAAATTCGTGAAAACGTTTCCTTTGATCTGCCGATAAACAGAAGAACACGGACATTTACATCGTCACGTTCCGCCAATATTGAATCAGTGACTTTTCTTGGGATCGTCCCGTAAATTCTTTGGCACGAGAATATACGAGAAAAGAAAAAAAAAGAGGAAAGCATAAATGTCAAAAGTGGAGAGAAAAGTATTTTATCCGTGAACTTGAGACTGCCAGGCAGTTATTAATGAATTTGCTAATTACTTCAGAGACACAGTTGTGCACTGTGCTTAAAGGGTGTTGGTACCGGAAAAAGATAATGTATAATTGCCGACAAGAGATACAGAAATTTATGCATAAATGCATACAGAAATGCATTCATAGACACGCTTAGAAATATACAGAGCGAATGACGTAGATATATATGTTAGCGTAAAGGCGGCCCAGATTCATACTCAGCCACTATCAGAGTTCAGAGTGAACGAGCCCTTTATGAATGCATACTTGCCGCCATTCCTCGTTTATGCGTGTTCTACGTTTTACACGCATTAAATTACACGTGTTATCTACATTCAGTGCGCATGCGCAGTTATTACCCAGGTGCTCCGTTTCCTTGTCTTGCTTCACTGGTACAAACTTATCCAGCAAGCACAGTTGTTCTATAAGATACATATATATATATAACTTTTAAGTAGTTGTATAATAACATAAAATTTATGTATTTCAGGTTTAACTGTTATGAGATGCATTCACTGGCTTTGTTTCTTCTTGCTACTTCCTTACTGCATATTCTCCAGCTTAATGTTCAAGAAATATAGTATGGCCACGTCTGTCGCGAAATTTCGCGACAATTCCAAGCTGCTGTATATGCTTCTACGTATAAGCATATAAGTTCCCTGGTGCTCTACGCACTTTCCACGAACACGTGCGCAGTGTCTAGGTAATAATGTAATTCCATGAAGGAGTGTTTGTTTTAATTGGCTCGAGACTCCGGCTTCGTTCAACACCTTGTATTCTCAGCAAGCAAACCAGCAGGGAACACAAAGTAAATCCAAGAGGGGAGCTACGTAGCGCGAAAAGCGGTGATATTGAGGAGACTAAAAAGAAAATATGAAAAGGTGAGTGAAAAAAGTTTTTTCATTTTAAAAATAGCTTGCTTTACCTTGATTGATTCATACTTTTATACTGGTACGTTTAACAGCATCCCTCTGAGACTGTTACTGTGGGACTTCAAGGAATCTAAAAGTTTCCTTCAAGGTTTTAGGGATTTAATGGAATTGTAAAGGTACGTATCGTTACCGTCAGTCGACCGTTTCTGCACGGTAACAGCGTATCCACGAGGCGTTAAGTCTCGCCGTTGTTTTTCGCGTTGCGTGATTCGCACTGCAGCTTTAGATAGGTTAGGTGCAAGAGAGCCATCGCAACCACCAAGAAAGTAACAGCAGCGGAATTGCCGCGGATCCGACGAGTCGCCTCAGTTGCAGTTGCACTTGGTGCAACTGCACACCGCGGATGACCTCGGCGCAGGAAACAGGAAATCCTGAGGAGTAAACCAACCAGAAACGTATTCAGAAGATACAGAAGCTTCACTGTCATGAGGAATTGTCAGTGAAAGAGATTCATGGGAAGGAAAAGAATCGCATGGCATCTTCCGCGTAGGCCATTATAGCTATAAGAGTGCAAATGAGACAAGAGATTGATATGCCACAGTATTAAGAAAAAAGTCGGCCATTTGTTTCTCTAATATTTGAAAAAACAAAATGGCTGCTTTGTCTACCAAGAAGACACGTAATACGTAACTTTGCTTTGTTGGTCCTTTGTCCGCCAAGAATAATGAAATTTTTCTCTCGTTCTGCTACATTTCTTTTGTATTCTCCCCTTGTACTTTTTCTTTTTTTTTTCAATCTTTTAATAACCGCTCCAGCTACCCTCCTAGAAACATCGTGATCACGGGACTGGCGGGCAAAATAGTTTGCGTCATCGCGAAAGTCAAACGAGGCCAAACAGAGTGTAAAGAAATTTACAGCTTGTTGAGAAGAGCAGAACCAGCCAAATTACTGGTACGCACACACAGCCACGAGTATGGATAATAACAGCACAATAAATCCTCATGGACTATGCTGACGAAACCAGCAGGGGATCTATATCTGGTGATCTAGCAGACTAGAATAATCGATGCTACGTCCATTCATTTCTCCGCTGACTCCTTCTAGATGAGAAACCCCACAGGTACCGGTGGCTCTAAACAAACTAGCCACTGATGAATATAATTGGCAGCCACCCATGGCGTACGGTTTATACGCTATTTTAAAGCGATAAGAATTTCCTGAGAAATTTTCGCAATCGACAATCACGAGCTGACCGATTACTTAGTCATTAAATAATCGCATGACTTCTGAAATTATGACCGGTTCTACCAGTTCCAATGAACCAGGACGAAATAGTTTTTCTGGCACCAATTATCTCTTCTGTGCAGAAATATTGCAGCAGTCAATGTACAGGTACAAGAAGGTGATTGTAAGCTTTCCTAATATTTCTCTGTATCAACCTGGATTATTTTCACGTATTTTCATCCAATCTTGCGACGCACTGAAAATCAAGAAAAGAGGTGTAACATTGCCGTAACGGTTTTAGACTCGCCGAGGCTGAACGGCTTGCCAGTCGGCTCTCGAAGCGGGTACGGTGTAACTGGCAATTAAACTTTCATAACCTGTCCATTAGCGCGAATTAACGTAGGGCACTAACTCATCGGGATGCCGCTGATGCAACGCGCTTAATTTACGTCGAGAGTGGGGGGGTTGTTTGCCCTCGTTTCCCTTGAGGGTGAGTTCTACGTGTATGATACAGAGATGCCCGTCGTAGAGAGACTGATGGCACAACCCTTTTAGGCAAACTAATGCACATAACCTGTACATCAGAGAGTCCTGATGGTTTCTGGTGGAGAGGAGAGGAGAGGAGCCCTACGGCAACGTTGTACCAAGAGTATTACACGGAACAGACATTCTATGAATTACCAAATTCCTTGGCAAAGTGGCTATAGATTATATTCATAGTAAAATACTCCCAGGAAACGATCTTCTGTAAATAAATAAATAACTATTACAGGTTATGTACAAGGATGGTAAATTAAAAAAAAGACAATCTGGTGCACGTGTAGACCATGAAAGATATACCATATAAAGTCTCGTAAACCAGGAGCGTGTGACTAAATTATAATTTGGAGCAATCCCTGGGTAGAGCAATCCCTTAACTTGCTATATGAATATCCCATTAAGCTCCGGTCGGCGATAGAGGGTGAAAGTAACCCCGATGGAAATCTAGGAATTTAATAGAATAATAAATGATCACAGCCATACACGTATATGATCTCCAACACAGTGTGCAATGTTATACATCTATCAAGGAATGACACAAGAGCGATATATCAAATTACGAATTTAAGTACTTTAGGAATATAATTCTCGAGAATAAAGTCACTGTCGCGCAGCGTGTCGCTGCATCCCTATTTATTTTCAGCCCTTAAGCTTCAGCAACGTGCCCCAGGGCACACGGTCTCGTGTCCTTAATCCTTCAGTAGACTTTACTCTGTATACAACAGTCTGCAATCGCAAATATGTATATACAACCCCAACACTGTCATGACAGGCGGGAAAAGGGGGTTGGCAAGATGGGGTGAATGTTTGTTCCATAGGATAATACGATTAGATCCTGAGGATAGCCCGAAGCGACACCCGGTGCATAACGTCTATCCTACAGTATATTCTGTTTATGCGAGGATGGCTACACCAGGACTACGTAGACACTCCGACAGGATAGCAATAGGGAACTTAACTCGGGAGGGGAGGCAGAAGAGGGAGGTCGGGACGTTGGATAGCGTTTGTTGTGCAGTGATAACACAATTAGTTTGTCTCGTCATGCGCAACCTCCGATAAGGGATTCTCTCTTGTCTCCTAGTGAATCCAACCGACACAGCGTACCATTTAGCAAGGGTAGTTTAATTTCGTATGGCTTGAAATTTCGTCGGAGCCGTCGCTGATTCCTCCATGAGAGTTTCAAATAAGTCCACAATGCTCAACAACCCCATAAATCATATCCATTTATTGCGTATCCGTATGAGTAATTCTGTAATTAAAAAAAAAATTGTAAGGATCACGAAAAATCATAATAAATTAGTCATCTCTTAATCTCACCCTATTTCTCTGTCGAATAACAATATCGGTAGAGGTAGGCCCGGTACTACAGGTAGTAGCAGACAATGAACTTGAGGTCATTTAAATATGACTGACCTTTATTAACCCTATCAACTGTCGCATTCACAAGTTTTACCAAGGGTTGTTTCACGAAATAAGCATAGAGACCCCAAAAAAGGTTCCTCTACCTCAGCCATACCAGTTGCTCCAACACACCGTTCACATCACCGTACGTATGAAGGGGGTTGTTAAGAGTTTCTCAGGGTTGTTTCCGCATTACCAATAGCTTAAGTACGAGGTGGTGCGCTCGTGGTTCGTGAACGGGAGAAGCCGATGGGGAAGGGACAGCCAAGCCAGGCAGCCAGCACCGAGTCGACAGTCGGAAGAAACGACAGTCGCCACTCGACACCCGTGCAGAACGGAAAGGCCGAGTACAGTACTGTACAGCGCGTAGACGTCTACTGTCGGAATAACATAAAACATATATTTTTTTTAAATAATCGAAAGCACACAAGACACTTTAATCATCGCAATTCACATTGACAAAGATTAATGCGAGTGTCAAGATGAAGAGACTGAATTTGTGAAATTATTACGTTCAACAGCGGCTGCTGGAAGCCGACACTTCAACGGGGTGGTTTGAATGGTGCGTTGTTGTTCTTGGTTAATCGGTTTTCTTTTTCTCTGGAATTCCCACTGAAACGTGTTCGTGACGATGCTATACTATCGTAATCAGTGAAGGATGAGTTGCACGTGAATATACATTGAGAAGTGATCGAACAGCGTGAACTTAGATATATATAGACAGAGAAAGAGAGAGAAAGAGTGAGTTTGTGTACGGGAAAGAAGACAGACATACATTAATGTATATGTCAGTTTGTTAATAGCGTTTTGCACTCGACAAGGCGATATTTCACTAAGCGAATTTCTTGGGCGATATTATTTCGTCAGTTTCGTACTTCCTTCATTTATTTACTAATATCTTGGCGGGAAGGAGGTGGGGGGTTGGCCGATTTCGCAAAGATTTCCATGGACGCTCTGTATATTTTATATATATACGTGTATACGTACTTGCTGCAATATAATTAGTGGTGTTGGAGAAGGTCCGCTTGTGTGATAGGAAGCAGCTGCCGATTGCGTTATTGGATATCACGGACCGTTCCCTTTACGATAAGAAGTTTCTTGGTGAGTGTTTTACGTTGTTTTCCCTGGTTTAATCTTTTTCTTATTTTGTTGCTCTCATTGTTTTTGTCTTTGTCCCTCGTGGCATTTTACAATAGAGACGAAGCATTCATCCCGTGAATTTAATCGTTGAGAAGTTAACGATTGTTGGTTTACACTGTAATATATAAAGGATGATAAATTGACATGTGCAAGTGTATTTAAAACGTCTAGAATGAGAACCACTTTACTTTCGAATCGGAGTACTTTCGGTCGGCCGATGTTATAATATGCCAAAGTCGAAGTGTGTCCAGGACTCACGGCCGCTGGTCAAAACACGCAGCTCACAGTTATGACAATTGATGATTTCAGCGACTTTTCTCGTTCCTTCGTATTATTATCCTTGCCGTGCGAATTTGTCTAGTGGCACTTTGAAACTGTTTCGTAGCCAAATTGTTTGGGCCATTTAAAGGTCCCGTTAATCTTGATATACCTAACAGCAAACAGAAGGACCTGTACATTATTGTATTAGTCTTTCCGTTCTTCATTTTAGGTTAGGGCTCAAGTCTGTTTTTATTGTACAAGTGCGCATGCGCTGTCCATTTAAATTTTCCCGCTATAACACACTGTGTCGTCGCACTTTTGTTATCGCATTGATTGTTAAATAATGTCACGCGGTAGTTGGCCACTCGGATTCCAGAGATGTTGCTAACGAGGCTAGGTCGCGATCCGAGAAGAAGCGGATCGACACGGATCGGGATCAATGTGGTTTTGCGATCGTTCGTTTAACGGTGGACTTTGCCAAGGCGCCTCTTAAAGTGGAATTTATCAGGATCGCGTAGTGCGTTACAGCCATTACGATTATGCTGAGGTTAGAATGGCAATCACGCATGCGCAATGGCTTTCTTCTTGGCCGGGTTTCAGGAAATACAAATCTCAATTGATTTCTTACATGTTTCTATGTTTATCGGTGTCTTGTTATACCACGAACTCTTGTAATCTATGAGGGTGTATCTGGCACTTATCCACCTTTAATAATCACGGTAATACCAATCACTGAGATACCTATCGCACCACTGACCGTAACAACACTTTCTAACGAGACCCGATCGGAATACCGAATTCAATCGGTGCGCCACGATTGAACCTAGATAAATTAAATGGACTCTGTCCACATTACTGTAAAGTCCAAGATTCATCTCACGTCTGTCAGAAGCCAAAGAAAGTACCGAGCAGTACGACCGATCCGTGCAAGTGGGTCGATCGTGATTCCATTGCCGAAGAGTCGTTGAGAGTAGATTTTCAGTCGAGTCAAGAGGTAAACAAAACAAAATTTATGAGAAATAAAAGTTGTAGGCTTCGCCATAATTTTTTAAGGATCTACTCACGGGAGTCACGTCCAATCATTTTTTCTTCATTATTATTCTAATCTAATACCACGCTCCTAACCTAGCTAGCAATTCAATTGACTAACCGTCCACTCGCAATGCTCTGGCGTCCCCCTGATGCTGGGTTTATATTGGTCAATCAAGATTGAAATAAAAGCCCATCGGGAGAGGTCGACGAGTTGCAACTGGTCATTTAAAAATTCCACGTTTCACGATCGATGAGTTTCCCCATAGAATTCCAGTAGTCTGCATCTGTCACTGCACTCCTATCTTTTATTTATTCTTGTCCTGTAAACACGACAGTTCTGTATATACTTTTGGTTATGGGTACAACTGATTGGCCAGTCAATTTAAGATTGTTTTGTGTCAGACTTGTGTTTGATATCATTTCACACTTGTAAGTTAGAGGCAAGAACAGCAAATCAGGAAGTCAGTGTTATTCTTCTTACGGTACATTCTAACCTAACCAAAGAAGTCACCTGTGACTTATTACAGGAGAGACGCGTCGTGATAATTGTAAGACAATGGTTGGTAGTCTCGCTAGCTTTTCTTCACTGTATCTTTATAGCACTTTATATACGCGGTAATATACTGTTATACGCTATATACTCGCGTGTACACGCCTTCCTATCTCCGTTAAGAGGTTCACGTCGAGACAGAACTTCTGGAACAACGCCATGTCGTGAAACTGTGTCGAGAATCACCCGGCGCCTCGACGACAGCTGGTCGTTCGACCAGCGTCGATTATACCACTTGTCATAATTCTTTTATTGCTGCGCTCGTGGCTTTAACCTCACTTTCTCACTTTATTTGTCATTTATAAAAGGGCCATTATCGAGCACTCCTCGTCGAACAACTAAAACACAATATGCACACTATTTAACATGCTTAGTTATGAACGCGTAGGTATCGATTGAGAAACTATTTCGCGCCTTGGTGCGAACTTCTTTATTCTTAATGACTAGAGAGGTCGTAATTACAGTTGGTTCTGGTGAAATGGTGAAAGGTAAGCTGAACGGGGGAAAGATACAGGAAAGAATAAAGGTACAGGCTTCTGTGCCACCAGTCGGTATTTGACTAAGGTATTACATAATGCCAGGATATCCGCCCGTCTGGCTCTCTCGCACCTTTCTACTTCATATGGTATTCAAAGAACAGCATAGATACGTCCACGCGTTGTGCTGTATCGGAATATATTAACTATATACCCTTCCTTGGTTACATTAGATATATTTCGTGGTGTCATCTGTCACATTTTGATTTAGTGTTCGATCGGAAATGCGCCAGAGGTGGCTCGTGTGCATATTATACAATCATTAAGGTACCTATATTTGCCTGTATAATAGTGAACTATTCCTATTTCGGCTAATTAACGTCCGATCGGAAGTATCACGTTCGTGGCGAAGACTCACGTATCCCGACGACGAAGTTCCGGTTCGTTTAGATTTGGTTGACGTCATAAAGTCAGGTGGCAAGACGCCATGTTCGATTTGAAATGGCCCTAAAACGAGTGTATAATTGAAAATGACTTATAAAGGTCGTATTACAAATGGCTGCAGTTAAATTGTGATACCTCGTGTAAATGACAGGATCTTGATGAGTCATACAGATTAGAATTAGACTGAATTATTCGTTCTGAAGGGAGACTGTAATTGTTGAATTTAAAATGGATGCCATAAATTATAGAATGACACTGTGGAACAGCTGTTATTACAAATGTATATGTTCAAATTTCTTGACAGAACAGTGTACAATGATCGTTGTTTTTTATATAATTTATTATTAGGATTCTGATAATCACACGTTACTCGGGAGACTTAGTAGTGCACGCTTTTATAAAAATATACTCGGCATATGTTGTCCTTGATGGCCATTTTGAAATGTTCGTATCTTGGGCGTTACTTCTCCTTTATTTTTTAATGAGTCTTCAGAGATACCATTTACAAAGTGTGTTACACCCATCACCAATGATTCTAAGTGGGCCAACGACTGTGTGGGTCAGTGCCAAACCTTCTTCTTCTCTGGCCGATCTCTCATGAAGATCGAACCTCACTGTCCAGCACTCCATTACGTTAAAGCGATCGGTTTGAATTATTTGACAAGCTAAAACTATTACCTAGTAGCGACCATGATGAAAGAATCAAAGACGATCCCCATCAGGTTGAAATTACACAATTCTAAACGAGCGAATGACTAAGAAGTGCGAATCGAGATCTATGAAAGGAAGGCGGGAAATTGGGTCAGTTTGAATACGTTTTTGAATAAGAGCACAAAATATTTAGATGGTAACCTCGATATTTCACTGGTTATTCCTAGCAAATTGAACTACTTCCTATTACGATTTTTCTATATTAAATTTATAATTTATTATTATGCACTGTACTGATACAGTGTACTTAGGTCAAAGTAATATGTACTCTTAGATACTTAATAGAATTCAAATAGACGTAACGCGCATGAACAGCTTCCCTTCTTTTTATTTAAAGTAATAAATAGCAATGCAAAACCTATAGTGTAAACGTGACTTAAGGCTTAAAGTTGCCTGTGCAAGGCGGTCTGGTGGCCTTAGGCTGTCGGTCACTGACACTGTTTCACAACTCGTGAGACGGCCTCCCTGTACAAGTATCAAGTGACCGTTGCACAGCCGAATGTACACTCTCAATTAGTGTACTCGTTCACTTCCTGGTTGAAATATAAAACCCCGGCGTTACTTCCGGAACGGAAATAATATTTCTTAAAAACAAAACAATTCTTACTTATTAGCCACTCACGTGTCTGAGAAGATGGCACTTAGCTACAAATATCCTAAAGGACGTATCTTTATGCCGTTTGAGTAAAACATTCACTAATACTAAATTACACCTAATTTCTCCTAGTCAAGGACTGTTCTCGAAACTTTTTCATGACCTTGACGTCTCAGAATAAACTCTCCAGTAATACGTGTCATAGTATACTGCTTTTGACTAATGACAATTTTTTTTAAAACCGCAAGACAGTTTGGAATATATAAATAAAATTCTTAATTGATAACGCCAGAGCAATTAAATTATTAAAAATTAAATTTAGCACACCACCGTCGTGTCTGGATTTTAAATAAATCAATTTTCTTAATTAACTCTACATGGATGCGAGCTAGATGTATATAACCATGTAAATTCTTGTTCATCGAATTACATTAGCAACAACAGCACTGTCATAGTTTGTCACTAAGTGTGGTATAGTTGTTAATAGTAACAGCGACAGTGTTGGTCGTGTATTATACTACCAGTAGCTGTAATAGTATCGGTAAGGCTATAAGAAGTAGAGTAATAAATAGAGGACGAGAAGCTGTCACGAGCTCACGCGTTACGGGTTAACAATCGGGTCAACTCGTCGACTAAACCAGTTAGTCAGAAGAATGACCAGATCGCTCGAACCTATAATCGGCTTAATTTAATATACGATCGATCCGGTCTTTCTCAGAATCGTCAATGCAAGACATTGCAAGCGATCAGAACCTAACGAGATATATCATAACTCTTGATAAAGCGTAACGAAGCATTTGGCGGCAAATTCAAATGACTAATTTAACTCTGACCATCGTCACAAAGTAAAATTATACAATTATTCGCGATCCTTAAGTAAAAACTAAGCGTGGATAATTCACTTGAAAAGATTCGCCACAATCCAACGATTCGCATCCAAGGTATTATTCGTCAGTCACAATCCAAATTTCTCGACGTACATATGGACCCCTTTTAACACGTGCGATCTGGCGACAGGCCAAAACTTTCCAGACAGTTGGGCGCGCAATACGTTACTACGGAATTATCGACAGGGAAATAAGAAGATGCGGAAGACGAAGCAGGAGACAGAGGAGGTGGTGCTTTCGATGAGAATAATATTTACGAAGCATGGGATCATTGATGGCCGCTGTGTGATTAGAAGCCGACATTGAGACCAAACAGAAGCCTCCTAAACATTGCCGAGTGTTAGGCATCCATCGAAATCGTATTGCTCTTCAAATTCTTCGCTGCAACATTTCGGTTGGCATTTTTTTAGACCTCCTTCAAGAACATTTAAGCAGACCATATATATATAGATCTGTATACACACACATAACATCCAGTACGGTGCCGTTGCGCAAATCCAATGATTTATGAATTCTTGAGCCGTGCCTCTTTTCGTTGGTGGTCGAGTGCGTTGTTCCATAGGGAATGAAGGAGATTAGGTTGCAGTTTGGTGATTTTTAGTCAAAGTAAAACAGATGGCTTATTTATGGCTCATCAATATCTTACTGACTTATGGATATATCCAACTAGACTGATTTAAGAGTCATATCGTTCCTGCGGATACGATTCATTTTCTTTTTTCTAATATAACCATAAACTAATATTTGATTAAATGTTATCTGCATATAAATTCTACAGTTGAGATTTACTGATCTCTTTATAGCATGTGGATCGTATGACAGTTCCACCAGGGATACCTACTTCCCTTGGGTTTCACTGGTCATCTTCTTATCTGCTTTTTTACACTGTCCTTTTATTACCGATGCATCTTGTAATTTGCTACTAAGTAGATGCCACAGGAAGGTACGTGATTCTGGGTTCTCTGTGGAGTCGTTTACTTTTAGAAATGTGAACCTTCACTTCCATCCTCTCACTCACTTACCAGCCACCTACATTCCCTGTTTGCTCGACCTTTTATTTTCTTGTCTCTTATGCTTCCTGTAGTTAGTATATATCTTGCTTAATGTTATACAATACTCATTGAATTATTGAACTTGTTCAATGTCGAATTCCATCCTGTCGCACTCGAGTATATTTCTTCACGTAACAAAAGCTCGGACGTAATCCAATAGACGTTACACAGTATACAATGATGACGTAAAGTGTCTAAAAGTACAGTTGAGAGTGTCGAAGGTCACTCGAGAGGAAACGATCGTCGTGATAAAAGGCATAAATACAAGCTTAACCTTTAGGCACGCTTCACACTTCTCAGCTGCGATTCTTCATCGCGATTCAGCACGTTGTCACCTGCTTGAATGATCGAGATGCAGTGAGTTAAAAATTCGACCCTTTTTTTAATACTGCATTTTCTTACCCAAGAATAAAAAAGCCAGCCGGAAGTTCCTACGAGCTGGAGTTCCACTCCCTTTACCAGACCTTGGGAGGTCCTGTGAATCCTCAAGGACGTCTCTTCTCTTTGATTATTATACAATAGATATACGTGTATCGTCTGTTCACTTACTGATACTCTCCAGTGTAGTACACGTAGTACTATCCACTTGAATAAATTACAGACATTCTAACAAAGTTCCTGAGATCCAGTGATGCTGTATCTGGACCGTGAGATCAATATAACCTATAAGATTGAAAGTAATAAGATAAATGGATGGAACAAATTAGATGAAAAAAATATATATATAGGAACACAAAGACGAGCGAAGAAAGGATGGATGCTTATGTTTAGATGATCATTTGTAGAATAAATGCAACATAGACCGGAAGTGACTGCTATCGTTTGCGCGATTATTACTTCACACACGCATACATATATATATATAAAGTGCATGCATCTGAAATCGCAGTTCTCATATGTAAATGAGACTCTTATTAATTTTCTTCGATACAATTGTTACTAGTGATTTTTAAATGAAAACATCACCTCGTATGGTGAATGACGAATAAATGTTTTCTTGTTGTAGCAATGGGAAATGTGGAATTGCAAGTTTTGGAGGTTACGTCGTCGAAGACAAAGACAATGAAATTCATATGTTACCAACATGTTGTGTCCATTTGTTTGAGCAAATCCTATATACAGTATGTTGACGTCGATATACGAACTGTCCGGTATGTCGTAAAGTCGATGAGTTTCAATATTCTGCACAAGGCTGTAAAAGGTATACCAGAAATATTAATAACGATGAAAAGAAGAAACGAAGAATATAAAATATAAAAAGAAATACTGTAGAACGCACCGTTCGAGTGTTGACACTCGTGGTTGGTATCTATCAGAGCGTGTCTAAGGAGTTGCATTGATTTTTAATAAATTCCAGTTACGATCACATTGCAATTCCAGTACCAGTCTATGGTATATATATTTATACTTGTTGTAAGATCCAGTGAGCTCCGGGAACTGTGTATCCAAGCTCTCTAGTACGATCCAGCTTATGTCACAGCCTTAGTTCATATGTAGCAGCAGCAGCTACCAAGTGAAAGAAATGCCCGAGAGGAAAAACCCGTTTCCATCGATGGATCTGAAGATAGAGAATTGGTAGTGAAGTAGTATTGTAGATATGAGTATAAATGTACTAGAGAAAAATTTAATTGGGCCAATAGTGAAATATGCAGATACAAAAAAGAAAGTGGAACAAGGATGGCTATTACATATTGCAATTCCATTTTCTAAAATATTTTATTACAATAAATATAATAGGAAACGAATTTGTAATTGTTCTGTATCAGGTGGATATATTTTTAATCGCAATTCCATTCTTTTGGGTAATTGTTTATATCCAACGAAACACATAAAGGACTGATGCGCAAGTTCATTTCTGTTGAACAGTCGCATTCACAGCTCAGCAGGCAAGAATGTTTTTGTTGAGAGCAATGGAGGCGCACACAAGCATCGACATCCATCTCATTACTTTTCATAAGGCCCGCCTAAAGTTCCCTTTACATAAGTCGTTTCGTCGTAGCGATATATGATGTTACGCCTAATTGAATGGCTGAAAGCGAATTTATTTAATCGAAATCGACCTCCAATAACACGTTTAGGTACTTTCGATCGTGTTCCCTTCGTTCGATATACGGAGAAGACTGTTAAGGCTGATTCACATAGGTTGTAACGTTATTCCTTGTCCGAGGATTTTTTTGTTGCCAGGATACCAAGATGGTATCTTTTTTGCTGAAAAAAAATATCAACATACATAGAAATGCTTTTCGCAGACTTTACGACGTAGCGTAGAGTCTCGTTAAATTCTTTGTAATACATTTTTGTATATTATGGAAATATTTATTGAAAGGGAACAAAGTAAAGGATCTCGTCACTTGTGAAACGGCCTTAAGGGGGAGTCCAGCACTCCGGCCCAAACAGGAATGGTGGTGCCGTCTATCTATCTCACCCGGTCGCTCAGGCGCGTCGCGTCGCGTCCCGAACGATGGAGATAAAACTATGAAATAAAGATCCAAGGAAAAAAAGGATCAGAAGTGCCGGCATAAGTACCACGCTGAGAAAAATACATTTGCTTCTAAATATAGAACGTGTAGACAGATTTAGAATCCGGCTTCGAATGTTTTGGGACAGCCCCATAGGAGAGGACACGTAGAGACCAGAGATAAAAAAAAAAAAGTAAAAAGAAACGATCAGAACCTCCCTTAAAAAAAAATAAAAAAATTTACAACGGATCCTTAGGTCCTGTGAATTTCCACACGTCGACGGGTGGCTGAACCGTGAATGTTCATTTAATTGGAAAATATACATTCTCATAAAACTAACCCATTTCTATCTTGTCCATGATAAACACAAAGAGAACTTTTACGTTCTCTTTGAACCCATTTTACTGGCTTCTACGTATTTCATCCATTTCGTATGGTTCTGCGCGAGAACAAGAAATCGCGAGTGGATCGTTTTGCGTTTCCGCGAAACATTATTGAAGACGAAGTGAAAAATTATTTCCGAGAACAAAACCTACCGGCTATTCGAACAATATACGAATATATTTGTCTTACAGTATGTATGGTGAATTTCGTTATCCTCCGCTGTTCATTGACGAAGCATATAAACAGCATAAAAACATGGCGATCTATCCTACCAAGCACGTACGGAATATTTACTTTAGTGGAAGCCTCAGTGGAAAGCACAGTTACGTACAAGGAAAATCAAAACAAACTGTTATCTCCGAGTTGTCTGTATTGTCTCGCAGTACAAGTAAACGTGCCCTAAGGCATGACTGACACAACGTCGGGACGTTATTCTAGAGTAAGATTCACGTCAGTCACCTACAGACGACGTTCCCGAGTGCTACGTTCACGGCAGTTCAACATATCTCGTTAGACTACGTTAGACGCAAACTTCCAGTGACAAGAAAACTCCGTCGTGAAAATCTTCCGCCCAGTGTTTTGTTCCGTGATATATTTTTTTCACAAAGAAAGGAAAAGAAAGAGAAAGAAATCTCACGAGGTAAACATGCAGGACAACTAAATACGAAAAATGCTGAACGATTCCACACGGTATAACCTCCTTGTGGAAGATTCACGAAGACTGCGACGAGGAATGAAGATGACAGTATAAAAAAGAAAATGACTTCAAGACTCCAGTCATCCAGACTCATTAGTCAGGGCTTAGGGCAGGTGCCGATGATTAAGAGTATCAAGACTGTCAAGGCGGCGAGCTTCGCGGGGCGTCTTGGAGCGTCGCCAATACTTTTAATTCTTACGACCCAGACGAACTTTCGGTAGGATTATTACGCTCCAACCTCCTTGGAAAACTGCCAGACATGTTGCAAACATGTTCTGGAATTCCCACTGCGGAAAGACTGTGGCCCCCATGGTGCGTGTTAACCAAGACCCCTTTGAGTTCTCTGTGTCCCCTGCACGGGATTGGAATATCGATCAAGCATTGAGGTGAAGGATTACTCGAGGAATACGATCATGAAGGTGGATACTAAAGGTGCTGCCACATGCATATTTCCACCAAGTCGTTTGACTCAACCTTACACCAGGTACCATGCCGGCTGCATAAAATATTATAAAAAATTAATTAACCTCCAGATATATTGTCTCTATAAAAAAAGTCAAGGTCACTGACCTAAAAAAAATTCCCATGATCCTTGACCCGCTAAAATGTGCCCTTATCAAACCCTGTTATCACTACCCAAAGTATAACAACATTCCTTTCGCAGCCTCTTGCCTCCCGACGATTCCTGTAATCTATACGTGGAGCAACGCAGGAACACGAACGTGCTCCCAGAGGGGAGTGGGCAGGAGGAGGAGAAACATACCCGAGGTCACCACTGGGTAAATGCCGAGATCTCCAGGAGAATCGTCCACACACGTATGATACATATGTACCCAAGTAAAAACATACGAATAGATCAGATTCATTGACCCCGCAAAATCTTCTGGACTCATCATACATACATTACACATGTCCTGTCAACCTGACAATTAGAATATAATAACCAGGTACAGTAAGTTGTACAGATACAGCACTAACATACTAAATACGCATCCACGTGTCTCATGTATTCTTATGATGTCACACAGCGCCGCACGCGAGGAACAAACGAACAAACTACCCACGAGGAATCGTGCTCATCCTTGGTGCCCCTATATGTTCAGTAATGATAATAGGTCTAATCTAGCTACCCCATGTGTAATGATAACAATATCTATTATACACATGGATATACATATTCATCCATTGCACTACCTGAAGATGGTACCATTTGATTTTAATTAATTCTGATGCTAGAATCATCTTCACGTGGTGCAACAGTCCAGAGTGCAGTGCTTGATGGTACAAGAATTTGATATAGGTATATATCCTACATGAGGTCAAAGGTCAGTCGATGCACGGTGACCGTCAGGTGGGGAGTAGAGAGTAAAGAAAGTAAGAAGAGTAACAAAAGAAGAAAAGGATCAAAAATAAGAAAATAAGAGTCATGCAGGAGTCGTTGGTCCGTGGATGCAATATTGTACTATGTATAGTAACCTTGCTCCATCTTCTTGTATATAGCTGTATATACAATTCAGGTAATGCGGCACCATTTTGAATCTGTGCATAGAGGCACGATTGCTTACTGTACTTAGTAATTATTATTTCTAATGGTATTTATGATTTGTCATTCGTTCCATTGTTCGGCATGAATCTAAGAATTTTATCCAAAGCTGTTCCTTGATTCTTGGAGAAATGTGTCAGGCCACTTGCGGATTTATACCGAATAGCGTGCGGGAAATGGTCCGTTTCTTTAGTGCCGGAAGTGACACGTCTCCTTTTTTGGTATAAACTATAAGCAAGATCAGACGATGGTCGACTATGATGTATAATATTTGTATTTGTATATATGTGTATATGTATGCGTAGAGAGGATAAGGGCATGCTAAATCGGAAATTCCCATAACTGGAGCACGTCGGTTACTGGCAGCAGACCAGCCGCGAAGGAGAATGGCGGACAATTAAGCTGAGAAAATACTACAATTACAATACTCGTGGAATGCGCTTAGGAGCTATTCTTACGAAAGCACGATATATCCTTCTAGCTACTATAGGAAACGTGTATTGCGTCTTACTGTATGTACATATTTTACTCTACGTATTAGAGCGTCTCTCGGCTAGACTCTTCTTCTTTGATACTTTGTTATACTAGCTAGTCCTGTATATATTACATAAGTAGTATATATGTATATATATATATTCCCTTTCTCTAATGGTCCTCATGGCGTCTATCTTGTACAGACAACGTAGTATAGTGTCATATATCTACTACATATAGATAGGCACATATGGTATGCGGTCGAAAGTGAAGACGACGCTTGGAGATGATCATTGGCCGCCATTATGGTTCCAGTAATTTTTCAGGATAAGCTTCATAAATCGAAATAGAATTAATAGAATGCACGATGGACCATTTGTAAATGAAAGTATAAGTAGAATTATTTCTGGTGAAAAGATTTCGCAATCCTTCAGACTATATGGGTTTGTTAACCTCGAAAATCCTTGCAGTGCCTGTCTTATATCTTGGCCAAGGGAATAAAGGAGCGTTAATTACTTACTATCGGACTCACGGGATCAGTGGCGTCGGGACGCCTCGAGATGCCTATCCAAACACATGAGATTATCCGTGGTTTTGATGCTCAAGAAACGGCATATGTATCCTAATTGGACCGAGGGCGTTATTTAAAGGCGTACCTTGTATGAGAAAGAGAGAGACAGAGAGAAAGATCACGGTTGAATCATCAGAACAGTGGATGAAATACGTTAAGCGCTTTAAGCTTAGGAAAGTGTAGACGCTGGTCAGTTTGGTCACCGCGACGTCAGACGTCGTTCCTCATAGGACCAAAATAATTTGTAGGCTTAGTTCGGCGCAGACGTCGCTTGTAATATCTTGCGACTGTATCGCCATCTTTTATGTTTTGAGCAAAACATTTATGTCATATAGTCATACGCATGGTTCTTATCTTCTGTATTGGATGTATACAATAATAATTTGCATAGACATATCAAAGGATGATAGTAAGATAATGTTATGTCAAAAATTGTTGGGGTTGTTTACCATTAGTCAGACGTAACTCGATAATAAGTACCCTTATCAAAGAGAAAGTTTCACTCTCTCCTTCTCTTAGTGATTTAAGAGCTTCGGGACGTTACTAGATTAAAAATTGTCAAGTCACCCAATGACGTGATACGCAATAAATCTCATAGATGGAGACTAGCGTCATACGGAGAACAGTTTGTATTATTTAAATATTTGAATCACGCGCCATTAGTACATTGTTACGGGAATTGGTTCTGGCCAATGGGCAGGTCGCTTTTTAATTGGTCAGTGTACGTTGGCCTTAACGGAGTCTTTTACCGTCAATTAGTGTAATGGCCTTGAAAATTGGCTAATCTAATTAGGATAGCCTTTATGGGTGTAATATACGTTGATTTAGGTAGACACGCAAAGAGCTAAGATTTTTAACTTAAAATTAATTATACAGGTGCTTGTTTGCGTAGGTACAACTATTGAGATTAGCTAATGTTACATTAGGCGTCGTTAACAAGGATGCAGAACGATTTTTAAAGACATTCAAGGATGGTAGAATTCGTTGGGATTAAAGAAATCCATGCCGAGATAAATAAATGGTTTTACAGGGTGATTTTTTTCAATCGCCTCAGGCTGATATCTCGTAAATTAAGCAACATACGAAAAATACGTCTTATATGAAACTTTCTTGATTTTGAGGGGGAAAGAAGATGGTACAGTCAGATTTATCGTAGGTGGAGCCGCCAAGGTTGGGTGAAGGTCAACTTTGATTTTTTAAATAGAACGGCGCACTTTTTTTCACAAATCCTGAAAGAGCATCCAATTTTACATAAAAAACATTAGAGGTACTTATGGCCTACAACCAAATGGTAATGAGATAAGAGCTGGGCAAGTTAGATAAAAAGAAGCATCATTATCAAGCAAAGTTGATAATCTTGACCAGACTTTGGCAACTCGAAGTAAAAGAATAGTTTGAACAGTTTTGATCCTTTCAATCAGGTACTACAAATTGAGAATTGCGTTCAAGTACGTTGAAACATGCGTGCTGCTCCAATACCGGCATCCGGCCGATGCTTTTTTTTATCTAACTTGCCCAGCTCTCATCTCATTATCAGTTGGTTGTAGGCCATAAGTACCTCTAATGTTTTTTATGCAAAATTTTATGCTCTTTCAGGATTTGTGAAAAAAAGTGCACCGTTCTATTTAAAAAATCAAAGTTGACCTTCGTCTAACCTTGACGGCTCCACCTACGATAAATCTGACTATACCATCTTCTTTCCCCCTCAAAATCAAGAAAGTTTCACATAAGATGTATTTTTCGTATGTTGCTTAATTCACGAGATATCAGCCTGAAGCGATTAAAAAAAATCACCCTGTATACAGGGTGGTTTACAAAGGGAAATGACGATTAATGTAAGTGGCGACAATGTAAACGGGGTAGCCAGCTTATTTCTATCGTTTGTTAATGAGCACGTTATATACCGGGTGGCTATTAAAGAAATATCTTAAATATAAACGCTAATATACATATAGTTATGCTTTTTGAATGCAGTAGTCCTAAGGTGGACGTAATGGCTGCTCGTGCTTCACTCAAAAGACACTTTAGCATGAATATAAACGAGAGTGTATAATGTGATTGGGATATTAAAGGCTTGACCAACGGTACAGAGGATCCCCATGGTGTAGTCTTATGGCTAGTGGGAGTCGAGGACCGAAATAAAGAGTCAGGGTCGTTTGGATTCCCTTTTTTCTTAATTTTTTTGTTTATCTCATATATATTACTACGAGAACTTTTGGACCATAGAGAATTCGACCCAGGGCAGTACCGATGCCTCTAATCTTCACGCATTGGACGATACTTATTTATTTTTATCTTTTATTTATCCTGGCCCTCCTTATTTCACTTTCATAAATATTTATAATGCCCTCTGGACTAGCGGAGCCGTCACTCCCGTGCTCGTAAAGATCCAACCACTCAGACTGCTCGCAGAGGAATTCAAGGATCCTGTAGTGGTACAATCGGTCAGGATTCCGCACGTGTGCTAAGAATAAGGTCCCAGGTATCCCTGACCCATCGGGGCTTATTCTCTATATATGTATATGTATGTCTTTAAATCTTTCTGGTAATCTAAAATGTCCTTAAGCTACCTACATTATATATATTGGCACCTACTATGTATGTATGTATGTACAATGGAATTATCGTGGCAACCCAATGTGGAAGCACTGCGCAAAACTGGCCGATAACGATTATCGGTGTTTCACGTTCAAAATATTTCTGGGCCGCCTTTACATTCTGTACGCTGCGGAGCACTGTTATGAACACAGCCATGAACGATAGGCGGAATTGCGCTTGGATGTTTAACATTTTACAACAGTCAATATTGAAGTTTTACACGGTGCCGGTTTGCGGGCGTCGAATCCGCAAGATTTGTCGCTCTTAGTTATGTGGATCTACACTTATTTGCAGGAACTTATTGCTGTTCTGTATATAGGATTGATAAGTGATAACTTGGCTATTCGCTACTGTAAGATTTCCTGATATACTGTATAAACACTAACACGAACATTAAGATAAAGCTTCTAGAATTCTATAGCGAATCGACAGATAGAGTAGAGACAGTACAGTGCATACAGAAAGTTTTATAGCTAATGGATGGTCTGTGTTTAAGATAAAGATTCTATAATGTTTTTAGTTACTGAAAATTATGATAAGTAACGCGGAAAATTTTATTTTTTGTTCCAGATCGTACCGATGCGCCGATGTCCAAGAAGTAGTTGATGAGCAGGAGTACCGGGAGCTTCTTTGTCATTACAGAAGAGGAAAAAGAAGCAAAGATGATGATCCGGATGGTCCTCTTGCTGTTCCTGGTGGGAGTCTGCAGATCGGCGCCGACGAGTGTATCAAGTACGTCGTCGCCGAGACGATCACCAGACCAGGAAGTCGGTTCACCAAGTGAACTTGCATGGCAAGCCTGGCTCCTCGTCAATACTGAGACCGGTGCCCACTCTGGCATCGACTCCTCGAGTATTCTTCGACGGATAACGCCTAAGAGTGTCTTCATAGCACCAGCTCTACCTGCTTGTGCCGAAGGTTACGGTGCTGATAATATGGGACGTTGCGTGAACGATATCACGCGACGGACATACATCGATGTCCTGGTGCAAAAGCTGAATGCCATGTATTCCAGTAGTAATACTGCCAATGAGAAGCCGCAATCGTCGGCAGTCACTGGACCACTTCAGCTGAACATTCCGTTACTCCCTGGTGGTTCTCAGGAGGGCAAAACTGATGGAGACGATGCTGAGGAGCCTGCGAAGATGCCGGTCGAGGAGCAACCTGAGGACAAGAAGGAAGCCTTAGTAACAGTTTATGAGGTTGGTAATGAAACTAAACATCAGAAGGAGGAGACGTTTTTTCTTGGCTCCTCTGAAAAAGATGCTGCTGGTCCTACGACGACTGATATCGTGGTTCCTGTCGCTGACTTCGTAGACGACGCCAACGAGACCTTCACTGACGTTATGGACTATAAAATACGTTCAGACACGCAACTTCATACCAATCGTACCGAGATCAGTAAGGATGAGAGTTCAATGAACTCGACAGACGTTCCTTTACCGACCTTGATGCTAGTTCTGTCGCCGACCAAGCTGCCGCTTACTGTCTCCACGCCCAACGTAAATGATCTTCACGTGGTTCACGATGGGACCTCTGGACATATTTTCGTCAAGACAGAAAACGTGACAGTTAATTCCAGCGGCAAAGAAATCATATCCGTGACTGTACCTGACGCCTTGGTACACCTGCCTTCCGTATCCGGGAACCACACGCTGGATATCTACGATGACGAGGAAAAAGACGTTTTGGACTCGACGGATGTACCTGAAGAAGACTCCACGGAAGTGGACGATGAGATTCTGAAGCATGGTGAAGCCGGTATGGCAATTCCCTTGGATCAACAGATGTATCAGAAATCAGAGGAGACTGGCACGAGGAAGAATCTTCCAGATACTGCTGCTCCTGAGAAACTTGTCCTCAGGAATCTGACACAGCCTCAACGTGGAAATGAACCGTCGGCTTCAGAACGTGATGAGATCAGTAGTAACGTATCCAGCGAAGTCAGTATCAAGGGAGACTTCATTGTTGAAACTACGTTGTTGGGTATGAACACCAATTCATCTAGGACATCCAGCAGGAACAGAACCTGCGATTTTGGAGACTGCGACGACTTCCGGGAACTCCTGGAAGCAGAGAAGGATTTAATATCTGAGCCTGAAGTCGTGTTATCACCTCAGGAATCTCGTGGCACAGTGTATCCTAATATCCATGATAAAAAACGCGCAGAGCAGCAGAAACTAAATCCTCCTTCAAGGATCCAAAACACAGGATCTTACTACTCCGGCTCTCCAGGACAATCAGAAGCGCTCTTGTACGATTCCCGTCCTCAGGATCCTTACCCTGATGGGGATTCAGCACCAGAGATTCACACAATTGACGAACAAGCTTCGTACAATCGCGAGAGCCTGGCTTTCCCTGAGGTTAAGGAACCTAATCATTTCAGCAGACCTAACGTTAATGATAACTATGGCTTCAGGCCCAATCCTGGAGGATATAGACCTAACCAGGATTACATCAGATTTCCTAATTACGAAGAACCTCAACCACAACCGGTAAGGACATCCGGTTATGTAAGGTTCCCATCAGAAGAAGCGAACAGCATTCATGCTCAGGATTATAAAAACAGATCGCCTCACTTAGAGGACTTCTCACAATCATCTACGAGCACAAAGAGCAGTGTACCAATTCACCAGAAACAATCCTACTGGTGGTTACCATCAGGTTGGCGAGCGGATCGCCAACAGAATATACAACATCCATCGCAGTATCCAAATCAAAGGCAGAAGCCGAGTCCTATGCTCTTAAGATTCTGGGCCAGGATGCCACTCCTGAGGGATCCCAGTTTATATCCGTCTCCAAGTCCAGCTTCCGGTTCCTACGGTGAGACAATAAGAAGTCATCAGATGCGTTACTCCCAAGCTCTGCCGCACAGGACAAACTTCTACAAGGAGATGTCGACGCAAGACGTGAACAGGGTCCTTACCCAGAAATCACGTGGTCCGGTCGTAGGCTAAGACTCCTGGTGAATGCGTGGTAGCCTAATGAGCTGAGAATCCTTCATCGTCCTGAGGTGGATCCTCCTTAGTGAATTTCGGAACGGTGCCAAATAGATGCGTTCAGGGACTTCCGGGTTGGCTCAGGGTACGACCAATCGGACGTGTAGGGCTTTACCAAAAACAGACTGATCGTAGCGTATTATTAATATTTTATAGTGCGATTTCGTCGTCGGGCGAATAATGGCGTACCGGGGTGTCGCGACGGTGAAAACTCCTCGACGTCACACCAGAGAGAAAGCAGAATGAAAGCAGCCCAGAAACTTGTGCAATACTTTTTTCGAGTGGTCAATAAAGAATTGAATTGTCAGGAGCTGAATAAATGAAAAATGAGATTATAAAACACGGTCAACACGAATGGAGAGATTAAAAACGACGGCAAATAATATGAGATTATGAATTTGAATTTTTTAAATACTTTTCACCTCATCGCCATCTATATCGTGCAATACAAAAACAGTTGAAATAAACGAAGAAAGCAGATTCTTCTAGTTCTATGATTCTTCCGGTACGTGACGCAAGGACAATCCTGATGCACATTGTGACTACATAAATATATAGGCATTATGACTATATATAATATAGATATATAATATACAAAAGCCAACCCGTGAAACTTGTAGGAGTCCCTAAGCGCAAGCGCGACAAGGCTTTACCAAAACAGACTGATCGTAGTGTATTATTTTATTTATAATTGTAAACCGGAATGCTTTCCCAGAGGAATCCCGAAAAGACAAGAAGATAGATGAGTGTGTTTCATGTCTGATTTCTTTGTGTAAAACAGTTAAAAAGAAATCGCAACGCTTCATCAGCCAAATACCATTGTCGAAGTGTCAGAATATTGTATCATATTACACGAAGCGTATGAACAAACAAACAAACAGATAAATAAACAATTGTGCCCTCTTTGTCAAAGGAATATGAATCGTAATATCATTTCAACTTAATGGAAAGCTCTGTATCGTGTACTGTGTGTATTTTACAATTAACGCACGTGTCCTATATATGTATGATTAACGTATGCAATTTAAACAAAAATTAGTCAATTTATCAAAACCTGCTTCGGTTATTTGGAAAATAAAATTGACTCGATTTGGTCATCGGTAGTCTTGATCATTTTCGTAGTCTATTAATAATCGTGATGGCCATTCAGAGAGCTATGAGTGAATGAATGGTACGTGTAGAAGAAGAATCGAAAATTGGAAAAGAAAAAAAAATCATTCATTAAGAAATGGAAATGTTTTAACTTGTCGGTTTTATCGTGACATCGAATATGGTGCAAGTACTTTGGTGGTTTTTCTCAATATTTTGTTTTTTCTTTTTTTTTAGAGCAAACTATTCGATTTCCAATAATGCGGCCAGTAATTGTATTGTCTATTTATTATCTGTTCTAACGTACTGTGTAACGTGTCACATACTATGTTATTAATTATATCAATTGAATGTACATATTAGTTTTATCAAAGAATGTTGTATATAGAGCATAATAAAAATCCAAACGTTAACACTTAATGTAATGATGATGTATTAATTGTAACTGTATTAAACGTTATTGTATTATTTATAGCTAAAATATATTGATGTATATTACGTATGTCGTGTTCCGTATGATCATTTGATTTGATCACAAATGGAAAGATGAAAGCGAGGAAACAATATTAAAGAATTGTACCGATGACATTACTATGCCAAATATTATGATGTTTTTATTTTTATACCCTAATCTTTTTAGAATAATAAGATACATTAGTCGTGATTCAAATATAATTTTTATAAAGTATCGATATACGATTGACGATGTATTTAAAAACTGTCGGGTATATCAAAAGTATTATATTTGTACATTATCATTTTTTATTGTGTTATCAAATCTTTGCTATATACAATCCTCTCAGAATTAAATTAATTAACGTAACATACTTTTAACTAGTTTTTAGTCCTTTGAATCCTTTTGCAAGTACAAATTTCTCTGAGGAATCATCTCTCGTTGCTGCAGGCCTCACAATCTTTATATTTTTGTAAAACTTTCCTACATCTTGCTCAAACTGGGTGGATTGTCCACCATCCCACAGCTTAGCCAAAAACGTAGCATTCACTTTTGAAATGTGAAGGGCAAATTTCAATGCTAAATAAGCTAGCCTAATGATATTATCATGATCCATGTGCTTTACTCCAGATGCGTTTGGAGCCATGTCAGACATTACAAGATCAACTTGCTTTCCATTCAATAAGTTCCTCAGTGTATCTTGAGCCAACTGTGTAGTAAAGTCCATATTCCCAACAACAGTTGCTCCGTCTATAGGATAAATAGGTAATCTGTCTATCGCAAAGACTATCCCCTTGGGTTTGTTCGATATACTTCCATCAGCATTGGTATGCTTAACAGCAACTTGAGTCCAGCTTCCTGGAGCAGCACCGCAGTCCACAACAACAAGTCCAGGAATTAAAATATTAAATCTATCATTGATTTCAAGAAGCTTGAACGCACTGCGGCAACGATATTTTTCTTGCTTCGCCAACTCCACGTAAGGATCCTTCAGTTGTCTCACTAACCATTTCTGTGAGCTTACAGACTTCCCCTTAAGGTTATTTGGTGTTTCACGTAGTGACGTCCGACACGTGTGTATACACCGGACTGTCATCAGACTCTTCCAAAAGTTACTCATTCTTTACTCAACCTAATGATAGGTATACCGGATGTAGGTTATGACGTCCTTTCAAACAATACACACACTTCTCTTTAACGTCATTAATTTATTATAAACTAACCGTTATCCGAGATCCGTACTTTATTAATAATCCTTTTTTCTACGTCATTAATACCTTATTTTAGCCAGAATCAATTATTGTAAACACACGAGATCCATGCTAATACAAAATGTTAACACTACGGTGCTGCAGGCTAGCGAGCAGATCACACAACTTATTAAACAATGATCAAGAAACTCAAAACTCCGCGCATCACGCAGCAGTATTTCTTGATCAGCTGATCAGCTGCTTCTTCTTGGCATGCGCGAAAATGGTGTCGTTATTCCGTAGTAGCAACCGGACGATATCGCGGTATTTGCCGGCGAAGATGTGATTGAATTCAACACGTAAACTATCCCGTGGCTGGACGAGGAACGACAAAGTGGTTTGCAATGAATTTAACCGCGGGAAATCCGCACGGGAATGGCTTGCTCTACGCCGGCTTCAATCAGGATCAAGGTAGGTTAAGAAATCCTGTTTGGTTTTGACAGTGCAATAATTTTATATTAAGACTTATTTTAAGATTCGTAAACGTATACGTTCAATTTATCCTCGCTGGATTAAACATTCGTTTGTTTGTGTAGCGTTAAATTAAAATTTCTCAGGCAAACTTTTATACTGCGACTGCGGCATATTGTAGTTGCAATAAAGTCAATTTCCAGCAAGAAACGAATGTTTTTTTAAAATTATAACCTCATCATTTTACTTTTCTTATTTAGCATATAGTGGATTACTTACTATAGAGTTTTATGTAATTTATGTTTTCTTCCTCATTGTGGATGCTCATTTTTATTTTGTTGCTTCTACGAATACTTGTTTTTCAATGTTAATACTTCTTCTCATTGTGTTTTCTTTCATATAAGCGTTTGCTCATATATTATATATATATATATATTCATATATTATATCTTCACCTTGTTTTTATAAGATGCTTATTGTAAATATTAGAGTTTTTCAGATTATATATTTTTTAATTGATACTCAATATGTGATTAAGGAACTGCGTATGCCATCTTGCACCGGAATAATGCCTGATACAAATTTTAATACGAATAATGAATTGTTTGGATTTCTCAATATAATCTCTGTAATATATATTTGAATGTAATCTCTGTAATATATTTTTGGTATAATTTTTTTTTCCATTCTGTACATTGTATCATGTTATCTCTCTGTGCACTTTCACCAATATATACTGATTAATGAATAAAAACAGACAGAAGACTTCATTAGTATTTTCAGAAAAGAAAATTACAAAACGTGTACATAACAAACAGATAACCATATCGGAATTACTTTATTGATATATTAACTCATACTTCTATAGGATGTTTCGCTTGTGGAATGGAAAATGGATACAGGGTATACAACTGCAACCCTCTCAAAGAGAAGGAACGACACGATTTTAGCGATGGGGGTCTGGGCTATGTCGAAATGCTCTTCAGATGTAATTATTTAGCTCTCGTTGGTGGTGGAGCTAAGCCTATGTATCCAACGAACAGAGGTAAATAGAGTGTAACTAATTGACAAAGCTTAAGAGGAGAATGAGGAAGCACTGGTCAATCATTTCAGTGATGATATGGGATGACCTCAAGAAGTCACCGGCTATAACATTGGAATTCAATGCTCCCGTGAAGGGAGTAAAGTTACGTCGTGATAGAATAGTCGTTATACTTGAAGGTGTTATTAAAGTTTACACCTTCACGCAAAATCCTCAGCAGTTACATGTTTTTGAGACGAATCCCAATCCACGAGGATTGTGTGTTTTATGTCCAAACAGTAACAATTCCTTACTAGCCTTTCCTGGCCGCAAGAATGGGCATGTACAAGGTAAGTTTATTTTTCACACAATTCAATAACTTGATACGATAACACAACTTTCTGATTACAGTGATAGATCTGGCAAACACAGAGAAACAGCCTCTCAATATAGAAGCACATGAAACTCCTCTCTCTTGTATAGCATTGAATCTTCAGGGTACGAGGTTAGCTACAGCCTCGGAGAAGGGTACCTTGATAAGGGTTTTTGACACTCAAACTGGAAATATGATAAACGAACTGAGAAGAGGGGCTAATCATGCGAATATATACTGGTAATTTATAAAAAATCTCAACAAACAGTAACCATCATCCTAAACCCACTGATTTCTAATAAATACTTCTTACAGTATAAACTTCAATCATGACTCAACATGGTTATGCGTGGCCAGTGACCACGGTACCGTTCACGTCTTTGCTGTGGAGGATCAGAAACTGAATCGTCAATCTAGCTTAGCGTCAGCCACTTTCCTGCCAAAGTACTTCAGCTCGAGTTGGAGCTTTTGCAAGTTTCAGGTGCCAGATGGTCCACAGTGTATGTGTGCATTTGGCACAGATAACAATAGTATTATAGGTCAGTCTAAAGTCATGTATAAAATAACTCTGATAAAACATCTCACAATTATTTATATAATAATAGATTTGATACTTCATTTTTTAACCTATTCATGTTTTTGTTTAATTCAGTGATATGTGCTGATGGTAGCTACTATAAATTTGTGTTCAACAACAAAGGCGAATGCACAAGGGATTTTTACGCCCAGTTTCTAGAGATGACCGACGACAAGATGTGACTTCAAGAGGTTCAAGATGAACCTAGCTAACTACGAAGTGTCGACCTTCTCACGGCGTTGCGGCGTCGTTTTCGTTCTGTCCGTCAATTACTCGAAAGAAGAGGCTGAACTCGCGAGGTACGCATATATCCTGAGATACAGAATCAGATTGACCTGGACTGACCTCACGAGTGGACCAAACGAAGGGGCTGTGTGAATTCCAAGTGGAGTCAAGTCCATAGAGCAAACACTGTTCTTTCTTTTTCATATGTATTCTCGCCCTGGACTGATTTAGTATGTAAAAAAACAAAAAAAAATGTGTTAACAAGAGTCTGCCTGTCTATATTAAACAAGTTAATAATATTACCAAACTCCTGGCTGCTGTTGGCTCAAGATCGTCTTATCCTGCTACAAATTTGCTTTATGCTTCATAACAATGAAAATCAACGCAATGTTTACTACATTGTCACACGAAACTTCTTTTGACAATGATAAATTTCTTGTGTGCAGTCCAAACTGGCACGACTCCAATTGTGATCATTATAAATTGTAAAGTAGTCACCCGCACAGGACTGTACATGATTATATCATGTAGGATGTTGTAGTGTCTTGAGCAATCCAAAGATACTCTGCTGGGTGTAATGATAATTGGACGAATTTAAAGAAAAAGTGATAATAGGCAAAATTACAAAATTAAGTATATAATCACGATCATATTCACGTCATGATCTAAACCAAATAAAACTTTCTAAAAAAAAAAAAAAGATTAATAAACATAAGCGAAATTCACACGATGACATTGGACAATCTTCAAAATAGCAAGTGCATAATTGTGACACGTAAACGTTAATAGGTTCTTTATAAGCTTTATTCTTAAGTTTCCATACATTTATTATACATATACACAAGAATTAAGTAATTATATTTAACAGTGGATATCGAGATATCGCCACGAGAAAAGGCTAGGATTGTAATTTCACGGGGATGCTCATTTCGTGATAAGGAAATAAAAAGAGGAAATTTACGCGAGGGAATGTCAATCGTTTTGTGCTCCTAATACGATTTTTAATTTATTACCATTACTATTATTATACGCAAGTCATTCAATGACCTTGTAGCTCTAATCGACTATATTGAGAGACTATTTTTAAATTCAGTCTTTCCCCGGGACAGCGACGTTAAGTAACTCGCAAGTATTTCCTTGAAATTCCAGCAATATTGTATAACACGACTGCCTGCAATTTTATTCTGTATTCTGTGGCCGTGTACCTTGAATGATAAAAATGTAATGTTTATGCAATTGTTTAAACGCTTGGCTGATTTTTAATTCAACTGCTCTATACGTGCTTTACGTGGTCATTGAAGCTGTAGAATTGTCTTTAATTATTTAGTTCCAGTGACTGTGAAACATGCATCCATTTTCCTTCTTTCGCTTCAACTCCTTTTTTTGCTTTTCAAGTAATTCTCCAAAATCTCATAGATATGCTACCAATGATTAACAACGAATATATAATATACGAGTGGCTCATCATTATATTATATACCTTGTTTCATATAATATGTTTTATAATATCACTTATAGAGCGTTAAAATACTCTTTTCCTCCTGGCGCGCTACTGATTGGCTCCATTGGCATTTATGTATATCCTCCATCCGATTAAAAATCTTTTTAGAAAAAACACCAAATAAAAACGATTATCCTTATTTCTTTTCTCGCAACCGGAAACTCTCTTCAGCGCGAACCTCTGTGTCGATCGGTTAAAAAATTTCTTTTGAAATTTCGAGGCCGCTCGTTTTATTATTTAGTATTTTCCATCTAGTCATGTCCCTGCATTTGCAGAAGAATTACCACGTGACGAGGCTATATGTATTCTGAAAAATATTTCTTTGCGACTTCACGATTCCTTCTTTTAAACCTCAAACGGCTGAGTACCGCTGGCGCGCAACTTTGAATTCTCAGGCAATGGAGTCGCTGGACGTTTTTTTGGGTCGTGAATCTCATGAGTCAGGCCCTTTTTTATCTCCAGACTCTTGTACGTACTGTAGACCACGAACCATAAGTATAGGCCCACCATGGTGCCGATGAATACCGTCACTCCTAATATGATTTTGAGGAGAACTATTTTCAGTATTAAAAAAAGATATTCCAGTGAATCAGCTCTCATCTTATATTCAACTTACGCTTTGGTGCACCGGCATTTCCGCCTATTAGTGCTATAAACGGACAATTTTCTTGGACCAAGAACAAGGATATGACACCAGCAACTAGTTCAGTCATCTTCACCATTATCCATGGTGCCATGAAGTGGCGATTATTCTAAAAATAAAATTTAACTTGTTACAGGATAAATAATTTCCTTTTTCTTTTATATTTACCATAGCTGCACCATACAGCAATAGAACCGTTGCTATGAAGTGTATAACAGTGACCACCAGGACGCAATACAACAAATAAAGTTCCTCTGAAAGAACAAAACTCCTGAGTGCTCGAAACATTTATTGCTATTGATTGTTTCTATTAAATTATATTAAGTAACCCGTGGCTTTATGGTGACCCATATCCATTCTCTTGGTGTTGAGATGCTTTGATGATATTTCCTCAAGAGCCTCACGCTCCAGAGCATCTTCAGTGTCAATGGCGACCATTTCCCTGGTCTCCATAGCATGTGCCAAAGCCAGTACCAGGACAGCCATGCAAAATCCTGATAGGAACTGTAAAGGAAAAAAATCAATAAAGATATTATCACTGTGTGGATTAATTAATTTTTTCATAGTCATTACGTACTATTTGAGATATGGCGATGACAATAGTCCCCTGCCTCAAACTGAAGTGGAACATGCAGTTTGATAATAACATCAACTTCATATTGACTTTTTTTTCTTTTTCTTTTCCAGATTATTTCAATAATTTTTCACTCTACTAATGAGTCAGGGCTGAACTCGTTTGATTAAACCCTTTCTCCTGGGTACTTATCCTGCAAAGGGATGAAATTAACAGGAAATTATTTTACTTTCTTTTGCTCAATATCCTCCCTTGTCATGATACAGACTCCACTGTACAATTTTTACTTTGACAATTGACAGTTTAAATTCAGGTACTTGGTTGATGGTGTATAACTGATATTGACAGCTTACCTGTGCCCGGGGGTGTATATCAGGTGTCACTGAAAATTCGTCCTGCCTGCAATGCTAATCAATAACTTTCACTGTCTCCCAACATCAAAACAAAACATTGGCGCTGAACGTCGACGACTTACGGAGCTGTAATTTATTTCTTTTAATTGTTATTCAATCAATCTAAAATCTTATCCACGTGGTGACCCACGTGAGTGTCACGAAAACCTTTAAGGTCTTAACGACGATTTTAACACCGAGTTACGCGCTGTCACGCAAATTATTCATTTCCTGACTCACGGCGATTCACGAGCCCCTGCCTAACGGCAGCCCGTCATGCGCATTAGAGTCGCAACCTAATACTGGTCGTTTCATATTGGACTTGCGCTCTTTTACAAATTTCCTGCGCAGCTTGTATTTGGTTCATTCGAAAGAGGTCTAACGTGATGAAATATTTTAAAAAATACAAAAATTGTATCATTCATCTTTCTATATTTTTTTTCCTTCTTTTTAATAATAAACAACATATACTATATATAAGGATAATGTATGTATAGATTTATTATTAGTAAATCTTAATGAATAAAATTTCGCATGACTTTCACTGGTTGAATATAATAATATGTTATCTAGGGAATCCAATTAAGTATAATATAATATGTATTTACATTTATTAAGTGAATATTAATTATCATATAATTGTTTACGGTTCTGTATACAATTAGGTAATACCTTTTATCGAATTTTCCAATCTAACTCAGAACGCAGTATTGAATTCTATTATCATACGAAGTTAGTTCGATCAGAGGTGACTCATCTTTCAAGTCGTCATAGAAACGAACTATAAATTCGATTCCGGCTAGAATTTGGCTGAAAGTTGATCGCCGATCCATTGAAAGTTGATAGGTCGTAGGTAGAAGGTCGAAGAAGAAATTTATAAATAATTTAGAATTTTTTAAGTAAACTCATCCAATCATGGAGCCAAGAACGCACAGAGTCGGCATTGGAGTTGGCGCTTTTCACAATCCACCCCGTGCTAAGTATAGCGAAGAGACACGAAATCTAATTAAAGGCAAGTATCTCTAGATAACCTAATATAAAAGTAAAATAAATTTTTTATTTTAATATATTTCATTAATTTCATAATAACAGTGCTGATGGAAGAGTCAAAATTGACTACGATGCAAAGAAAATCGGTTCAGGATGCCGTCGACAAAGGAGAGCCGTTACCAACGCCAAGTTCGAAAATACATTCGAAAAAAGAAAAATATACAGAATCTCAAGTAAATATTTAAACTGTACTATTACATAGATTCTATATTAATTTACAATATACTAATCTTCACTTTTAAAATGATCAGACGATGTTTCCGTCGGTATGGAAAAAACGCTCGCAAGATGCAATAATAAGCAGTGGCGCCTACGAGAGAGATCAGTACCACAGAACAGTGCCTTTACGTAAGTATAATTATTAATAATTAAAAAATTCGAATTTATATTTTTTAAACTATTCTGCATCAGTCAACAAGGAAAAAGAAAAAAGACATCTTGCCTGCATCATGGCATATGGCAAGGACATGCCACCCACTCCTCATGGACCAAAAATTCTTCACAAAGCACGCAAAGAGCTTCAATTACCGAACGACGTGGATCCACTTAAGGATCGTAAGTTAACATTAACATAAAATATTAAAAAAGCTCTTATAAATAATACAGGACTAGTGCCGCTGCTACCCATAAAATATATTACATTTTAGTCGTCCAAGGAATTCGCGAGAGGATGGAGTTCCTTGCAGAGATGGAATCCTTGGGCGAGGGTAAAAAGTATCGTCCGATAATACATCAAGAGATAGCCCAAAAGATACGACTGATAGAATCGATAGACAAAGAGAAATCATTGGAAATGAAGGAAATAGTAGGAAACTATAAATACGAACAAACAGAAGCTAAACTATTTCCATTAGGAGAATTGGCCATTGAATGAAATCTAATCAGTTGCGATATAACTCTATACAATAAAATCTTATTGGTATACAGTAATTTTATAACTGCTATACACGACGCTATTACCAGCTTAAATATTTTAACGTTATACAATTATGCGATGATTAATTAAATTTTTTTAAACTTAGACAAATTGACAGCATACACTAAGATACTTAGTTCCAAGCATATTTTTATCAGCTATTATAATTATCAAGTCCCTTCTAAATTATCTTTAACCTTATAATATTTCAATTTATTATTCTAGCCTTCTACTACCTGTATTACTATTATAGGTATATACTATGCAGTAGTTGATTACTAAACCGTAAGAGGTCCCCGGTTGGCGCGAGAAACAAGAATCGCGATGAAAGAACTGGTTTGCTGTCAGTTCTACGCCACACGGCAATGGCGTACGACGCTTGGTTATTAGACGCTCGTCGTGTACATCAGAAAGTAATAGTAGCGCGTATCACATAGTCAAAGAAAATAGTAAGTGCGGATATCTAATTCGAATGCCGGTTAGTCAGTTGACAAGAGTAACGTGACGATCTAAACGGTTACAAGAGTGAAAAAAAAAGGATTAATAAAATATTCATAATTTGGGATTTCGCGGGATCCTATAAAGGATCCCAGATGATCAGCGTGTGATCCAAAATGGCGTCGACCGATCTGTCGTCCGGTAAATAAATAAATAAAAATTAATTCTCGTCGTCCCAATCGTCGTTTATCCTATTGTCAACGATGATGAGGATTGACTCGCCTTTGGGATTTACAATGATTTTCTTTCTTTCTTTTCTATTCTATTCAACTATTGTTGTTTGGACTCTATCAGGATCTATACCGCCATTCTACAGAGAGGTGTACGAGAAGATTGCTTCGACTTCTGGTGGTAACGTGGAACGAGAAGTCTTTAAATCCCTTCTCGTGAAATCTCAGCTAAGCAGCTCTGTGCTCAGTCAGGTTCGTTTATAAAATGTAGTACCACTGTATTCTAGATATGTATAGTCTGTGCCGGAAAAAGTACAGTTTCATGCTACAGTCTCGTCTGACTTAAGCACGACTTTACCACAGTCTACGAGATACATAGAACTTGCCGTGTGAATATCTAGTAAGGTGCATCGAACTCTGACACCCATATCATTCTCATGGAACGACAGAATTATTTGAATAAATCATTAGAAATAGATAGAAAATATACTTTCAATATAAACTCGTACGAGTTTGTCTGACATTCGTAATTTCATTATTAGACCCAGATATCTTTTATGAGACGTTTTTGATACAAACTCTTATATAATGATGCAAACAATGAAGAAAACAAATCGTACACGTCATCAGGAAATTCCCTGAAGACCCAAATACCTGTAAACAGGTTTTTCATTGTCAGCATGTAAGACCTTAAGGCCATCTCTATATGAAATTGATAATTGCCTTACAGCTATTTTGATAAATATATAAACTACTCTAAATTAAATATTTATAATTGACATTAACATTTATTCGAATTCCGACTGAATGGACTCTGATTCATTGAATATTACATGGGACTGTATCAAGTAGAATTTATAGTTACTCTTTCCGGATACTTTGACACCCCTTATCATTTATTCGGCCTCTACACAGCAGATAGAGTGTGGACGCCCCCTAACAATATTACGCAAATCATGGGTATAGTGCTCGCATCTACATGCAGAGTCGGACTTTTAAATAACTCACAGTAATATTGGTGACTAAGGCCAGTGACAAAGCGCAGAAGGATTTTAAATGTTGAATTGATTTAACAAAAAATTATCTACTTACGCGAATCGCATCTTATGTGCTGTAATACAGTTAAGTAGTTATACATATATACAGTTATACATATAAGTTTCTAATCTACTGCTTACTACAAAATTGCGTTTACCATATCTCAGCATATCATTGACCTGTATAGTATATGATTGTAATGCATAAGACTTGTATAGTTAACAGCACAGTACGGTAGTCTGTATCAGATGCTAATTATCTTAGAGATTAAAAAAGAAGTGCATATCTTTAGCTTTACTTCTGCTTATCAGTTAGATTGTAATTTAGGCATCCAGGATAATAATGACGTGGAGAATATACATAATTATGTGTATACAAGGTAAAAGAAGTTTTCTAAAGAAGTTTAAACCATAAGCGTTGTTATAAGGAATGCCAGTGCCATGATTCATATTTTAAAACACCATGAATGTCGGGGAATTTTTTGAATCATCAGCTTACCGATAAAATCATTTTAACCATTAGAATCATTTCATAATAATAATGCTGAAATAAACTATTGTTTGGTAAAATTGAAGTGGAAAAAATTATACAGTATTATAAGTAATTCGTTTGAGCATACGCATATGATACAGACTAATTGAGTTATAAAATATCTGTGTGTGTGATGGCCAACGATTAAAGTATAAAAAATGTCGTTGCGTATACCCGTTTCATAAATTTCTATATTATGGTAAACCGTTCTAAACTAAACCGAACAATAGACACACCGGGAATCGTTTGCGTGTGTGGTCGCCGTCGCGACACAGAATCACGTACCAAGCGACCACTGTCACATGCGCAGGACATGCATTCTCGTGAGATACATGAACTCTGTATACACGTGTATCACTACAGTATTACAGTGTAGGAACTGTCGTATCTCTTCTCATCCCCACCAACCTCTTCTCTGTCACGGACGAGGCTAATTTAATTTAATAACATTTCATTTGTTTCTCGCCTTAAGGCCCAATCGTTCCTGCCACTTCCTGTTTAAACTACGACGTGGAATTTCGAATCAGCCGGAGATCAAAACCTTGAGACTCCTGGACCATCCTCTTATGCATCTAAAACATTAAGACGAATCTTTTACATTCTGCACGTTTCTTATTATGAGACAAGTCTACACGTACCTATACCCACCTTAATTCTTCGTTGACTTTGTGGTACCAGTTTCAAAGAACAGACATGATTCGAATCCTTGAGTTAAACAATTTCAAGGATAATCATGCCTGTAGCAAGTGTTAGTCTTTTTTACATTTTTTTTTCTTCTTATTCTTCTTGCATATACATTTCTCATGTACATATTTTCACTTCTCATGATTTTTAAATATTTACTGGTATCGATCCACTCCCGGAGAAAGCATACTTCGTGCTGCTTCTAGTAGAGAGTTTAGATGGAATCGTGCAATGGCTGATCGTGAGAGTAATCGCAGTGGGGTTTACCTGAAAAATTCATGGAATGTCGTTACTCTCATTCGCCGGCGTTAACCTTAAGCTGCATTCTCCCGCGTGCATACTCCTTATAGAAAACGTCTTGTAAGCCCTTCAAAGAAATAGTAAAATATACATATATTTATACATACCGGAGAGAATTTGTAATAAGAAGATAATAACAGGAGACGCGTATGCATGTCTGAATGGATATTAGTGATCCTTTGAATTTAAATGTATTAGAATACATTTTTTTTTTGTTGTGAAGATTCATTAAAGAACTCTCCATTACGAATCTGGTTCATGAATCTATGCTCATGATTGTTTTAGTTTTACTTAGATAATGACCTGTTTTATTGGTTCGATTGACTCTTATAATGATATCCATAGAGAAAATGATTTCTAATGATTTTAATCTTGTTTAATCCTAGAAGGGTAAGACAATTTTTTTACGTGTTGTTAAAATCATTAAAATTAGGTTCTCTGGTTTACATGCAACTTTCGTAACCGGTGACGCCACGTTACCGTTCTAATATTAATGAGTATCTTTAATGTCGAATACCATTTCTTCTTTTTTAAATTTACTTTTACAGATATGGGAACTCGTCGACAGCAAGATGGGTTATCTGACACGCAGCAGCCTTTACAAAGGATTGGCTCTGGTCGCGTTTGCACAGCAGGGAAAACAGCCGAGCGACAAACTCTTGGAGAATTCAGAATCTCGAGGTTTTCCATTTCTTGATATTTTAGCCAGTGAATTCATTTGCGTCGATTTAAGATTTTCTTATCAATTGATTTCAGACATTAGGCAAATTTACTGAGTCGCGATAGAGCTCAATACGTCTCTTATCGTACGGCTATTTAGATAACATTTGCTTTACTAAGCTCTTTTTTTGCAATTCGGTTCACTTGGTATCACTCACCAGCAACCGTTACTTTATTTTCCTTTTTGTCGTGACAGAGAATTCAAATAATAAAAGTTCACGTCGCATTTCATACTTTCTCTTCGCCAACTATAGACCACTGTACCAGTAGATTACCGCGAGTTTGTGAGTAAATTGTTTAGAAGGAAAATATACAAAAAAATAAATAAATATAAAAATCGTTCTTTCTATACTGATGTTTGCTGATTATTGAGTCTACCTTGAACTTATACATAGTCAGGAACTAACGGTAGAAAAAATGCTATAGATTATTATAGTCTGCTTTTAGATATAGAGTTACATAATAAAATGAAAAGCAGAGATAGAGCCAAGTGCGTAGAAACTTTGCATATATTTTTAATTATATAGATTTTTAAATTTATTTCTCGTTATTCGGACTACAGAATTACCCATACCAGTTTTGGGAGATTTAACGGAAGTGACGTTACTGGCGCAAAGAATGCACAAAGGGACAAACCCTACCAAGCTAAATATCAGTTATTCTGACATATGTGATTTGGACACCATAGAAGTCAATCAGGTACCGGAGAAGAAGGGTATCTTTCTAAAGCACGTGGAATATCAAATAACCAGCAAAGTACGTCCACCCTTGTTTTTTTAATGAACTAACAATTTCTAACCTTACTAATTTTTTAGCGGTTTAGCTCTATAGTCTACAGGCGCTACAATGACTTTGTATCGTTACACGAACTTTTATTGGCAAGATTCCCATATAGGCTTATACCGAAATTACCTCCCAAGAAAATCGTTGGAGGTAATTACTATAATTAACTAGAAACTTGAGAATTAAGAGTCCTTCTAAATGTATTAACCCCTTTAATATCCCACAGCAAATTCCCAATTCTTGGAGGAACGAAGAAGATCCCTCTTGCGTTTCTTGACTCTAATCGCTCGACATCCAGTCGTCAATAAGGATCCCATTGTACATTTCTTCTTCACGTACATCGGCGAGGAAACTCAGTACAAAATACGAGAAGTGTTTAGAAGAGTTCCTGACGAATTCGCCACTTCTGAACTCTCGTCCAGGGCAAAAGAGTTGGTACCTCAGGAAACGCTCACAGAATTCGCCAATAGCAGGGATCAAATAAGAACAATATTAATGGGTATATCAAGATTGAAAACCATCGCCGACTGTCTTGCTATTAGGTCGCATGGCTACGCTGTCGATATGGCTGAATTAGGTAATCAATTGAGCAATTTGGCAGCAGAGCCACATAGCACGAGTTCCTGGGTAACTGGTGGCTCCACGATATGGCAGGACATGAAGAAAGGCTTCCATGTTATATCTAAGTAATAATACTACATGAATATATGTATTTATATGATGTTATAAAAAATATAAAAAAAAAAAGAGTAATACCATTTTGACTCTTCAGGGAATTTGGTCTTCTCTCTACCAGAGCTCTGGAGCAAGCAGTGAGAGAGGAAACGATGATTTGCGAGAGACTAAATCTTCTCCTGGATATCCTGGTAGCACATAGAATCCTCTGCGAGAGACACGAACGTGGAGTCAGTGCAGATCATCAACGTGCTCTTTCGACAATGCTTTCCTTGAAGAAGAGACAGATGCAGGGAGTCATACGTGGGACTGATGTAAGTAAAATGTTGAACGTACCCAAATGAAGCATCCATCCTGAATATTCGGGATCAGTTATTTTACATATTTTCACTGTCTGCCTTACAATAGGCAGACACTGTGGAGCACTTGGAGAACAAAATGGTGGCACAGGAATCCGTCATAGCAAACGTCGAGCTCAGAAATTCATTCTCCTTGCACTGCTTGCATATGGAGACTCAGCTTGTTCATGCACATTTGGAAATACTTGCTACCGTATTGCAAAGTCTTGTGAATGTTCAGATACGCGGTCATTCCGAGGTAACTTTATTACCGTTAATAAACTTAAATACCTCTCTTAAAGTTAATTGAATTGATCCTCAATTAATCTTGCATAATCGTGAAGGATTATCATAAGGTAACACTTTCTGCCTTACTCATATTGATTATCACTGTACAAAATCAAAACGTCAATCTCAGTATCAATACTCATCCATTCAACCTTGTAATATTTATTACAGCTTGCCGAAGTATGGAAATTGATTGAACCAACCATCATGAAATGCTTACCAGAAAAATCAGCAAGTGGATCAAACAGAATATCATAAATACATCATAACGTATGTGTATGAATGACACGTGTGATATTTACGGAACTGATCAATTTATCAGCGAAAATGCTTTGTTCTTATTTAAAAGAGCTTGAAATATGAAATAAGGTGTTAATTTAGAAATGACATAAATGAAGAGCAACACAAAGGAGGAAAGTAATGGACGAACGTAAACTGTCGTCAATTGACGATTGAACGTACTGAGGGTTTAAAATGGTATATATTCATATATACAGTGATATATCATGATAGCATAATAGTAGGTAATTATGTGGCTGCATAAGAGACATCTAAATGATCGCAGAAGTGCAATAGACATGTTATGTATAATGAAGTGCGTTAAGTAGATGAAGAATATAAATTAGGCTCGCAGAAAAACATACTAGTGAGCCATTTTGATAAAAATTGTTATACCCTAAGACAATTTATATATGAAACTCAATGCCGCGGACAATTCAGTGTATGTACAGTTTGACGAGTTCATGGACATTCCTTGTTATGTACTTAATATATATTTTATGAGCCACACTGTAATGCTCTCATAACATATTCAGTAGACATGATACATGTAATATAAATATTAAGTCCGTTTTGCGGAGACGACTTGATTATGTATATGTATATATATGTAATTTTTCTGAAGGAGCATTTAATGCTGTATGCAACAATGAAAATTATAATTAATACATTGATCCACGAACAGTATAAATCTCTGTAAGTGTTACGTATGAATGATATTTAATTGGCCTATATATTTTATTATTCAAAGTGGAACCGTAATCTCTTTTGAGACGAATTGATCAAAGAATATAGGCATACAAATATATATGTTATAAATTTGTAACTGTAAATACTCATTTTTGCAGCAAAAGAAATAATAAGTCAGTATGTATAATTGAGATACGGAGAAGCTGTTGTTTCAGCAAGGACAGATTGTAACAGTAATGTATTTTAAGTATGCATACCATATTTTTTTAAATATCATTATTTTTGTATATTCTATATGGTATTTAAGTTATTAGATTTGGAATATTATGTGTTTGTTGGAATTCTGCAAAATACATAAGATTTTGCATATATAATAACTATTTACACATTGGTACGTCATATGAAACAGTAATGTAGTAGTTATGTGTGCTAGTAAAACTGTATGTAATTATATAATTTTTATACATTACTGTTACAAATTGTCTTAGCTAGGAGGTTCAATGATCTTTATCCTTTTGGTTTTTTCCCTAGGACACAAGTGTCCCACGCCGAGAGTGTATTTGGATATCGCTCTTACACCTGTTTGTTTTGAATGTAGACGCTGATTGTCAATGATAACAATCAAATATAACATCATTATTAAAATGTCATGGATTATAATTCGTTTACCTTAATCGCAATGAGGACAATGAAGAAGGGCCCATTAGGTTCTTGAATACAGGAGTCTGTTGCATCAACATGTTGTTGGAATTATTACTTCATTCACACAAAATAATCCCTCACAAGAATCCTTTCACTTTGTCATAAATAATACGTAATGTTGTGTTAATTCACAACATTTGCGTACCACTTAATTGCTGCACGTAATAATATGGCCGACTCAACAATGACACTCGCAATTTTACTTTCAGGAACGCTATAGTGAAAAATACGAGATTAATCAGATTGTTTCTCGGTTAAAATGTCGTTGGAAATACTTATTTGTATGTCTACAAAAATACATATTTAATAACTTTCATTAAATGATATAAAAATGGGTTAAAAAATTAGAAAGTCCCAGCGAGGTATTTCAGCGCGAAAACTGAACCGAAATAATGGCGCTATAATAAATACGCATTTGAATCGTCTGAGCTCTAGTCAAATTAGCTTTTGTTTTAAACTACGACTCTTCGTTAAATATAGAAACAAGACTTATCATCGATAAAAATTCTAGGATAAACTTTAATTATTATTTGACACTCGATTATTCAGCATTGAACACAGTTATATAACAAAATAATATTTCTTCTAGTAATGAAATGTAGCACCAGTGTTAGTACAGTAGTAATCTTTCTTATTAATAATTTAACATAATAATGTTATAAATCAAACGCAACATTGTTTTATATTATACAAAATTGTTGCTAAAACGATAGAAAAACGTATCACGATACATTTCGTTTGCTTTGATATCAAAGTATACTCAAAGTTTGTAATTCCTTCTTTCAGCTACCGGTTACCATGAGAATAGCAAAAGATGGCAGCATGTACAAAGGTCCACAAGATTTCCAGGGTTCAGTGCGAGGCAGTGCGAGGACAACCTCTGGTGGTAGGGGAACGTCGTCGGTGTTTCACGCTGCCAATCCGTATTCTGTATTCGGTGATCGTGGAGAGTAAACGAGCAAGCGAGTGATCCGTGGTACGTCGTAATGGCCGCAACCTGACTCTAACGTGATCGGTGTATTCACTACTGCTAGGAAGGTGCGCGAAGAGGGTGTTGAGTGGGTGCGAGGCCGAGTCGTATACAAAGTCATGAGTGACGATAGAAGTGAAGAGGACCCCATTATGGACCTCTGGTACAGCAACTGGGAGCAGCAGTGCGTTGAGGCGATCGAGGCCGAGCCCGATTACGAGAACCAGCTACACAGTGAGAAGGAGCTATACTCTCAACAGATCTGGACAGGGTTTCAGACGACGGCATCGGCCATTGCACAGCTTTACAAAGGCGAGGAATCACTTAATATTCGTCCCCTTATCGCCTGTCTCGAGACGATCTCCGCAGCGCAGTTCTCCTCGTTGCCATTTTGCGTGCCATCCATTTTGTCAGCGATCCCGTGGCTTCCGATGCCTTGCAAAAGGACCTACTATATTGATCTGTAACGGTTGCCTTCTTTCTTTTTACAGATCGTTCGCAGGGTGCGTCCCTTTGGTTACCTTTTCAGACTGCCGCAGGAACCGTCACCTCCTTGTACAAAGGTGCGTCTCTTCACCTACGTATTTACCTTGTTTACTTATTTCTCTACATTCTTTATCATCGGTCTTATTACCTTGTCATTTTTCTTCCTTCTCGTTCATTCTTGTTTGTCACTCTGAACAATAATCTGTTTTACGTGGGATCCTCGTAGAGTATTTTCTTTGTTCTTTAGATACTTCTGTCTTCCACTTTTATTTGCCCTGCTCATATTTTCTTTTATGCTTTATCTTTTTGTGACGTGCGCGTGTCTAACAGCTGGACTTCGACGCTGATCAGCTGTTCTTTCTAGATTTTATCCTGCTCATCCTCTAGAATGTTTGTTAAAACACTTTCTTTTAACTAAAAACTAAACCAGCTGTCATTTGTTATTGATGAGATAACATTGTTGTGCTTGGTTTAATGACCAGATGATCGTGACCATGAGTTCATGTGTATATTAATTTATTGTTGGGATATTATTTTTAATTTTATTTCAGTATTTAGAACTTTTATGTGAATTGTAATTATGCGTGTGATGTAATATGCATTGTTGTTTGTCTCCGATGTTTATTATGATGAAAGAAACTTTGATCAGCTTATATTATTTTTTATCTCATTCAATGGTTTATTTTGAGAGATGCACTAGTTCATATGACATTTTTATTAAAATTGTTATATTGAAACTTAATTCTATTATTGTTTGCAAATCTTCAGACTTTTCCTTTGATTTAAAACAGTATAACCATTTTCTTTAAATATTATACAAAATTAATTATTTGAGATACAATTTTATGCAATATTTTTTATATTCTTCATACAGATTCTGTGGATGGCATGCGGCGTTGCAGTGAATTAGGGGTAGAAATGGGAAGACAGAAACGTAGTAAAGAAATAATGAACTGGGCCAGGAAAAAGAGGCGTATGATTCGCAGAGAAGACCTCCTGGCATATCTTGCTGGAAAACCACCACCACCAAGACCTCACTCTCACAGGTTACTATAACAAAATTCCTTAACTAATTTTCCAACCACGTGCACTTTATATATCATATCATAGTCACAATATCGTTAGACTAAACTTACAAACATGGTAATTCAATACGTAGTCACAGTATCCCTGAACTAAACTTACAAATATGCTAACACAACTGCAGAAATTTCAAGCTACCTTAGAAAGGCTCGCGGAAGGGTCTGAATAAGGAAATCTCAGGTAGGCAGGTGTTTAAACTCAAAATTTTGTACCATTGTCAAATTTCAAGTCCGATAGCCGTCAGTGAAAGATTCCATAGAAATATTTTGAGTCTGATTAAACCCAATTATTAGACTGTTATATCAATTCCACAGAACAAGCATAACGTGCTGTATCTATACGTCCCGCAAAAACAATACAAAAGTCTATATCAACATGAAACTTCGAAAGCTAATATTACATATGTGTTGGCAGGAGTTCTCCCAAACCTCGTATGATGGTTTGTGGTTCGCCACCGTCACAAAGTCCTACAGCAAGTATGGTTGTCACGCCGACGCCGACGCCGGGTGGTGAAACAGATCCGGAATTACACACATTTAGAGAGGCGATCGCGCTTTCTGGTAAGTTCATGAAACAATATCCTCTTCAGTAGGATCTTTAGTTATCTCAGCTACGTCAAACTTAATCACCACGACTTGCTAGTTTAAACTCGTACATCACCTAACCACATGTAGTTGTTGAAAGACGGATCCATTCGGGATTCGTCGCTTTGATTTTCTCAGCACTCGGATTGGTGCATCAACCTCGACTGGTCTTTCAGGGTCACCAATGTCACGGCGTACAGGAAGACAAGCCGAACTCTCGGCCTTCATAAGCAGCGAGTTTGCTCGGCATCATAAACGACCTGCATCTCACGACGTGGACATGGGTTCTCCCACGCACAAACGTTCGCGTTTCATGTAACGGCGCGCGTCGTGTCAACACTAGCCTCACTCTCCCCTTGCCCCCCCTGTATCTTATTAATTAATTGATTAATTAATTACTAATTGTTCAGCCCTCCGAAGTGGTCCCGGCTGGGTAAAATTATTTCGTACCCTTTCGGCACCAGCCCTGTTCTGCCTCTTATCACCGACGTCTACGAAATTTACAAGTTGAGCCATGAACCGACATAATCACTTTTTCTATTAGCCGTTGCTCCTTCTTTGACTTTACTATCGAATCAATGCATCCTTGATTCAATCATAAAAATTGACAGTTGGTACGGATACTAATTACGGTGGACACCTTACTCTGCTCGACTGACTTATACACGGTATCTTTTTAATATTGTTTATTGACACTCTTAAAGGCTGCTCTATTCGTCATGCCTTTGGGCGGTGGCATATTGTTGTTCGTAAATACGAAATTGTATACGAGACTTTATTATACCATTAATTTGACAGAATTAGAGGAAACGTTCCTGGTTTGTAATACTTTGGCACGATATACTTCGCTCGTCAAAGTGGAGTCTCCGACGTACGCAAGGATCTGCTGCGTAAATACGATTGGCTGACGATTTACAATTAACTTGGAAACTACCTGGGGACAATTCGTAGAAAGTTTGTGAATAGACCAGATCCTCGGAAGTGTCGCTTTAACCTATCGGGGTAAGATGTTTTTACAAGGACTTGATTGAAACTTTCTTTTTCCTTTTCCTCTTAGTGTATCCAAAGTCGGTCGTCTGGATTACGTAGTGCCAACGAGAGGGCGGGTAAAGCGATATTCATACGAAATTCCATATCTATCAACGTGGGTTATTGTCGTCAATAATAACACATCAGTCAAGCGATAGTGGAAAGGAAAATCGTCTTACTAATTTTATTGTCTCGTTTTTGTAATCGCGTCACTTTATATTGATTGCGTCATTAATGGTACGCCCTGGCAAAAAAAAACTTGTTCAAACGATTTTGTTTGTCCTTTTTAGGAAGGATATTTGCAATGGTGAAAAATGCCATTTTTTTTCTTTCTTAATATCGTCCAATCCATTATTATCCAGTTTATTTTCATCGACAACGACTCTCGTCAAGTTCTTCACGTGATACTGCTACTACAGCCAATCCTGGACGAACGCATCTACGTCATCCCGATCAATTAGTCCTATTGAATGAATGGAAAAAGTCTAACCGCATAATTACGTAAAAGATGCACTACTTTCCGTATCCATCTTCGAAGACCCAAAACCGAGAACCTTATTTGATCACGTAGCTAACACGCAGGCCAGGGAACCAGCGACAGTCTCGTGAAATGGACAGTCGTTAAGTAAACTCTTGACCCTACCTAGATTTTAAGTTAACGAGCCACGATTACCTTAAACTAAAAAGAAAAAAAAAAGAAAAGCACCCAACAGGGACGAGAGAACGAAAACTAATGCACGTTAGACGAATATGGTTGAAGACAAAAAAAAAGGAAAAAAAAAAGTCCTGCTAAAGCATAGTCTTTAGTGTTTATTTTTTATCATGGTTATTTTTGCTGCTCAAAGTTTTCCTTCTCTCTCTCTGTCTCCCCCCTCCTCTCTCGCTCCCCCTCTCTTTCTCTCTCCTTCGCCGAGAAGAATACCGAAAAACTGTGACCGATAATCACATCGCATTAATATTATACTAACTTATTTTTGTTGGTGCATAGGCTTAGGTGAGACGTGGCACACAGTGCATCCTAGATGCATCTCGTTAAATGCGTGAGGCGAAGTGGCTCGCGGCATCCCGACAGGCTTCGCACCGAGTAGCTGGTCGACGTCATCTTTTTTTTTGATCGGCTCCCGTCCCTCTCTTTTTTTTGACACTTGCTATGCAGTCAGACTGTATAAATCAAGACTATATCCGAAGGAGTGGACATCCGATTGGCTATCGGCATTGCAGGGGCTGTCGGGATATCCGCGAGCGGGACGAAGAAAAAAGAAAAAGCCTTGGCAATTATATTTATGAATCTTGTGAAGAGTCCGTTAAGTTTTTTTTTTTTTTTTTTTTTTTTGAAATGACGTACCCTGGGTACGTTTGTCTAAGGCGCCTCGTGCCGGGTTACTTGTAATTACGCATTAATGTATCATGTTCTCTTTTCTTTTTATTTTATTTTTTTATTTTTAATCACTATCTCGTACTCTACCTTACTTTGCAAAGACGCTGTGCGTCGCTCGCTCGTATTTCTTGTAATTTCATTCTCTTTTCTTTTTCCACACCATTTTCTAATCACTTTCTGTCTCTGTTTGTTCTGCAGTCGATCGACGGGCTCGAGACGACGGTCGCAAATTTCTTGTTTTATCATTGCGAGAATGTTAAAAAAAAAGACAATAGGCATGGACAGTCATTGTTCTTTCTGTTTACGACCCACTGTACTTTCCAGTTTGATTCCGACAATCTGCGATGTCCTCTTGGAGCTCGTCGAATATAACTGCTGACCGGAAGTCTCTGAAAAATGTCTTTCTCGTTCGTTCCTCCTCGCTTTCCTTTTCCATTGGTATTTTGTTATTTCGTTCGACGCCCTCTCCCCACCTCTCGTATCTATGGCTGTCTACTTTACCACTCTCACCTCTCCGCTCCCCTTTACTTTCCACGTTACTAATTTATCCCTGACAAAATTTTCTGCGCACTGTTCCGGAAACGAGCAAGAGTTGTTATTCTGTTGTAAATATAGCTTATATTGAATACGATTACGATAACGATAATATTAGGGTTAACTTGAATATTGATATCAATATTAACATAGACTACTATCCGATAGCTTTAATCATTACTATTTATCGAACGATCGGCAATTAATAATAAATTTCCAAGGATTATCTTCACGCTTGACTACAACTTTCCCGGCCAATTTGGATTCGAGTGACGATCCCGCCCATTTTCTTGCTGTCAATCAGGATCACATTTTTTATTCCATCTGTGATTGCGCGCACGACACAAGAATTTCCCGACGGAAAGATCAGTTTGATGGAAAAAAAGAAACTAGTAAACTAAAACGCGTGGACATCTAAACAAAAGCTAAAAGAATGACGAGTGTCTTCGTGCCATTTGAGTGTCGCTAGTTAAAGAGAAAAAAAAGGAGATCAAGTTACCTTGTTGTTTTTTTTGTTTCTGTTTAAATTTGTTAACGGAAAATGTATCTATCGGCGAACATCATTGGTTATGTTTCCGCTGGAGTGAAGGGGATACGTGTGTTTTGTATATCTGTATATTAATAAATTATAGGTTATACATTCGATGTATTTAGACTGTCGTTTGACTCCGGTGGCAGCATGGCCGTTTGACGCGTAAAGTATAAATAAAAATATTGCACAAGAGTCGAGGGGAATCACGCAACAAGAAACCACAACGACAATAGTAAGAGGAAGGGAGGGGGGGAAGATGCCGTTGACAGATTCGAAAGATCTCACGTCGGTCGCCATCTCTTTTAATTTCGCGGAAGTTCTGCCGAATACGCACGAGGAGGTGTCACAGATGCGCAAACATTGGGAAAGCGGCCGTGGCTCCCGACACGATTCCAATCGGGCTTTACCAAGCGAAGAGATAGAGCAAACGAAACGGCGCCAGGGAAAAAGGCAAGATGTGAGAACGTGTCTCTCACTCGATGGCGTCTCTGAGTAAATATTTTTTCTCACGATTCCTAGGGAAAGGAATCGCCACACCGGGTTGCCATACTTTATCTTATAGCTATAAGATAAGTTACGTACGTAACTTTTAAAAAAGAAAAAAACAATTCTCGAATAACGTTTGGACGGAAATTCTCCAATAGAAAAAATATATATATATATATATATATATATATATATATATATATATATAAGACGAGAACGTGTAAGCTTGAGATTCTGTCAATCGTTTCGAGACTGTTTTTTTTTTTGTACAGATAACGAGAATGACTTGCGATCGTCGTCTCTTTCTCTCTCTTCACGTACAAACCTTCCTTTCGTCTCTTTCCATGTTTTTGATAATTTTTTTTTTTTGTTTCACTCGATAAGAAAAAATGTGCACTTTCGTTCTAGGATATAAAAATGGAGGATCGCCGGGCGAATGTGATGTTGATGAAGGAGGAGGGAGGAAGGAGGCGCGAATTGAGAGAGAAAAGAATTCGTCTGACGGTCGTTTCTTTTTTTTTAATTTTAAATACCAATTGTCGCGACCGTCACGACGCGTTTTTTTTATCCGACAAGAATTATCTCGTTGGCGTTAATGATTCTAGCTTACATTTAGATTATATTTATCATAGAGACGAATTTGGTACGGCGCTTGCGCCGGCAGGCGTTACGAAAAATGTAAATGAAAGGTCATAGAGGTAATACATTTTTGTAATATCTTTACAACTATTTTGGGTCTGTAATCGCATCCACGTTTTACCGTATCCACAGACGTGTAACGTGAACGCACGTGGATACCGAGCTGCGTCAAGACGCACTTGTCGTGTGCACGTGAAAGATTTTTGTATGTAACGGTTTTCTTCTTTGTGAAAAGGGAAAGGAAAGGAAAATCGATTGAAGATGAAAGACGAAGAAAAAAAAAAGATAAAATGCCTCCTGCGTTGCCAAGTGTGGAGGGGATCGAGGTTACTACGATCCTCCCTTAACTACGTTTAATCCCAGTAGGCAATTTTTCATCAGACGAGATCAATCGCAATAGACTCGGTATAGTACGTAATAAAAAGAAAAAAAAGAATTTACGTTACGGAATGGACGAGAATGGTGCTGTTATTTTTTTGCGAATATAAGGAAGCTTGTATATTTTTGCGTCTCTTGTTTGTATGATAATCATTTACAAAATAAATCTGTGACAAGATGACTCGTGGAGAATTCGTAAGAGCGTGAATAATTATTGTACAATTTTTTTTTACTTTACGGCTGACCGCGTACTTTTACGTACGCGTTACCGAATCCTTGTCAATTTACAATGTCGCTTAATATTGTCTTGTGGCGTCTGATGGGATTAGTGATTGTTACATCGTTTATATATATATATATATATACAAACTTTGTTTTTATTTATGTTAATTTTGTAGCGTCAGAGACTTTCGTTCTCTTACATTATATATCTACGGTACGAGTGAGGCAATATGTTGTACAATTGTATTGTACAGTGGCAAGATACTTTCGTACCTTTTGTATTGCGCACCGGAAACCGTCGAGTTTACGATACTGAGAAGAAGACGTTATTGATCTTAGACCCGCTGTTAAGTTCTTGGTCAATCATTAGTTTCCGGTTGCCACGGTCGCAAGGTCAATGCACGTCTTTAATAGAAATACTATGTCGGCCATTACGATTGGCATTGTGCTTTTTCTACACACTGTAAATCCCTATAATCTACTGTCCGTAATTACGCCTTCCGGCGCCTCGAGAACTCTCTTCCGGTTAGCTATCGCGTTCACCAGTTTCCTTCTAGGACCCAGCGGTAGTTTCAGCGCGGCGATATCCGATTCCGTGAGCATCATCAGTGCTTCCAGGTCAATCTGTTCTGCCTCGAGGGTCGGCTGTATCGAGGAGAGATTATTGGCGACCAGGAATCTTTGCAGTGGGCTCCATTCCTCGACGACGTCCTCCTCCTCCTCTTCTGCAGTAAGGGAAGTGAATTAAATGAATTAAATTTAGATGTATCACTAAGAATATTTTAATTACACGTTTTATCGTATATACCGGATATCAAGTCGTCGTCCCATATACTCTGACGACGAGCCAGACTTCCGGCACTGCCGATACTTATATCTTCGTTGTGAATGTTTCTGTGACCGTTTATTGAACCGTTTACCGATCCATTTACACGTGTACTTCCGGTATGCTGATGTACCTCGACCTGCGTTACCGGCAGGTTATCCAGTGTGTTGGTTATCTGAAGGTGGTAAAATTATTATATATATATAAATATACATATATCGTGACGTGCAATATCCCACAACAGGTTTTGATTCTCTTTTTATGTAACCAGATACATACCGATCGTCGGAAGGCCACGGAGCCAAACCCAGGTCTATTGAAGATGCTCGCTGGTTCCTGAAGTAACACCGTCTCCTCCACGACGTCCGACATTGTCTCCTGACTATGTCTGTCGTCGTTATCGAAATCACGATCGCCCAATAAATCCGGGGTACTCTGCGCTTTGTTCAAAGTACCCCAGACGTCGGATATGCGTCCTCTCTTACCGATCTGCTGAGCATGGGTCTCATAGGTGCCGACGTACATCACTTCCGAGTCTCTACGAAGACCGGTTAGACTACGAACCGATTTCTTACCGTCGTCTTCGATCTGCAAAATAACTTTATGGTTTACACCTACGTCGTTCCAATGATAATCGGAAGCACCAGGTAAACGGTTTTTTTACCTCCACGACCTTAAAATCGTCCAGTGCCTTTCTTGCTTGTGCTTTTCTGCTCACTGCGCTTCCTTGCCTCTTCGTTCCTACTATGTCACTGAAGGTCGGAGAAGGTTTGACTTTACCTTTTAAGGTTAGGATACTTGGCCTATGCGGTAGAATGTTCGTCTCGTTCATGTAATCCACGTCGAGCTTTGCCCTGTCCTTTAACAATTTCTTTTGCTCCTTCTCCGCCCTGACTTCCGCCACTCTTTGTCTCTTAATGTATTCCTTCAATCTAGAAGACAAATTATTTTTTTTTAGGTTAACGTAGAGACGTACGCACGGAATTTACGATTTTTCCGGGTCTAGGAAAATACCTTTTCTCCGCGTCCTTCTCTGCCTTCTCACGTAACATTCGTGTCTTCTTACGATTGTTCAGCTCCTGATCGGCTTGCGCCAAATCCAAAAACTGCAGGATCTTCTCGCGACCGTTGATCGCCGCCAATTCGCGAGCCGAGTGACGATCTATGTCCAGGGACCAGATATTGCAGCCAAATTTCACCAGGAACTTTACGCAAAATTCGTGTCCTCTCGCCGCGGCAAGGTGCAGACCTGTGTTTCCGAAATAATCGGTTTTATCCGGGTCCCCCCTGTAACACATGAAAACAGTCCTCCTTTACTTCCGGTCACGCTATGGCGCACGTTACGCCTCTACGCGACTAGCCGTGTGTTAAATAAATGAAGGGAAGGTCATACTCGCTCTTGTTACTCCTGCTGGTTAGGTTAGAAATTATAATTTTATTCTGATTGCTTTACGAACGCACGAAATGAAATTACACTGTGGCAGTAATCGATATACGCAAAAATTCCTTATCGTTGAGACTCACTTTGTGACGAGATCGAATATCGTAGTAGAGATAAAAATATTCTACGAAAGTTTCTGATACGCGTTACTTTGTTGGATGACGATTTAATTTTCGTTTTTCATCGTTATCTGCTATTTTTAGCGCCGCACGAGAAGTAGTCGCGTACGTAATAATTGTTTGTGATAAATTGTTTAATTATAAAGATTCGATGGTGTGCTTTTGTTATCCTATTGCTTTTCTTGGTTATGTAATTCTTGAGTTTTCGTAAATATGATTCTTGCGACACTTCTCGTCGAACGTATGGCATAGACGGTGTGTCGAAATTTTCGAAACTTGCTTACGTCGCTACATGAAAATCAAATAGAGTCACTCGCACGTCTTCCGTTTTTACATTCTGTCTGTATTAAAATACCTGTCGAGCGTATTTCACGAACTATTTGGACTTTTTACTCGATCGCGTTATTACAAAACTGGTCTTTCTCGTACGAGAATGCAGGTGACCTAAATTTTCAATTTTTTTTTCTTATTTAAAAAAAGTGACTCGTTAGTATTTCCAACATTACTTTTGCCTCTTGCTGGTTTAATTTTTGTTTCGTCCCTCTCTTTCTATTTTTTTTAACTCACTGGCTCCCCCATAACTTCCGTTATGTGGGGTTGTCTGGATACAGACTGTAACCACGACGCACTTCCGGTCGGACACATCTGCACTATCAATACCTGCTGATGGTGAACATATAACAATCCAACCACCTGGAAAGAATGTTTGAGAAATTTTTGTTTATAATTTCTCAAATTTCGATACGACTCCTGACACGTCGATGGGGATCGAGTGATATAAAATAAATTAAAAAGTATGAGACGATTTAGAATTTAAAAAATAGTTCAAATGTGAATACAGCTTTTCTGTATGCAAATTGTAAACACTGAATAATTCAAATTTCTCAAATTCTTACATCCAGCCAAAAATGTCACTGATATAATTTTCTCTTATCAGTATCCTACTATCGTCGCTATAAGCCCTGTTCAATGTCTTATTATGAAATATAATAATCAACTAAATAAAATCTGTCAATGGTTCCAAATTTTTTGTATCGTCATCAATAATTTAACTGTCATTCACAAAGTCAAGATCACTCATGACTATTCGAATAAAATATTTGTCCATCCCATTTAAATTCATGTCTGCATATCATTAAATGGCCAAATCGCTACCAGTAGTTCACGTTCAAAATTAATACCAACAACTAAAATCTAAATAACGAGCAGCAATCGATAAGAGCATCAGGAATGAATTAAAATTCATCAACGCGTAACAAGTCGACGGTCTCGAATAGATCCACGTGCTGTGGTCAGTTGATGTTAAATGTAAATCAATACTTGATTTTTATGGCTGCCATTGACGTACACATGTTCACAAGCATAACACTGAATCCATTGAAGGTTTTAGTCTGTAGAAAAAGAAAGAAAAATTGACCACAGATTAGATGGCATCAAATATTTTTTAACATTCTGATTACAAGACAAGTCAATATAATAGATTTGTATTTTTCTCTTAATTAATCAGCTAATTAATTATTTTAATTTATTCAATCATTGCTGTGACGTCAATTTTATAGGGTGCAATTATAATTTCATTGGCACTATTTACCTTTGTGCATGTCTCCTGGCTGGCTTTTACTTTATTATACTTTAACTGTATACCTATTCAGCATTATCATTCGACTGATAAACGTACCCTCTTGCTACCAGGAGTCTCAGTGCTTCGATGTGGCCTTCAAAGGCTGCCCATAACGTTGGGGTCATTCCACCGTCGTCCCGAGAGTTACAGTCCTTTCTCGTTGCCTCTTTCAAAATCTCCAGGGCATTGTCCCGTGCCGCCCTTTTAAATAATTATTTAACATTATTGTGGTTATCATTGTCATAACATTTAAAAGATATTGCACCTACTAACAGCGTACAGTGAATGACTTTTTATTATGCTTGCCAGTGAAAACGACGTGTTTTGAATATGTATTTCCATTTTTATTAAGTTTTCGTTATTGGCTGATTTATGAAATTGATGAAAAAATTACAAATAGTTTTGTTATTCATGAAGAATTGATCTTTTAAGTTCTGATAAAATTATATCTAAGCTGTTTTGGACTTTTTTTTGTTTTTGAGATTCTTTTTTAATCAGCTTCTTCGTGTAATGATTTACTTTTATGAGGATTTCACACCTTTCTCGGCGTCGATCTATGGCGTATGAAAATGTTGAGATTTACTTGGATTTTTTTTTATGTAGAACATCGACCGCGTCACTCAAATTAATTAAAAGTCGTCTTCAGGCATTAGATGATAATTTTTTAATTGCTCGCTCAAACTACGCAGGAGATATTTACATGCGTGACAGTTTCTCCGTCGCTGGCGATGGAACTTTTTTATTTTTTAATTACACGTTTCACCAATTATACGTCAGACTCGTTTTCAACGAAATGGTTTCGTCTCTGCGAAGTCAGACGTCGTGAATGATGGGATTTTAGATAACTTTGTTTTCTTTCCAACGACTCAGTAGATAAACAGAGAGACGAATGCTTGAAGTAAATGAGAATGAAAAAATAATATTTTACTATTTTCACAGACAATAAATAATTTTATTTTATTTAAAATTACAACTTCTCCTAGAATCAGCTTGAAACGTCGAAAAACACGATTTAAATATCCCACAAAAAATTCAAACTCAACCAATAAGCGTAAAACATGACTAAAATCACATATTGATAAGAGCTTGTCACGCGAATCGTATGAATGTATAAGTCGATATGAGAATGAGTAATCAAAGTTACTTATCGTTTACGAATTTATCTTAACATTGAAAAAAGACAAAAAAACCAATTTTAAATATGACGTATATGACGTAAAATCTTTCCTTCTTTGTCTATCGCCCAAGAACAATGATACAGATGAATTATGAGGGTTACCTGTATTAGTTGATATAATCTTATCTGTAAGAACTCGTCAAATTTCACGAACAATCGGTTGCATCGTGTACATTTATTTGCTAGGTAAAAGTGACAGAATCCATTAAAAATTTTGGAAAAGAAAATACTTGAAGGAAAAACTAAGTGTTCAATATCCACGTACAAGTCCGTGTCGTCCTGGTACGTTGAATAATTGAATAACAATTAACGTTTTTCTATCATTTTTCGGAACGTATCGATTCCCCGATACAGTAATAGGAATAGTCATAAATTCAAACACGCGAAGACAAGCATTTCTTTCCTTTTATTTCGCACGCGACGAAATGCCAAAGAGATCGGCGTGACGCGGCCAAGTGTTACGAATTTCACACGCGCATCCGAACAATAAAGGAAAAGAGAATAAGTCAAAAACCGGATTGGAGTCCGGAACATCTTACTTGTGATATCGTTCAGACGTCATCTTCTGTCTTGTTTTAGTGGTCGAGAAGATGCTGATTCTACTTGAGAAAAATCGAGGACCTTGTCTTGGGTCTTCACTCGGCATACATAGCTCCCCGGATATAAAAACAGAGAAGTTAAAACGACCGTGAAGAAGAGTGGGAGATGTACTTAATTGCGACCGTGTAACTTTAGCTAGGGAATGACAAACGGCAACGCGTCTAGTATGGCGGCTGGCGGAACACTAACGGCCAGACTTGACTGTAGCTCGTTGTTGCACTTGCTACACCTGGTATCCTTCCACCTGTTTATTAATTCGATAAGTCCCCTCTAGATTCGATATTCGCGCCGCTTGCTTACTAGCCATATCTGTTGGAAATGTTTTGAAGACGATGATAAACTTGGATTTATGAGATTCGGTTGGTATTGTCGCTTCTTTCTTTATCCACTGATAGAACATCTTGTCTCTGACGGTATCTCTCTTATTGGGTAATTGTCTATTCGTTATATAAGTACTTGTAAGTTAAATCGCTTGGAGTGCTCGTGTCAGTAGCGTCTGAAAATGATTTATATTGTTACATATAACAGAATGTTTCAACGAATTCCATAGGCGTAACGTAATTACAACGCTTTATAACGCAACAATTTAAATCGTGGAAGTTTCTGATTACTTGCTGTATATTACTGTTGGATGACCGCACTACGGAATTCCAAGTATGACTGCGTAACACGTCGGTAACCGAACGTTCTAAGGTGGCATTAATTTAATGAAACGTCAGTCACGAAGAAACTATTGATATTTACAGTGACATTTATTAGTTAATAATCAAACGAGAGGAGAAATAGTATGTTGCCTGGTATAGGATTGTTTGGGACAGGAAGCGTGGTCAGGGTCATTGTCCCTTTTCTGAGAGAAAAGGGTTTTAAGATAGAAGCTGTATGGGGTAGGACACTTGCCGAAGCTGCTGAGGTTGCTACATCTCTTGATATACCTTTTCATACCAGTCGGATAGATGACGTACTTCTTAGGAAGGATGTTGACCTTATTTTCATCATGTGCTCACCAAATCTTCATGCCCAAATCGCTGTTAAAGCTTTGGGTATAGGCAAGCATGTCGTTTGTGACAAACCTGGTGGATTGAGTCAGAGTGAAGCTTTGAAGATGGTGCATGCTGCACAGTATTATCCTTCTCTGATTAGCATTGTGAATCACAGTCTGCGCTTCCTTCCTGCGTTTGTACACACCAAGAAAGCTTTGGATGAGGGATACCTTGGTGGTCCAGTTACTGTTATAGATGTCAGAGTTCAAATGGGAAGCTTGTTACATAATGGTTTGTATTGAAATTAATTATGTTTGTTTATGGTTACTTAACGAAATGTATCCCAACAATTGTGTCATGTTTACAGGATATGATTGGCTGTGCGATGATACTATGGGTGGTGGTATTTTAGCACTTGTTGGCAGTCATGTGATTGATCTTATATTCCACTTAATTGGACAACGGGCCATCAGAGTGCATGCTGTTGTACGAACATTTACTCAAACAACAAAACATATAAATGGAATAAGACATGTTACATCGCCAGACTTCTGTAGTTTTCAAATGGAATTGAATGGCGGTGCATTAGTCACTGCTACACTGAGTAATCATTTACCAGGACAGTTAACACAGGAAGTATTGATATGCGGAGCTGGTGGGCATCTAGTCGTTCGTGGTGGTGATTTATATGGTTGTCGAAGGGAGCAAGACTCCATTGGTCAGGAAGAGGTTCTCTACTTAGACGTAGAGAATCTGCAGGAGTCAGGTCCTCCTGTTATAGATTCAATCCCTCGACCTTACGTTAAAGGACTTAGAAAAATGATTGGAGCTCTTGGTGAAGCTTTTCATTCTGTTGAGGATAAACGGGGCTGGATAAAGGAACCGGTATTCTCAGCAGCTACCTTTGAGGACGGTCTCTATGTTCAAGCAGTGATCGATGCCCTCAGGCGAAGTAACAAGCGACGAGAATGGATAAAGGTTGATATCCTCACTGAGGAACCAGATCCTAATCCCTTATTGAGTGCTGCCGTGAGAGCAACAGCTATTTCGATCTGAATTGGATTTCGTAGATATTTGAATTATGGTGAAGAATGTTTCATCAAGCTTTATTTGTTGAGAATGCAGTATTATAAATTGTTTACAAATAGAACAAATCTATTTCACATTCGCACAGTCTATAGGCAGCTCTCTACTGTTTTCAAAGTGACTGAAGGTGTTAAGTAGGTATGCCGTGATGAGAACTGATACTTTTGCATATTTATGTTTGAAACTCTGCTGTTGTTATTTATTTACCTCTCTGCGAAACAAGAAAATGCATAAATTTAAGAATCACTAAATATAAATCATAATTTTCTCTCCGTCTGATGTTTTATATTTAGCACAATATACATTTTATATTAGTGCATTACAAATCGTTGTGTTCTAGTACCTTAATGTTATTTTATAGTCTAACGTTCGGTTGTATTAGACGTTTATCAAATGTTAAATTATCCTTAGAACCGTCAACTTATATTTTATACGTATTTATAAAAACAAAGTAGTATTTGTACGAATAAAAGTTCAACTACAATTTCATTTTCTTTCATCTTCTCTTTTTATGTTAGATTTTCTTCATGGAGAACCGAAATATTAAAATTCGGAATAGAATGATCCTAATTATTGGTCATCTCTTATTGCTCTGGTTGTGAATGTAAAACTCTATGCCCAGCAATGTACTGACGTTTATTATCAATATGTCAAGATACTCATAACAATTTCATTATGTTATATTTTTAAATATTATATCTTATACTGTTTTATTTACAATTAGTTGTAAATTGTAATTATTATAACGCACAAAGATGTGTCCATGAACATATCATATAATGAATTCGAAAATGCGGAAATGAACTGTCGTGCACGTGGCGTTTGACTTCTGGTTGTACGTGTTGTCACTTTCATTCAATTTTATAAAATCGACACCTATTAGTACAGATATCATCATTATAAAGTCAGAGGAACAGATTTTTCTTTTGCAAAAGTGAATTAGCAATAAAGGTAAATAGTTAATCTAATAAGGTAATTAGTTAGTTTAAATAGTTAAAGAGTTAATATGAGAACTATACTATTCGAGGTTAGGATGTTGCTGCACAACTGAATTATTCAGTCAATAGTTATCTTATTGGTTTCATTGATTTGTACTGCATAATATATTTTGGACTTTGATGCATGTATTGATCCATTGAAATCAAGGATTAGACACTGCTCTGTACGATATAGAATTAACATTTACGGTTACTGATGTTTCGACGTTACTTGTATGAATTAGTTAATATACTTATGTATTCTAATATATAATTGCTTCCTTAATCATACGTTAGAAAACATAGATATATTAACTGTTATAATTTGATATACTATTTGTTTCTTATGAATTGTTTACATTGGTGATATCATATGGCATATATGGTATTGTTGGGCAGTGTCTGATCCTGCACATGGTTCTTGGTGGATACTTGGCCGCTGTTCTCGTCGTTTGCTCCGTCAAAGGCCAATATCGCTTTCATTGGACCAGGATGGCTTCCTTGCTGGTTCCTCCAGCTTCGGTACGTGGAATGACTTGCTTGGATCGTGATGCATTTACCACCACAACCAAGGTGCCTCACATAAAATTGGGAGATGTACAACTAGCAAAGATTATGCCTGTAGTAAAAAAGTACATGCTTAAGTTACAAAAGTTGAAACCCGTTCAAGATACAGAGAATGGTAAAATAGTGTACATTGATCCCCAGAAAGTTAAATCTGTAGAAGATATTCCTGAAGACGATAGAATTTTACTATCTATCAAGCATTTGAAAGAATTGGAGAAAATCCCATTAACATTGACATATGAAAACTGGCGCCAAGACGAAGTGCTGAAGGCAATTTTGCCTGAAAATGTGGAAGTTCCTACGTCTTACAGTATAGTGGGCCACATCATACACTTAAACCTGCGGGATTCGCAGTTACCGTATAGAAATATAATTGGAGAGGTTTTCCTTGACAAAATAAATATAGCTCGAACAGTGGTAAATAAATTAAATGTAATTGACACGACTTTCCGTCACTTTAAAATGGAGATTCTAGCTGGCGAAGACAATACCACAACGATTGTTAAAGAAAATGGTTTCACCTACGAGTTCGATTTTGCTCACGTGTACTGGAATCCACGATTAGGTACTGAGCACATGTCTCTCACAGCCTCTCTAAAACGTAATGACGTCCTTTATGACGTATTCGCAGGTGTAGGACCATTTGCTGTGCCTGCTGCTCGCAGAGGAGCCAAAGTTTTAGCAAATGATTTGAATCCGGAATCATACAAGTGGCTTCAGAGAAACGCCAAGATCAATAAAGTTCAAAGTAATTTAAAAACATTTAATAAGGACGGCAGAGATTTTCTACGATATGAAGTCAAGGCTGATCTAATTAAGAGACGTAATGAAAACATTGAAGGGAATGAATACATAGCCATGAACTTACCAGCATTGGCTATTGAATTTTTGGATGTAATCACAAACTGTTGGTTCTCAAGCGAAGAAGTTAAGTCAATAGTTTGCAGACCTCCTACTGTTCATCTTTACTGTTTTGTTAAAATCCAAAAAGATGAAGATCCACATGCCCTAGCTAAGACTCTTGTAGAGAAGAAACTTGGTTGTTCGCTATGTCCTGAAATATTAGTGACTGTTCGTCATGTGAGAAATGTTTCACCGAATAAGGAAATGATGCGAGTGTCATTTTTACTGACTAAAACTATTCTGCAAGGGGAGGAGCCAGCAAAGAAGAAAGCAAAGATGATAACAGATAATATTGATACACTGATAAAAGATAATGTTGTAGGAAGCAATGGCAAAGAACAAGGGAGCTCGCAAGACCAAAAATGTATTCAAGGTGGCAGGAGCTCGTAGCCTCAAGCTGAAAGCCAAAGCTCAGAAAGTGGCGACTGATTTAAAAAAAGTAAGTGGCTGTACTAACAGTCCTCCTTAATGATAAATATAACAACACTCTTTTTTAAAGACAATTTTTATGATGAAGTTTACATGAACAGTTTTACTTTAAAATATCACATTAAAAATAATTTAATTGATCTGTGTTGCTTTACTTGCATCGGCATTCTCTGTCTACTTAGTTGGATTTGAAGGCGAATAAAACAGCAGCTGCAGATAAAACAGCCCGCGTGGACGAGGAACTGGTAAAATTACGCAAGGAAGTATCGCAAGGGAAACCATTGAAAAATTCTAAGCAGGAGAAGAAGGAGACAGTGCAGAAAAAGAAGAAGCAGAATTTGCCAAGAGCGAATACAAGATCGCAAACCGAGACGGCGGCCAATTTAGTTAAAGAAATGCAAATTTAAGAAACCATTATTTTCCTAATTTTCCTTACAATGAAATTTCGTTCAAACCCATAAATTTCTGTTTTAGTTATCAAATTTTTATTGTAAAGATTTCGCAACTACTATGGCTACGCAAACACTTATATCCTGTACATACAGTCTAATAAGAAAAACTGTATTCTAACGTATAAGAACATATAATATGTACACTGTACATAAAAATTAGTATCAGTTACTGATTTATATATTTTTTACATGACGTTTTAAATTCCTGCATGATCCACTGTTAAGGCTTTACAGTATTTATTCTATATCGTTTGTTTCTTATCTGTACTGTGGTTTCTATTGTGAATGCATAACTTGAAGCTGCTACTTTATGTTTTATCAGACTTAGAATACGAACCTTGATATTCTTCTTTAGTGAACATTATAAATCATGGCTAAACAGTACACCGCAGGACTAGTGGTCATAGGGGATGAAATTTTACGTGGACAAGTTACCGACACAAATACATCTTACCTGGCAACACGTTTAAGAGCTATTGGAGTGAAGCTTTGTCACGTTGCGGTAGTGCCTGACGTTGTATGTATTATTCAAAACTTCCATATTTATGTTCACATTGAATAGATTAGATTAGTACAATCATGGATTCTAAATCAATGCTAATGCAGACGTCATTCATGTAGAATGTGGACAGGAAACTTAATTTACTTGGCATAACTGTAAGATAAAAAGTACTTAAAATTTTATTTATTTAAATGTAGACTCAAGTTAGTGTGTCTAGTTAGCATTCATTATAATATTAGAAGGCACTGACTATAAAGACTCACTGACTACTATGTTATAAAGATACCAATATATGTATATAATATATTTCTCTTCGCAATACCTTTTGTTACTGTCTTCATTGTAATCTTTTAAAGTTTCCTACCAGGTAGATCAAATTGCAGCAGAGGTATTGGAAGCTTCAAAACGTTATGAAACAGTCTTCACATCTGGTGGTGTAGGACCGACCCATGACGACGTCACCTTTGAAGCAGTAGCTAAGGGTCTAGGATTGGAATTTAATTATAATAAGGAGTTATTAAAATATTTTTCAAAATTATTTCCCAACGAACCAGAAGCCAAAAGACTTGCCAAAGTTCCTAATCCTTGTGAACTCGTATACATTAATACACCAGGTAATACCAAACATTTAAAGACCCGCAGGATTCGTCTTTATCTCAATAAAATATTAATTAAATGCTATGAAATTCTTTATAGTAAAATTCGCGATCGTCAAAGCAGTCAACGTCTACATTTTGCCTGGTTCACCAAATTATTTTGAAGCAGCTGTGTCCGTTATAATACCTCAGCTACAAAAAACAACACCATTGCATAATGACTTTCTGGATTTACCGTTCGGCGAGTTTACTATTGTGAATCTTTTGGATTCCCTTGCGAATAAGTGGAAGGATATCGTAGCCATTGGTAGTTATCCTCAATCTGGAGAACGTCCCAGTACAAGAATCACTTTTGAGGGTAACCCGAAGGACGTCAAGATGGCGAAGACTGAATTTTTGAAGTCTCTGGACAGAGTAAACAATATAGCTAACAATAAATTAACATTTGAACAAGCAGAAGCTGTCATAGCCTCCGGGAAAGAACTGCATCATGTAAAAGCTGCGTTAGATATTATTGAACAATGCTACAACAAGTAAGTCTAATTCTCTTTAATACTTTAACACTTGTACTGGACGTTCTTAATAACTCTCTTAATTCAGATATAAGGAAAATGAAATATTCATAAGTTTCAACGGAGGAAAAGACTGCACGGCTGTCCTACACTTGTTGGCTTCCTTTATCAAACTGAAGGGAATCTCGCGGTTGGTCTGTCTTTACGTAACTGGCGACACGTTTCCAGAGGTAATAGAAAATTATTCTACGTGCCTATATGAAATCAAACTGACACGTCAAATAAATCAGATACAACGTATTAATCTTGATAATATTATCGACACATTAGGCAGACAAGTTTGTCGAAGAAGCTGCTGAATTTTATGGCTTAGAAATGGTACGAATGGAGCGACCAATAAAGTCAGCCCTCCAGGCTCTGATAGCGGAGAAACCATATCTGAAGACTTGTCTAATGGGTACAAGAAAGGGCGATCCTGGCTCCAGAAAATTAGAACATTTTGCACCCACAGATGACGATTGGCCGCCGCTGATGCGCGTAAGTCCGATTTTGGATTGGACCTATAGTCAAGTTTGGGAATTTTTACTCACTCATAAGGTTTCCTATTGCTGTCTTTATGATCAAGGATATACTAGTATCGGTTCTGTATCTACTACCGAGCGCAATAATTTATTGAGAGATCCTAACGATCCTTCCAAGTATAGGCCTGCGCATTTCCTAGAGGATGACTCCACTGAAAGATTAGGTAGAGCGCAACAGCCGAAGTTTATAAAAGAATAATAAATTAAGGTTTTTTTTTGGATACTCAAGGGGTAGAACAATTTGTAGAATTTAGAGTAGAGTGGACACGCTAAGCGTCGATTGCCATGAACTTATAAAGATTTTTGTAAGTTTCAATCAGACATTTATTGTCGTGTACACTCATTAGATTAAAAGTTTATTTTTAATAATTAAACGAAGTAATTATTACCGATAAATATATACAACGACTTCTATCGGACTATGAATATATTAATGAAAGATTTGCTTGCTTACGTATGAAACGTAAGTGTTTATGCAAACTATGATTAGTGTTATTCTTTTGTTTCTCTTCATTAATAATTATATAGTTAATCAGTAGTTAAACAATAGTTAATCAATTGTGTAATTGCTAATGATATATACTAGTGTATGATTAATCTCAATGTTTATGGCAACTGGTTTGTCATTATCAAGACACAGTCAGTGTTCAATGAAATATTCCTGTATAACGCAAGTGACAGTATTCCTATAATATAATAGGAAACAGTGGAGAATATTTTATATAAATTAATTATTTAAAAGAATCAATATTATAATTGATGTATGGGCTGCATGAATTATTTGGCAAAAGAGCATCGATGATGGAAAGTTTTCCTATGGGAACAAAAAATAAAAAGCTTAAGATAATATTCAATTCATTTAATCTACTGATTAAATGAATCCTCGTCAAACTGTCTTAACTTATTGTTTCTAAACAATTATAATTATATAAACTTAAAGATTTCCACAATGAAAGTTTTAAGCGTCTATCTAAAGCAACCAGGAATACATCTTTTGCAAATTTGACTTTGACTCGTTTTCTGCTGACCGAGGGCACCAGGGGATAATCCTTAGCTAATCCACATGAAGCCTCTGAATAAGCGAGTTAGGGTTTCAGGCATGGAAGAGAATCGAATTGTGGGGAGACTAAAGAGATATAGCTGGTTGTAATAAAATATAAAAGGAAGTCTCACACGGTTCAGAGAATAAGGTGAGGGGCTGGTGGACGGTATGGCCAACATGTACAACGACAGCATTCACTGGGAGGCGAGAGTTTTACCAGCAGGTCCACCACGTCTGCTGGGATGGAACGTCCCTGCCGAAGAGCTGGTCCATATTCCAGAGCATTGGCTGGTCTATCCTGAGCCGAACCCCTCCCTTCACTATCTGCTAGGTCTCTTATACGTACTCTTCACCTTCATAGCGCTCCTTGGCAATGGTTTAGTCATATGGATTTTTTGCGCGTAAGTAAATAGAAAAATAATGTAAAATTAAAAAATAATATTTAATACTTAAGCGTCATTTATAATGTCATTATGATCTTATCGTTGCAGTGCTAAGTCCTTGAGGACACCATCGAACATGTTCGTTGTGAATCTGGCTATCTGTGATTTCTTCATGATGATCAAAACGCCAATTTTCATTTATAATTCTTTTAACACTGGCTTTGCACTGGGAAATCTAGGTTGTCAAATATTTGCTTTCATCGGCTCCCTTTCAGGAATCGGTGCATCCATCACGAATGCGGCTATAGCGTATGACAGATACAGGTATACATATAAGTTGTATCTAAGAATAGATGAAATTTCGTACCGCAGTTGACTTTAATTATTCACCTCGTTGTATTTTGTTTTTTAGTACCATAGCAAGACCACTGGATGGAAAACTTTCACGGGGCCAAGTAATGCTGTTCATCATTTTAATCTGGTCATATGTATTGCCTTGGGGTTTGATGCCTCTGATGGGTGTCTGGGGTAGATTCGTGCCGGAAGGATTTTTAACCAGCTGCTCCTTTGATTATCTTACCGACAGTTCTGAAACGCGTTACTTCGTTGCAACCATATTTACGTTCTCTTATGTTATACCGATGTCGTTGATTATTTTTTATTATTGTCAAATAGTCAGTCATGTGGTGAACCATGAGAAGGCTTTGCGAGAACAGGCCAAGAAGATGAACGTCGAGAGTCTGCGAAGTAATGCGAATAGCAATGCTCAAAGTGCCGAAATACGAATTGCAAAGGTATTGTTTTTATTTAATAAAAGAGCCTACTTATTAGCAATGTACAATATGGTACTGATTGTGTTATAATTAATTAACAGAACGAAATTATATCGGTTAACTTGTTTATATTTAAGGCTGCAATTACTATCTGCTTCCTGTTTGTTGCCGCCTGGACGCCTTACGGTGTACTTTCTTTAATCGGAGCCTTTGGAAATAAAGCACTCTTGACTCCTGGAGTAACAATGATACCTGCTTGTGCTTGCAAAGCTGTTGCCTGTTTGGATCCTTATGTCTATGCCATCAGTCATCCAAGATACAGGTACATCCAAGTTTCTGATATCCAATTTCGAGAATTGCTCCAATTTTAGGACTGACATATTGTAACATCTTGAAACACAGGTAATACGTTTATTGTTTGTTATTTATTTTCATAGGCTGGAGTTGCAGAAACGTCTACCCTGGTTAGAGTTGCAGGAAAAGCCACCTGCCGATAATGTCAGTACTACTACCGAATCTGTGAATGCTCCAGCTGCGGCTGCAAGCTAGTTCTCATTTGTCGAACAGACATTTTTTAACAGAAAATATCAGCGTGAATTGAGAAACCAGGCCATATAAAGTATCCATTGTAATTAAGTCCCTGTGTAAACAGTGTATTATTGTAATATCACACAACTGCAATAAAGATAAATCCTTGGCAATTATATCTGGCTTCTATATATATATGTGTTCCTGATGTTTTCTTTATTTTATTGAATGAAGTATGACCATGATTTGTATTGATATTTAACATACTTATTATCTACATATAATAATCTCTTACTATATACGCAAGGGTGCATAATCAGAAAAAAAATAGCCAGCTTACATTCCATTTTACTTTATGTCGATTCATTTTTATTGAAAAACTGACAAAATATAGCCAAAACATATAAACATTATGTATTTAACAAAATCTAAATAACATCAATTATAATTAACATATTAACTAAAATTGGAATTTATCATCTGAATTATTTTGATCACTGTATTATTTCCGTTTTATTCAATATTTCATCCGCTATAGTACATATTATCATGTACTGTATTTTAAATGCAAACTTTAATCAATTCTTAAGCATTGTTATACTATACGTATAATTCATACAGTGATACGTAATCATGCACGATTAAATTTTGAAGGAACTTTGTTATTAATGTTATATTACATGCATAAATATATTTTTCTGTCATACGCTCTTATTAATCTTATTGTAAGTGTGGGGAATACGTTTCTTGTGAAAGAAATACATATTTTTCAGAGAGAAAGTATCTGTCAATTGAATATTGAATCTCAACAGGTTGTCGCAAGAATCTACATCTGAGCGTAATTAGAATATAAAATACGGAACGTGGAATCCTGCACTTTGAGACTAACCCGAGACAACCTCTGAACGAAGAAGTGTTACGAATTAACCTATAATCCAGTCTAATTTAATCTAACGCGAACAGTACATCTATAGGTGTTTTGTCATATGTAAAGTACCCGTGGGGAACTGAAAGAACGTGAAACTTCTAGGGCTATATTTAGCTCTACGTGAAATGCAATTATTTGTTGCGTGTATTATCAGTTGAACGATAACCTCGACGGTCGTACAATGACTACTGGAAAACGAAGACCGCTGCACCCAGGGACGTCGGGGACTGCGGGTTCCTCAGGCTTGTCGGGTAGTAGCTTCAGGACGAGCCGATTGAATTTCCGACCAAATTCTAGTCAAGAAGACCGAGGTGGTACTAGACCTACTGCAGCACCAAGTTCCATCGGTCTGGTCCTTGTCACTATGTTCATTCATGTCTGCAAAAAGTCACTGCTTTTCGATACCAAACTCAAAGTGGCAATATACTGTGGAGCAATCTTCATTGTCTCACTCGTAGCAGATTTTGTGACAATGCCAAGAACGTACTTCTCAAGGTCTGACAATGTACTTAACCAATATTTTGTCAAGTGGGGCTGGAGCTGGTTACTGTCAATAACTGTACCTTGGGTTGCTCTCACAGCCTACACACTTGGCTGTGGACGAAGATCAATCCTTATAAAGAATCTAGCACGCTTGGTATTAGCTACAGTAGCTTGGATTCTCTGGATACGAATCTTTCAGTACGTAGAAACAAATTATGGACGTTGTCTGAATACTAAGGACATTCAACTTCAGTCAAAGACCAAGTGTTTGCAAGCTGGCAAATTTTGGAGTGGTTTTGATGTATCAGGACATGCATTTATCCTAATATACTCCAGTCTGATTTTAGCAGAAGAGGGCTCATCCTTGCTAGGATGGGAGGGTATAAAGGATTTAGTAATGCGTGAAGAACACGCACGTTCTGCTCCTAGTGAGTTTAGCACAGGACCACTTCGTAATCTAGCTGACACTGATCTGGCCTTTTTGAAAAAGGCACACGAAGCACTGACACCTTATCTGAGAGGCCTCTTCATCGCTATGACATTGCAGCAACTTCTCTGGGATGTTATGTTAGTATCAACTATGCTTTATTATCACATAATGATCGAGAAGTTCCTTGGTGGAATCGCTGCTATTCTCACTTGGTACGTTACATATCGCTGGTTGTTCAAATTACCAAAAGTCGGCTTACCTGCACCAGGTGATGGTCTTTTCAAGTACAACGAGGTAAAGAGTACACACGACACAAGTGCTGCACGATCAAGGCGCAGTACACTTAATGGTACGACACCTAGATTTATGGGAATGCCAATTCGTACAACACAAGAGGCACCTGATGCATCGGTACAAAACAGACAAATGGAATAATTAACAAACAATCTTTTCGGTTCTTCCATAAGACGTCCCATCTTTAATGCTGTACCTACGAAATTATCTAGTTTTCAAAAATGAATATCACATTTGAAAATATTGGGTGCTTTGCCATTTTCATACGTACTGCAGAACACGCGTGAAGAATCATTTCTATTGCATCTGTCAAAAAAAGCAATATCGAAATAGTTAATTTCGTTCTTTACTTGTTAATTTATATTAATTAACTTATTTCTTGGGGTACGTTCTAAAATTCAATATCAGTAATACGAGTATGAATACTTGTTTCATATCCATATAGATAAACAGATACACGATACTCGCAATACTCACAATGAATTTTAGCACTTACTTTTGTTATGTTATGTTAACGACACATAATTCTACATGACTTTATCTCTGTCAACGTAATTGCTGACGACAATTATTCTTATTTTTCTTGCCAATGAATCAATTGATCGATCGAAGGCGTTCTTGGGTCTTGAAAACTGTAGCCAATCGCTAACTCCAGTTGGATTGTTATTGCCTCATTCTACTTAAGACAATTTAAACTACAATTTAAGATATAACTTATTGGTGTACCATACTGGGTTTTGTTATGATGTTTTTATTGAATAAACTAGGTTATTAACAAAATCTTTGTATCGCAGTGGGGAATTCAATTAAATTATCACAATGGGATTAATGATATTGGTAGATTATATTTTTTACACTATTTGGGGAATCTCCTTTTTCGCTTTTTAATGTTCTTATCATCGTTAATCAATTAGGAATAATGATCGAGGGTCTGATAATAGCACACTAATGCTTTTTATGATACAATATATCTCGCATGTATTTCATGATAATAAAATTATTTTTGTTACAATAAATAAGAGATAGGCTTCTCAGAAATATATGCGAATTATTTAATACGTAGTAGCCATTGTATAACCAGTAAACACAAAGTCACAGTTAACAATTAGTTACCTTTAATGTTATACTTTCATACTCAAAGATGTAATATGCATAAAATACGTCATTTATTTAACTGTTACATCTCTGAATAGATAATTACGACATTCCTGATTATGTAACTGTTGTTTTATATTTGTTTAATACTTATCTGTTCATATGCAATATTTTACGTTTCTTATACGATTGCTGGTGCTCATATTTCTATTTATATTATTAACTTTTCTTCAATTATTGACAGTATCCGAATATTTCAATTCTTTTATTTATTGTTTCTACTTCAAATTTTGGGGATGTTACATTCTGCTTGTTTTTTACTAAAAGTTCTGTATAAAAAAGAACTCCTATAATATTGTATTCTTGTCGTGATCTGTGATAACACCTTAGTTTTTTTGCAGTTTCTGAGTGGATAAACCAGTCATATAGACTACATATGTACATGAGTATTTTCAAAAACCAAGAAAAAGAGAAACGTGCCGATAGGAATATAAAAGATATATTAGATTTTATCACGTTTTTTTTATATTCCATTGTAAACTATATTTACGTAACTTAACTATGGCACAACATACCACTTAAAATATTTTTAACTTAAATATTTCAAAAGTACAATAAGTACTAGTGAAGTAAATGATTAAGTCAATCTGACTTAATTAAACGTATTAAATGTTTAATTTTTCTCGCAGCTACTTGAAAACTCTCGACGAGATTAACAGATAAGTAATTAAGAACGAGCGATATCGCGGTAAAAATAATTTTACACAAGTCAGTTAAGTATTTTTTTTCTAAGCGCAAAAACCGTGATCAGTAACGCGAGTCCGGCGAGTCCAGATATCACAGCAGGTTTTCTCCAAGGTATTAAAGCGACCACATTTATCCATCCTTTCGGTACAGCAGCCTGGACGCTTTCGCGTTCCTGGAGTCTGTCATAGTATCTTCCTATCAATGGTTTGTTTCCCCAGAGTCTTGTATCCAGTCCTACCGCAGTTAATCTTTCCAATAATATAGCTAACGAGATATCAGCAACAGTAAAGAGGTCACCTCCCAGCCACGGTCCCTTCTTCAGCGCGTCCTCTATCTTCTCGAAAGTGTGCTCCACTCTTACCAAAAGGTCGTTAAACTTGTTCTCATCGGCGAGAACGTCGTGGGACTTCTCCATAGCCGCAGCTTTTCTCTCGAGTATAGCCCGAGCAGCAGGAATAGAATTGGCATTGATTCTCAAAGCCACAGCACTCTCGGATTCAACACGTAGAAGAAGCCACCTCACGGGATTAATAAACGGAACACGAGGCCGATCGACAAATTTCGTATGACGGAAAGAGCCAACCGTCAGTGTGTTACCAGGAAGTTGATCCAGGATCCTTCTCAACTCCAGTATTCTATGCTTCTCGGTAGGATCACTTGGTAGCAACGAATATGCATCAGGATAACCTGCTTCAAGATGATCGATTATCGGCGTAGCATCGTCAATGATCTTATCACCATCCTTCAAGACAGGAACGTCACCGCGTGATGCTAATTGAAGAAACCAAGCACTACACTGCTCATTATTCGCAAAGTCAATCTCGTAAAGATCAATCAATAATCTCTTCTCGTTGATAGCCAGTAAAACCTGAAATTCACAGACACTGTATTAAATATCTTTGAAATAGGCCACCAGGTATATAAACGATAACTTATGCACTCTTATCGGAACCACACCCGGGAATTGGTACTAATTATATCTGTTATATATATGGCATACCTTTTGCGAGTAGAACGAGTACCGGTGATAGTAAAGAAGCTTCCTCGGGCTGCTTTCCGCTGACAGGTTTTTGATGCTACCGTTCTCTGCCATTAGCTTACAGTATTTCACTTCTCATAAAACGAACAATGTTACTAGCTTCTTGAACGTTTTGTTTCTAACAGATGAATGTTAGATTATTCGCTGCGTTATGTAATTCTGTAACAAGGCCAACAGTTTCACGTGGTGTACGGTTAAGGAGACGGTTTACAATTGGCAATACCTAAATTTATCATATTTATTTTTCTCATTTGTCATCTTGTCACACGCTGCGGGACGAGATTTATAAAGCATTCAGACGGCTACGCGCTACTGCGATTTCTATACCTTATCTTATCAGGATTTATGATTTTTGGAAAAACTTCTCATCTTACTTCACTTATTTTCCTCCTTCAGGGTCCTTGTTCCACTAAATCTGAGTTTTACTTACTTACCTTTTTTTTATTCACTTATCCGTAACGAATGCTCCACTCTTAGTGTTGCCTCCAAGAGGTGTACTGTTTGAATTACTTTGAACGAATAGATTTGTCCGAGTGGAGACGCTTTTCTTTGTTTCGAGACTCTTAGTGACTCTCCTATAAGATTCCAAATATAAACTCTTGGCAATGTTTTGCACAAACTTCCTTGCTTGACTTCTATTAGTTTATTTTTCTCTTTTAAACAAGCTTGATTTAGCTTCTGATTTAGCTTTAGTTATCTCTGTAGAGTGTACATACATATAACTTCATCTCTGTACTAGAAGAACAGTACTCTTATATTTACTAACCAGTAAAGAAACTACGTAAAATTTGTTTATCTTATAAAAAGCATGGAATGACAAGTTTTATTCAAGTTCTTCAATTATTTTTATTAAAACATAAGTTCTTAAAACATAAAATTTAAAATTAAAAATTAAAATTAAAAAATAAAAATAAAATTAAAATTTTATTAAAACATAAGATCTTACTTTCGGAGCATTCTATATGCTGGAAGCAAAACAACTTGAATTTGAAGAGATAGTCGGTGGTTGAGTATTGCTATATGTATTCTATATTCACTCGAGTTATCTCAAATAATTATTAATGATTTGTTATATGCATGTATGATCAACAGTAGTATAGGGGTATGGGATTATTGATAATTTTTATCCTTTTCATGATACGATGTGACTTTTGTACCATGAATCGGCAAATATTGTAGCGCTGACACCGTTGATTTCAGATTTAAGTATTTGTATTTCCACACCTATGTTATTATGTGTGATAATAGATATATTTGAGAATCACCAGATGGACATTTTTTGTCATAAAAATTAAGATCGTCCATCTTTTTTAAAATTGGCTAAGTAATTTTTTCTTAAATTTTTAATAAACATGCTCCGTACTGTCATTGTGGGAGGAATAAGATATTTTACGTCCAGTGCAGCTTCTACAATGTCTTGTCAAAGATTAAAAGGTAAAGTGGCAGTCGTCACAGCATCTACAGACGGGTGAGTAAGATTTTATTTGTTTACATATCATTTTATGAGTTATTATAGAAACTGTAGATTTTACTTTTGCTAAATTTTAATGATATAACCTATTCTTATTTCAGCATCGGTTTCAGCGTGGCAAGACGTCTAGCACAGGAAGGTGCAAAAGTGATGATTAGTAGTCGAAAGGAGGTCAATGTTAAGAAAGCTGTAGATCAACTTGTTTCGGAAGGTCTTTCAGTATCTGGGATAGTTTGTCATGTAGGAAAATCTGATGACAGAAGACAACTACTTAACGAGGTATAAAACAGTGATAAAATAATTTAAATAATATCTGTTCAGAAACATTTATTGAAGCACATTAAATGTAATTTAATAATGTGTTTTACAGACAAAATCTAAGTATGGTGGCTTGGATATTCTTGTATCCAATGCTGCAGTAAATCCAGTAGTTTCTCCAATTTTTGATTGTGCCGAAGAAGTATGGGACAAAATTATGGATATTAATGTCAAAAGTACATTCTTACTTATGAAGGAATTTCTGCCACTTTTACGTGAAAGCAAGACACCGTCAATTGTAATTATGTCTTCAGTGGCTGCGTATGATCCTTTCAATGTAATATTTTTGACATATAGCATTGTATCTATCACATTATACAAATTAAATCTAAATTTCATAATCGTGCGAATGATTTCAGTTGCTAGGCGTATATTCTATCAGCAAAACTGCTCTAGTAGCACTTTGCAAAGCATCATCGGAAGAACTTGCAACCGATGGTATACGTGTGAACTGTATTGCACCTGGTATCATTCGTACAAAATTCTCAAAACCAGTAAGTATTTTCTTAATTATATTCGAAATAGAACAGTAGATAATTCTGCAATATAATAATTTCTAGCTTTACGAGTCAGAAGCTGCAAATGAAATCGCAATGTCGAGAATTGCAATGCAGCGTATTGGTTTGCCTGAAGAGATTAGTGGTATTGCTGCATTTTTAGCTAGTGACGATTCATCTTACATTACTGGTGAAACCATAGTTGCTTCAGGAGGAATGTCATCTAGACTATAAGGTACATTATAAACTGTAAATACTTGTATGCAGAACACGTACAAAAACTACATACATAATTAATAATAGAATATAAATTTAAATTTAAGGATAATGGGAATTTCTCTATTATCTATGGGTTAAAGGATTGACTAATATTATACTGTTGTTAAATTTTATCAATTTATTATTATAAAAATACAATTATAGCAACAAAGTAGCTGAGCTTTATGTTAATTCACCACACGCTGTGATAACAACTTTTTGTGTCGGTGTCCCTGATTTGGTACCAAATTTTTCCATTTTTTTAAGCACATCTAATCCGCTTAAAACGTGACCAAACACAACATGTTTGTTATCTAGCCACTCGGTACGTGCTGTACATAGGAAAAATTGTGAACCATTAGTGTTCGCACCTGAATTTGCCATAGACAGAGTTCCGGGCCCAGTATGCTTTAATTCGAAGTTTTCATCATCAAATTTATTTCCATAAATAGATTTTCCACCTGTGCCATTATGATTTGTAAAATCTCCACCTTGACACATCTGTTTGAGAGTATTGGTTAAGGAAATTTAATGTTTGTATGTTTAATACTATCAACAAAGTAGTGATAAATTAAATATGACTTTCTTTTTTAAAAAAAGGATACAAAGTCTGGTATTATTCTGTGGAAAATACTGCTTTGATATCCATATCCTTTCTCGTGAGTGCATAAGCACCGGAAGTTCTCAGCTGTCTTAGGTACAATGTCAGCTCGCAGCATCATAATTATCCTACCTAACTCCTGCTTGCCAACACTCACGTCGAAGTAGACCTGTGGATTCTGTTTTCCTTTCTTTGCTTGAATAGCGTCGTCATCCTTTACAGCGTCGTCTGTCTTTAAAGTCTCTCCAGCATGTTCCTGAAGCCAGCTATCATCAGCCCATACAGGCTTTGAAGAACCTTCTTTTATCTTTTGAGGTTTAGCAATGTTTACTCTTATCGTTCGACCAAACAACTCTGAGTCGTTCTGTTATAAATGATAAATAAATAAGCAAATTAAAGCTATGGTGACTCTTCATTGAGAGCAATATTAGCAGCATATTAACTTGTGTTGTAATACCTGTTTTGGTAAAACTACAGAATAGGACTCCTTGAAAGACTACATGTTAAAGAAATTAAACAATTCATAGCTAACTTCAAGGAGGAGTCATGTTCTGTAGTTTATCCCTTATTTTATTTTATTACAACATGTATATACCATGTTATCAATTGCTGCAGCTGCATCTTCAGCTACTTCAAATTCAATGAAAGCAAATCCTCTATGCTTTTCTGATTCATAATCCAACGGAATTTGAACATCGACTATTTCTCCAAATGGAATAAAAGCTGCATGCAATACTTTCTCGTCCACCTCCTCTGCCAATCCACCTGTGCAAAGGAATCGATAGATATAATTTATTGTAATTTTACTCAAATGTAGATTATACAGGTTGCATTAATATTCAAAACTGACCTAGTTAGGTCAGTTGCCTGCCTATTTCCTGATCAGCTGTTATGTTAAAAAAAGGTGACCAAATTTTACAAGAAAATTTTGTAGTCATAGGTAATATTAATTAAGATATAATTGGCTTGTGTTTCACCCGACACCAGTTTCCTCTACTAACTTTTGATCTCTCCTATATATAATTGCCAAAAAATAATGAGAATTACTCTACAAATTATACTAAAACAATGTGTTGCATGTGCTATCATAGGTTAGTTCTGTGTGCAACATCTTAAGTTAAAAATAAGACTTAATTAACTTTGGCATGTTTACTTACCAACATAGATTGTCCTTTTCGCATTGCTACTCATTCTGTAAAATGCTTCAATATCCTCTACACTGAGTTATTATGACTCAAATAAAAAAAAGGCGCAGTGTGATTACAAATAACAGTTTGTTGACTCGAAGACGCCGGCGCGTCGGCGTCGCAGTCGCTCTGTAAGAAATCCGTAAAGGTAATCACGTTGGTTATATAAGGTCAATTCATTGCACATTAGTTATAATATTGTGTCGTTACTTGTTAAACGACAGTTGGAGAGAATCTGTCGAGTATACCGATAGCTGTGTCAAAGGTTTTTTAATTGTATGTTACTTGTAATTGCATAAAGTTACGTGTCAATATTACTTGACAACCTGTCACTATTCGACCACCAGTGTCATCTATTTTGAATACTAGTGTGATTCTGCAAGCATTTAAGTTTTGATTGCTTTTGATTACTTTGACATTCAATAGTTTGACAGCATAAAGCCAACGAGGGAACAAGAAAAACGAAGACATTCAGTGGTCGCTGCTATATGAAAAATTTGAATTATGCACAACATGTTTGATGAATTGGAATCTAATTAATTTAGAAAGAAAAAGTGTTGTTTTACATTTTTTATTATTTACGTATACTTATTTGTTATTGTATCCCATCGTTATAAATTGGAAATATATATTCGTTACAGAAGAATGATGCTTGCGACATCCTTACTGGTGCAGCAAGTTTCTAAGGTGCCTGTAATGAGTCGTGCATTGAGTATCCTGAGAAATCAGGCATACGTCAATGGAAAATGGATCGGAGCAAGATCAGGAGAAACTTTTCCTATCCTGAATCCTGTAAATCAAGAGGTGATTGATTGCGTGCCAGATATGGATCCTAGTGACACACGAAATGCTATAGATGCTGCTAATCAAGCTTTCAAGGATTTTCGAAAGACAACTGCAAAAGAAAGAAGTGACTTATTGCGTAATTGGTACAACCTCCTGGTAGAGCATTCGGAAGAACTAGCTCAGATTCTGACAAAAGAAAATGGTAAATCTTTAGCTGAATCAAGAGCAGAGATCAAATATGGCAATTCCTTTGTTGAATGGTTCTCCGAAGAAGCTAGACGAATTAATGGAGAAGTGCTTCAAGCTCCTATTCGTAACAGAGAATTGCTATTACTGAAACAACCAGTGGGAGTAGCAGCTTTAATTACACCGTGGAATTTTCCTCATGCCATGATAACTAGAAAAGTTGGTGCAGCATTAGCTGCAGGCTGCACCTGTGTTATCAAACCATCTGAAGATACTCCATTGACTGCCCTAGCCTTAGCCAATCTGGCAGAGAAGGCTTGTATTCCTGCTGGAATTCTCAATGTCCTAACAACGAGTCTAAAAAATTCTCCAGCCGTTGGTAAGGAGCTCTGCGTCAATCCCAAGGTCCGTGTTCTCTCCTTCACTGGTTCCACTGCCGTGGGGAAGATTCTTTACCAGCAGTGCGCACCAACCATGAAACGTCTTAGTCTTGAACTAGGTGGGAACGCACCTTACATAGTCTTCAAAACAGCTGATGTGGACGTTGCTGTTACTGGTGCAATGGCTAGCAAATTTCGTAACACAGGGCAGACATGTGTTTCTGCCAATAGATTCTTCGTCGAGGAACAAATATTCGATGAGTTCGTCGAAAAGTTCTTGACAAAGATCAAAAACGAAATCAAGATGGGAGATGGATGTAAGGATGGTATAACTCACGGGCCTCTAATCAAAGACAGTCAGCTGAAGATGGTCGATGACCTTGTAAAGGATGCCCAGAGTAAAGGTGCCAAGATTCACTGTGGTGGAAGTCCACAAACGGAACTGGGACCATTGTTTTACGCACCGACACTTATCACTGGAGTAACGGAGAACATGAAGATCTACAATAAAGAGATTTTTGGTCCAGTTGCTGTTATACATAAGTTCCAGAATGAAGATGATGTTATCAGGATAGCGAACGACACACCGGTAGGCTTGGCAGGGTATTTCTACTCGCAGGACATATCGCAAGTGTTCAGGGTAGCCAGGAACCTGGAGGTTGGTATGGTCGGTGTAAACGAGGGTCTTATATCCTGTGCTGAAGCAGCATTTGGTGGAGTCAAAGAATCAGGATTAGGACGAGAGGGTTCATCACACGGTATTGACGACTATGTAGACATTAAATACGTATGCATCGGTAACGTCAGGCATTAAATTATTAGCCTTAAGTATTGAGAGCTACTTTCAAAATTTACTGCAAGTGTAGGGAATATCATTCTAACTTTGTCAGGTAGATAATAAAAAAAAAAAGAGAAGGAAGATGTTCGCAGTGCTTCCAGTAAATTGTAATGAAATATGTCCAAAGATGAAAGCTAATTAGGTTTTTCATTATCATTGGTTTCTATGTTGTAGGTCTTTTTTTTACATTAACAACATGTACATCGCAGCCTTTAGTCTATCTCTTGAGAAACATTTCTCTGCATAACTTTGTAAGATTTAACAAGATTATTCTATTATTTGCATGACCCAAATTTTCTTAAATGTCAATATCATTACATTTGTCTCTTAGATATAATTATAGCTTACAATGACAGAATATTACTATCATATTGAGTTTTTCTATTACTCAAGAAAATAGTGAACATGCATTTGCGTTTTGCAATACATCGTTACAGCATGTGTGACTTTCGTAAGCGATAACCAACGAAACTCACACGGAACGATATACTAATCTTATATGCATCAGTATAGTCTATATTGTCGTCATGTTATTGAAAAATAGAATTTAGAAAACGCAGTAATGTAAGAAAAAGTCTAATGATCTAATGCATGATGTAATTATTATTAAAAATATATGAAACTCGCATAGAGTGCAATTAGTCTTCCAAATACAGTCTTCCAAAGTATTACAAAAGAAACGGGGCGTTTCGTACAATTAAGATTATATTTTAGAAATAAAATTGTATTTACTGAACTTAGTAGTAAATACATATACAGCGCAAGATTCATTATACAATGGTTGTTGTTTCTTTCTTTCTTCAATTATAACGATACAGTCGCAAGACACGCGGCTGATAAGAGTGTCAGCAATTGCCAAGTCCGTGCTTTAGAATATACCTTTCTCTGGCTTCCGCTATCATCTTCGCTTTCCTTTGCTGGAAGGTAAGACTTCCTGTACCATTACCATCCTTTGTCAGCGTTACATTAACTTTGCTTATGTTGGATGATGAGGATGGAGCTGGTGCTGTGGGTTCTGGTGTGTAAGTAACGATGCCGTCAAGAATATTGGCAATTGTAACGTCGACGTTTCTTGTTTTCACTGAAGAAATAAAATTGGGAAACACTGACAGTATGCTAACAGGTAAAGCAATGTGGTTTTACTCGATACAATTGGAGTAAGAACTTACAAAGATCTCTGAGTATCACGTTGTGGGGAACCAATGGAAGCACTTCACTGACTTGTCTAGCCATTCTTTGCATCTCAATACTCGCCATCGGCTGAGGATTCGTCGAGACTCTACTTTGAATAGCTCGACTTTGCGTCTTCTCCAGGACATAACGTTTTTCGAATTCGGTTTTGTCTGATACTGTGTAATTGCTTGTCGAAAGGTGCAATGCCTCTGCTATGTCTGTCTCAACGTTTCGGGCAAGGACTTCCTGATTTGAGTTTCTTTTAACTTTGAGGTAACGCAGATTGAACATAGTATACGGTACGAACATGAACCAGAAGACATCGGTCCACCAGGTGGATGCGACTGACGTAAGACGTATGTCTGAGAATTCTGGCCTTCTTGTAGTTATTACTACAGGTTGGACTGAGGGTTCTATGCTGAAAGGCCATGAATTAAACTTCAGTAGAGCCACTCGAGAATTGGTTGAGCCAAACTCAGGCTGGAGAGCTATGTTCCATTCTGACGATGCAAGGAATTCCTTTATGTTGGCTATCAGGGCATCCTTACTGCTCATGTTCATGTCTTGTAATCCCAATGCATTGCTGAGGGCGCTTGGCAAATCCCAGAGACTTGGCGTGAGCGTGCACGCCCCTTTGCGTAATGCAAAATGATCGAGAGCAGAGATATTATTCGCTATGATAATTCTTGTTTGTTTGTCTGGGATCTCACCCTTTGGATCGATCTTCACAAGAATGCCAAAAACAAACGCAAGACCATGGTTGAGGATTGTACGGAGTGCATCACAGTCTGGTAAGACCGAGGCAAGTAGCCAGAGTTGAAGCCCAACTAAGAAACGTAGGAAAACAAGAACCAGACCCACTGGAGAATATAGAAGCAAAGACACGAGTCTCCACCCACTGGGAAACCTGTTTATAAATTATTCTTATTATTATACTACACTGTCTTCTATCAGTAAATATTATCATAAGATAAGATATCCATGCTCTTGTACTATTTCATTTTATTACACATTGCTTTATTACACATTCCAAATTAAGAGTTTATTCCGAATGAAAGTATATTTATCCGTTATCAGATTTTATAGCTTTCGAAATTTTAATATTTTTTTAAACAAAAGGCCTCTAACATTTATTAATAATTTTATATTAGCTGTGAGAACAGAAAAATGGAGTACTAAGAATTTATCATTATTTCTAATTTCTATATTGTAAAAAATTCCAAAATACATTCTTCATATTTTAAATTAGTAAAAAAAATTAGAACTAAAATTATATATCATGATTAATTATGTATGGACATAAGTACAAACAGTCATTAGTGTGAGCAAGAAATCATGACCTTTGCAATAGAAATGATGTAAATAGGATGTGGTTCCGACATGACAAATAAAACGTCCCAATAATATAGTTTCGCGCTCCATTTTAGCAAAAGAACCGTTATCAGCACAGTGAGCTTAGGTTAAAAATAAATAATTTTTAAAAATAGAGCTGATATGGATAATGCGTAATCAGGCATAGCATAGGGCATTGCAAATATAATTGAAAGAGAGAAAAACAGTCTAGTATGAATAACTCACCTGCTCTCGTCGAATAAATCCTTAATATCAATTTGTGACATTTCTCACAAAAAACATCTGTTACATTTGGCAACGAACGTTCAATATCTCGAATCCTCTCAAAGCACTGGACGCTTCCCTCCTTTAATAAATTCACTGCAGAAGTCGATGGTTTCACCTTTTTATTAACCCAGTTTACGTGCGATCCTTTTAATTTGTACAGATTTTCCTTTTCTACGACCTTCTCTCTGATCAGCTGTTCTCTCTCGCTCGTAAGTCTAGGTATTTGCATGTTGTAATTATGGTCACACTGTTTCATTTTTATTCCAATAATTCAAACTAGGAAATGCCATCAAGCTTAAAAAAATTGATTAGACAATATAGCTTGACCATGAACGCGTAAAGATAATACAAATTTTTTATTAAAAAAGTTCTAATTACTTTTTGAGTCATTAGCCATTTTTTAATCGTATTGTATAGTTAAGAAAATCTCATTGGAGCCAAAGTTATTATTGAAATTTCTAAAATGGTGGCACTAGTATTCAGAGTGCAGGGACCCAAGTGTTTGCCAACTTAAATCTAAGTGCTGGTTGGAAAATGTGAGAGGAATGTCATATTTTGTGAAAAGACGTACGTGAATCGATTGGAATCACGGTATAAGTGCATATCACGTTTAGTTTTGAAGTTTCTATTCAATTTTTTAACTGCATTACGTTTTGAATTTGAAGGATCTAAAACTAGCAGCTGTTCGCTTTGACAATATCTCTGTTCGGGTGTTGTCAGTTCTCAGGGGCGTATTCTTCATTGAACGGGAACAATTTTTCTGGATAGAATAACAATGGATGCAAGAAGAAAGTCAAGGAACGGAATATCGAGGAGTGAACTTTGGAACCATCGAATTGTTGGAGGGACTTAATGGACGTAGATAAATTTTATGTAATTCTGAGGTTAGGGAGAGTTACTAACTATGAAGAGCCCCATAGCACAACATTTGAACGGGGACAGCTCTCCCCCTGTTACACCTCAAGGTGCTGTACCCTGCTTAATCTCATGCCACGCTGATCTGGCTAACAGCTTTCATGTCTTAAAGACAGGGCCACGAGACCCTAGTGGCTATTTAGCTAATAGTGTGGCTACTCGGATAGGTAAACGACAATTAGTTTCCTTAAATGGAGATTCTGTCCACTGTAATAGTGTATCAATGGATGAAGCATTGGAGAGCGATGTGGCATCTGTGACAACTCCAAAGACTAAAGCTCTGTGCGTACACATACGAGAGAACAAATGGTATGATGCAGCTAATACTGTGATATCAACTGGTGTTAGTGGTACTACATTGAATCATGCCTTGGAAAGTATGTCTATCGCTTATGATCCTTCTACCAAAAGGATATACTCATTGGACGAGGTAAGCATCAATAATGGTACGCACCATATACCTATGTCAGAGTCACCTGAATCTCTGGAGGATCCTCAAATGCAATCCTCTAGTCTCATTGCAAAAATCGATGCTGATGAATGCGTAAATAACAATAGCACTAGTGTGAATAACAGTCCCAGGAGTAGTTTACCACGATCCTGTAGCAGCACAGTATCATCTCTTAGCGAAGTTTCACCATCTGGAAGTTTGCTAGGACCTGATGAAAGGCAGATCTCACCAGACAAACCAAAGCGATGGCCACTGACTACATTCTTCTCAAAGACCTTTACATGGAAGCAGAAGGAATCTGGTCAATCCACTCCTGCAAGTAGTCCTTCTAGAAATGTTGACAAGGTTGGTGGTAGTACAGCATTGATTCAACAACCAAGACCAGCAAATCTGCCAGCAAAAAGTGCTCTAGAAGAGGAACGTCATCGTAAGCAATACAATGCTATCCTGGAAGCAGCTCGGAAGAGAGAACTGCGCGAGGAGAAGGAACGCAGGCAACTGCGTGAGCAACAACTCAAGGAAGAAGAAAGACTCACAGAGGATTCTCATACGTGGAACACGTTGGTTCTACCGCGTTTCGAAGCTCTCAAGGATACGAAGAAAGTTCGCGAATTATGGTGGCGCGGTCTTCCTCCCAGTATTCGTGGTCGTGTATGGAAACTAGCAATTTGTAATCATCTGAACATAACGCCAAATCTTTATAATCTTTGTCTAGATCGAGCCATGTCCAATCCGACAAACGAATCCCTTACAGCGATAAAACTTGACGTATCCCGGACCTTCCCTACTCTGTGCGTCTTTCAAGAAGGAGGACCATTATCGAAAACCCTGCAAGATGTTCTAGCAGCCTATTCCGTCTACAGACCAGACGTAGGCTATGTCCAGGGTATGAGCTTCATAGGAGCTGTATTATCCCTAAATATGGATCCAGCAGATGCCTTCGCCTGTTTCGCCAACCTACTAAACCACCCTTGCCACAGGGCGGCTTTTACTTTGGATCAGAAGTCCATGAATGGGTACTACAAAGTATACAGCGATGCCTTGGCTCACAGATTACCCAAAGTACACGCTCATTTCACAACAGCCGGTCTCAGCCCTGATCTGTACCTTCTGGATTGGCTATACACAATCTACGCCAAGGCGATGCCTCTTGATGTCGCCTGCAGGGTCTGGGATGTGTTTCTTAGGGACGGCGAAGAGTTCCTATTCAGAACTGCTCTCGGCGTTTTACATCTTTATCAAGAGGAACTCCTGGAGATGGATTTTGTTCGGGGTGCCCAGTTTCTCACCAGGTTGCCAGAGAACTTGCAATCTGAAGCTTTATTCAACAGTATTAGCCAAATGTCCACGACTGTCGGTGCTGCCACCTTTCAGCAGATGCTGGCACGTCTTGACGAATAATTAACATCTTACCGCTTATTCTAATTGCGAATAGCGTGTACTCCCGTACTCCACATATTTGTATGTTCTATTCAGTAATTCCGGCTGTATCTCTTTCAATTAAAAAAAAATCTACGAATGTCGATAAGGAAATTAACAAACATGGCTACCGAGCTCGCAATTGCTTCCTTCTTGTACATTACTAACAAAAAGGATCAATGGTGTGAATCTCTTAAAAATGTCTTATTGGAATTATTGAATATGACTCAAAACATATATTAAAAGCAGCCGGATTAATACTTACATACATACATAAACACATAAATTTAATACGAAGCTTTCAAATCTTTAAAAGCTTTCGTCGATGATCATTGATCCCTGATCGATCCAGCTAATCTTTGCCGTCTAATCATCAAATTTTTAATGAACATGTCAAATTCTCGTGTTTAATTTCATCTTCTCTTTATCATTATCCAACAATTAGAAGTCATGCGCCTGTTTAGTGGCCTTTTACAAGATACGATAAGACAGATTTAAATTTAAACCGAAACCTCGTGGATTGATAATGCACATCGCAAATGTGTCGACCGTCGAGGTTCGCCAGCAGCGAAGAGATATAATTTTTTAAAATACTTTATACGTGCAGCGCGTGATAAAAATAATGAACGCGCAGTCTAATACTCTGAAACCTCTCTTAGTATCTTATTATATTTTATCTCTAACAATAAGATTGTTCAGAGCTACGAAACTCCTGCTGGAAAAAAATATATATAAAATCGTCGCTTGCGCGTCAAGCTTAACACAAAATATAATACATAATTATCCAGAGGAATGAATGGTCGCATTACGTATACTGTGGCCAAGAATCTTCTGTGTAACGTAGCGCTTTAAATGCGTGATACATTTTTATCAAATAATTTAGGAACGGCCGCATAAAATGCAACTGCCAATTCGATCTTAGGCCTTTTTCAATTTTTTCCCACAACTTTTTTATATCGAAAGAAAAAAATCATTGTGGGAATAGGAAATTGCGCTTCACCTGCACAGAGTTTCTTGGGCGCAGAACATCCGAAATGGATACGCGATTAATTTCCTAGTCTTCGGTCGACAATACTCGTACTCCATCCGCTCTATCGAACTACTTTCGACCTACTCACTATTCGCTGATAACGATAATAGTAAATTATTCATTTGTAAATAAATACTCACTGGATATTGAACGCAAAAGTATCCGGCGATTGATGTAATAATATTTATCCTTAGTATATTTGTATACGGCGACAATTCGCATGCGGATTGATAATAATGAATAAATGCCACTTTGTCGTGCCTGGGGATTCCCATAGTTTTAGGGAATCCACATATACCGACCGATCTATAACGAATTATATTTGTGCGATATACAAGCGCGCGTCGCTCGATCATTCAAGATTGTCTAGATTAATGATGGAAATTATCGTAGGTAATCTAGAAGCAATTATAAGACATCTTTTGTTTCATGGAATCACATTTGAATTTAATAAGTATTATTAAGTTCGATTGTACTTGTTCCGCTGTCGTCACGTTCAATATGGCGAAGATTTATAAAGAATTTTACGTGCCAATCTCTCTAATTGGGATTTCATGCAAATCCCAAAAAATAAGAAAATTTGCTCCTTCTACGAGACGACAGTGAAAAAAAATATTAATAAATACAGAGACATAATTAGTATTTGAATAATTAAAATTTCAAATATGTCCCGAGGATCTTTGTACTAATTTATGAAAACAGGTCGGATAATTGGCAAAAATTTGTTAATCCTCAATGCGAGATCAGTGGTCGTTTTATATGTATTTTGAATATCTTATCGTGTACAGTATCGTGAGTTTTTTAGTTGTAACATATTTTTTGACAAATCAAAAGTGATATTTGTAACTATATTGTTCAATTTAACGGGTTGTCCGTAACAGAACTCGATAGATATATTAATTTTTTACGTAAAATCTTGCGTCGGGACGCTATCCAGTCGCCACGATTAAAGAAGCATATAGACGAGAACTCGAAATCGAAATATGAAATTAATTTCTATGAGTTTTGAATCTCATTAAGCATATCGTTTACACTGTGCTTTCCAATCTAGTGAATTTCGAGTTTTCGTCAACTTCCGGTTAAAATTATCTGTACAGAGTGGCATGCTTACTTCCTATTTGCGTGTACAATGTGAATTTCAATAATAGCTTTTGTATGACGAAGGGAATAATAATAAAAATATATGTATACACATGGCAAACCCCTTTCGCATGAGTTTACAATAAAAATCAAATAATTTTATTCCAACGAAAACAAATCCTTTTATCAGTAATGAAAGCAACGCTGATACGGAATACTTAAAATTATATGTCTCGTGTAAAGTCTTCATACCTAACCTATAAAACAGTTAGTCCTATTTTTAAATCGTAGAATTACCGGGCCATTCACTGCGTAAAATCAACTGTAATGTCATTTAAAATAGCCAAATATTCCTAGAATCAAGAAGTCGATATACCTCTTAGCTGGATAATTTCCTTGTCGTGACAGCAATCAATGTTTTCCCTGTATTCCGTGAGATTCTCAAGTCAAGTTTGCTGCAATTTTTATGACGTACGATTAGAAGATTATACATATGTACGAATCACATATCCTGCATTCAATCACGTCCATTAAATAGAAACGGATTTTTCACTTCCGTCGTCTGGTAAGTAAAACTTCTTATTGAAATCATCAAACGTGAAAGCGACATTCGTCTAGTCATTTCTGTTACATAGAAATTAGGCAAAAGGGTGTACTAAATTTTATGTTTATGCGTCACGTTCTTACGTGCAATGCGTACCTGTCGACTGTACGATACAGAGCGAATAAGGAACAAGAAGAAGAAGAATTCGAGTTTTTCGTTCCTCCGTGTCTGTTCGTGACTAAAGACAAACGTTAAACACGACCGTTACGCATCGTTGCAAGAATTGTATTTGAAGAATGTTATACATGTTAAAGGACAACTTGTTCAGATGTTGTGCTAATGCAGATTGCGAAAGAAAATTTACGTCTGGTAAATTTACACATGTTTAGTCAATTTTCCGGAACAGAATTCTCACAGGAAGTTACACACGATACGTCAAGACGTCCGCTATTTCTATTTGGATGTTGCCTTCGTAAGGAAACGTGAATGAAATTAATGTGGTACATATTCAGAAGTAAACACTCAAATAGCACTCGTTGTCTCGACTGTATATTCGCGGAACTGCAAATTACAAGGTCCGCGGTCAGGAAATCAGTAACGTTCTGCATAACAATGATGTATGGTGTATACACACATATTATATTAGAAATAATAATACGAAACTCAAATATGAATAATCTGCAAACTATTTTACTCTTAATCTATCATGTTTTAGTTACCTGTTGTTATGCATATACATATACAACGTGACACGTACGTAAACAATTAAGATTTTAAATGAGATTTTAAATATGGCTTACATTCAATCCAGATTGTAATTTAATCAGAAGCGATAAGAAAATCAAATTGCGTAAGTGTAAAAGTAATTTTGTATATGAAAAATTAATTAAACTCGATCGATAAGATTAAAAGAAAATAAAATAAAAAATCATTGATATGAATAAAAGATGTATAGATATTATAATGTATCTTTCCATCTTGATCAACAGGATTTTAATAATTCTCACTTATATCGTGCATTATCTTTAATATCATTTAATTCTACTACATGCCAATCGAGATAGGTTAGGAATTCGTTGCGGGTAATTAACAAATTTTTATGATATGATCAATATAATCGATATATTTGCAAATATAATTACAGCCGTGACAGTCAACTTATACACGCAACTCCCGTCCCTTATCGTCCGTGACAATAGCCACGTATCTGTTTACCTCGATGATTCCTATATCACAGTCATCAATGTAACGTCATTTGGAAACTCTAGAAACGAATCCTCTTCCTCGAACTTGTATCGATGACGCATTTCTTACGTATGTAGGTAAACCTAAAATCGTGTCTGAATTATCAATAGTTTGTACAGTGTCTATTAATTGTATGTGATAATCCATAAGAATACTTCATTACGCAAGAGGAAAAGAGAGAGGGGAAAAACATCTGTTAATTAATCAAATGTAATACCCCCAATTTAAGTTAATTATCATGGGCTTGACTTCCCGCGATTTCGATTACGCTCGCGGAGACAATTACGATTACGATCGCAATGCTGAACAAACGTTGTTACACATACGAACAAATGTTGTTACACAGTATAGTGATTGATGATTACACGGATTGTATGAAAAAAAAACCTAGTTTTTTTCGCGCATGACCAAAGTTACACAATTTCCACGAGTCTAGACAAAATTCTGTTACCGCTTAAACGGCTTTGTTAAATATACAATAATTTTTGAAACGCAAATTTTTCCTATCAAATTCTTAGCAGACAGTGTGAGGATACTTTTGGCAGACAGATTTTCGCGCAATTTATGTCAAATTCAAATCTTAGAAGAACCCGCCGTTATTCTTAATCGTTTCTATGGGCCAGTATCACTTCTATGGCTTGTGCACTTATGTATTTACGTACGTTTAGTATCCTGTATTTTTTGTTATAGTCATAGTTTTCGGCGAAAGACCGGCGGGACCTGGATGGCGTGTCAATTGACTACTGTTAAGTCTCAATAGATATTGAAACAAACGTTTTCTGTGTCCTGGTAAAGTTTAGTAAAGAATTCTAAGAATGAGCAGAACTGCCAAAAAAGATGGGCCAATTGTCCCAGTAGCGGAAGATATGGACTGTAGTATGATGTTGAAAAATGTGTGCACGTTTGAAATTAATATTTTTACATGAAAAATTTCAAACAGAACGTATGGACGCAGCCACCATCAAATCACAAAAAAAAAATATTGAAGGTATTGAGCGACGTTTTTATTTATGTTAATGATTTACGTATTTTTCATGTACTTTGTATGCGGCCTATAAAACGGAAGATATATTAGTATTACCCAAATGGTATAACGAGCTATAATTTCTACTTGACTTAATAGTATTACGTCATTTTTTTGCAAAGTAGTGAAATAGCAAGTTTGCGAATACATAGGTGTACGATATTTGTTTAGCGTATCGACACAGTGAAGAGATGAATAATGATGCCTCATTAAAAAATGATGGTACTCAATACGGTTGAGTGAACGTTAAATAACAGACAGTGACAATTTTACTTTGTGTTATTCTGCAGTGTCTCTTATAGCGACAAACAATCGAAAAATATATCGATAGAGTCTTAAAACGTGCACTGTGCAAGGAATCTAATTTTTAAGTGTTTCCAGCAACTAACAAAGCAGGTTTTAACGGCTAACGAGGAAATCTGAAAATTTCGAAGTTCGTCGTGTCTTTAAAAAAAAAAACATTGATGCCACGGAGAACAAACACGTGAAATAAAACTAGACAAAACGACGCTAAAATTTATATTCTTCTACTCTCTTTTGACTAGCTACATACGTCCGTCTGTTGACAAAGCTGCCACAACACTTTCGAAACAGACTCGATCGTTCAGATTCTCTCTGGTCAAATAATATATTAGATGTAAATCCCAGGAGAGAAAATTTCGTTCTCTTATTCCAGTAAACAACTTAGTAAAACAATTATAGATTCTCCAGAGCCTTCTCCCAGGAAGGGCCGTTATCGATTCGCACCAGCAATGGAAAGTTTTCGAACAGTTCCACAGTCTGCGAAAGTCACACGTGCCGAGAAGAAGGTGGATGATCAGTGCTTTAGTTTTCGAAAAAGTTTTATGCCTGTCAAAGTTGCACCAAAACATAAAGAAGTCCCCATGGAATAAGAAATCAAAGAAAAACCAAGAGGTAGGAGTCCCTATATGTGTATCGAAATTATGACAAAATTGTCAGGAGAGTCAAATGAAAAAATAGTGCCGGTTAAACCATTCATCTTGTACCTGTTGCAATGTTGCCAACGACTCAAAATTTATGGTAACCACCCTAAGTGGTATCCATTCTGATTTAAACGTATAACTCATAATACATGATGCGTTCGTTAATGCACTATGAATCAGAGTGGCGTACTCCAATCAAGCAGTTTTAACAGTACAATAGAATTTTAATTAACTATTTTTACAATACTAATATACTTTATATTTTTGATGCAATAATAAAAAAAAAGTTCTATCCAGTTAATGTTGCTACTATGTAAGTTCAGTGTATACGTATAATGCTGCATCCTCACTGCAACTATTGAAGTGCAATCCACTGTACACATAGTGATCTTGTACTATTTACGTTAGTGTCCTCCGGAATCAAGTGCACGTTCGAGTATGTCATAAATTCCACATGGAATCTAGCGCGTTGCATACGTTGCTGCATCTTCCTATACCAAGTCGAAGATCCATACAAGATGCGTTATTTGTACGCCAAGCACGTGACGTCGATTCCATTAAAGAGGTTAGAACGCCGAGAGAATCGCTGAACCGAATGAGTCGCTACTCGATACAAGTCAATTTTTCAGTAAGACTTCCGAGTCACAACGTTTTACGTACCTATGACGTCTGGTAGGAAGAAAGAAGAGAGGAAGGTTAATCGCCGGTATGAAAACAGGTCCAGTTATTGTGATCCACAGTACATACGTATATTTACACCAGTATTCTAAAGATTATTAAGGATGCATCAGACTCGTGTATTTTCACCGATATGTCATTAGAGTACAAAATATTCATAATTATTTTTCAGTTTTCTTATTGTAAGTTGTAATTACGAGTATAACCATACGAGAATTCATTATTTACCAGATCCTGATTACCTCGACCTTAACCTCGAAGTCTATCGTATGAATGTAACGTCGGTCTTTAAACTGTTTCCCCGTCAATGGATATGTGAGGTTACTTTACTGGTCCACATCAAAATCCTAGACACGCGTCTTCAATAAGGATTTTCCTTGGTGGAAGAGAAGGTTTTTTTATAATGTGACCAATGGTAAAATTTTCATTTGCAGTGTATTACTTCCGTTTACGATTAACATATTTCATACAAAGAAGGTCGGTACACTTGTTACACATTTTTTCTCAGTACTGAGGTCAACATCAATCATTGACAGTCTTCATGGATACGCGATATTCATACTGTAAGTGAACTGACGATGTGTTTTATGGTACGCAACAGTGCCTGGCTTATTTTGGTGATCCGAAGGTTGGTAATTCACTTTTGTTATGAGGTGGACGACCTTTTTTTTGTTTTGACGTTCCTTGTCCTGTGATACGACGCACGTTGGATTATACACAGCTTATATCCACAGACTACATTATAAATCTGGTATTGCGTAAAAGTCGGAGGGGCTATCAGAATTGTTCAATTTATATCTTTTTACGCTAAGGAAAAGAGAAACACATGGTCCCACAGTGTCGTTATCTGTCATTCATAGCAATGACAGAAATTTATCTGACGATAACGAAGACTGTTTAAAATGAACTTAAAACTGTATATTTCTGCAGCCTCGTCAAGCCCACTCGAGCATGCGCTGTCAAGGTTATTACAACTAAAGGAAAAATTGTCAGTATTTTTCCAACGATCGGAGTTCTTCGTGTGGTTTATCATCAGCCAATAATCGTACGAGTCTTCGTCTCTTACCCTCGTTTAATAATGATAACAACAGACACTGGCTGGTATAAAAAATAAAACGATTTAGATCAACGAACGGTTGTTTGTCGTATGACGATTATCGTCACTGTCGTCGGCATATCGAGGAGGCACGTTGCAAATGCATCATATTGAATCTGCGCATCACATTATTAACAATTGATCTAATCAAGAACTTTATTTTCTCATAGACCAAAGCTGAATGTTTTAATATTTATTTTTGCTTTGTTTTTCATAGGATAATCATCCCACTGTCATCAACCATCATGGTCATCATTGTCATCAGTGCACCTGTAGGATACACACTATATTTTCTTTGAATAAGACGGAAACGACTGATATGATGTATAGTAGCCATGCGCAATTCTAACTGACTAACACAACAATCAAGGTGACAGTCAGTGACTGACAGTTGGCAATGGAGTAGGTAAAAATGTAAGTCGCGTGTTAAAAACACAATCAGGATGAACGAAAAGTAATCGTTAACTCGACAAGAGGAAATGTAAAGATTCTTTTCGAATCTTCTGCCGCAGATCAATTTTTTGATTATGAAAATAGTCAATGTCATTGCAGTCGTCATTGCTGTCGTCATTGAATGAATGTAACTAGAAGTTTAATGCGCAAATTGCATGGGAATGTTATTGAGAAAGCTTTCGCAAGAATATTATATCATCTTCCATCAAGATTCGTATTAAAGAGACAAAAAATATGCCAAGAAAAATTCTATATCCGTAACATAAAACTAGGCATTTTATGACGTATGTTATACATGATCTTTGAGATTGGCGGTAGTGTCCTCCAAGAATTATTATTTACTTCAATTGATTATCCGAGCCATCGCCATATTCAATGGTATCGATCATCAAATTGCATATCGCTGGTGTTTTGTGCATCACGAGAATATCATATCATAATCATATATAAAATTAGAAATTCAACAGGATAATATTTGATGTATTAAATTCCTTTAACCACTTAACCAGGAGTCATGTCTTCTAGAAGTTCAGCTATCTGCGGCTTATAAGTGTTTTACACGTTTGAAAGATGCACCCGACTCGCTGGTTTATACTTTAAAAATTGATTGCTGAAAGACAATCTAAAGTGTAGGCATAGATTAAGTGAAATAAGTGAGTAAGTAAAATAGATTAAGTAATGAATCTCGTGGACATGATTTATCTGTATTTTATTAAGATTCGACTAGTCCGTGGTTCCTTAAATGGCTGTCAAATTATCTGCTGTTGAAAAAAAAAAGGTGGATTAAGTGTTACTGTAATATGGTATGAATTTATCTAACATGAACTTGAGACCTAAGATACGTTATATAATTATCCAAAAAATTATAATAAATACAAACGCAACGCACTTTATACGCTTACGACTGATAATCTTGTTTTCATTCACTGACAGCCCTTTAGATTAGGTTTATGTTGATGCTAGATCATTATCTATCATTCTTATCGGAAGTTAAGCCCAGCTAAGGTCACCGTGATAATAAAGAACAGTCGAAAGATTTAGGATCTCGATATCACTAATATAATTATTGTGTACTGAGTAATATGCTCGTTATTACAACCTTTTTGATCCTATTCGCGCTAACTTATATTACCGTTATCAAATCACTCGTGTTGCCTGTCAATTTATTGACGGTTCAGTGTGGAGTTAAAACATACGTGTATCATGACAGCCATATGCAGATCGTCTCATCGAATTTGAAAGCTGTTATTGTACATCTTAACTGGTTAGCTACCTGTAGCTCGCGATACGTAACTACAATGCACCTCAGTAAAGTTCAATACAACGGTTTGCTAATACAATATTGAGATTTTATTATTTTAAAATCAACACAAGGAATGCCGCACGCCGTTAAACCAGGTCAACGCAAAATATCCCAGTGCAATATCATGTTACAAGAAAAAGTATTCATAAAAAATGTACGTCGAATACAATATACGCAGTTGTTTTGCGAAACGTGAAAATATGTTTTTTTGTCATAAATAATACAAAGTTGAAATTTCGTTGAAACGTATCGTCGTCATTGGGAACTAGTGCAGCATTGATAACCGACGAATATTTTACAATCATAGGAGACAAACTTCAGAGTTGATCAATGACGTTCATGCATCGAGTATCGAAAATTCCTAAGAACGTCAATTGTTGTCAATTCAATACTTTTATTAGGCTTATCGCTATCAAAAGCTCTGGTGTCATCGATAAGTTTCATTGGATGTCTACACATTTCTTCAAGTTCACATTCTTCGGTTTAACATGAGACTGGAATCGCAGTAGTTTTTTGAAAAATTATTTATTATGCTTCTTCTTATCTTACGGACAACTGTGCAGACATCAATAACTGACATGATATATATCGCTTTTATCGTTTGGTAACCAAAAGGAGAAAGTTTATTAACGCGACACGCGACGAATACATTGAATTTTTAATGTTTTTACAGAGACATTATCGTTATTTCGATCCCATTATCTTTACTTTAATTATTTTACGATCTTGTAAAATGATCTACGACACGTTCACATTGATCGGCTCTCATAAATCATACGAAAAATTCCATTAGCGTGCTTCGATGCCACGCGTATATGTATAATAATCATAATGTTAGGTCGGAATGCATCTTATCGCTCAAAGTTCAATATCTATTTTGAAAATATTACTGCCAACAAGTTTACTTTGATACACGATCGCTTTTGCCACGCGGTTATTATCTTATGCATTTTCCAATAGACAATTGCATCAGATTCTAACCTCATTTTCTGTACGTTGGTGCCTAACGAGATAAACATTGGATTTTCCTTTCCTTATACGATTTAGTGATTAAACGGCCGTACTACGTGCTCTTATCTTATAATGTGCGTGAACGATTACTACAAATTAATCATTAGCGTAATGATTCGCGTGCAAAAGTATTTCGGAAAATTAGTCTTACCTTTAATACCATTCGATTATCAGAGAATATACGAATTGTCGATTGCGTTGTGAAAAATATTTTCATTATTATACTACACTGATGTTTTACATTGCTTGTATTGCGAGATTACGACGATTAGAAATATTAGACATTTTTACTTTCTTAGCAGCTGTCTTATCTTATTTTTCTAATAATCTAATCATTGTTACCACATATTAATCTGGCTGTACGTTGAACGTCAGTGGTTATTCCTTTTTACCAATTTTTCTGAAAAGATTCAATAGTTAGTGTCATTTGTTAAGTAAGTCAAATTTTTTGAAAAAGTAAGACTTGCGCAACTTGTGCAATATGCACTGTAGCAGATTGAGTGCATCCAGTGCATTCGACGACATTATAATTATAATTATATTCCTCAGTTATATTCCTGATGGACATGATGAATCAACTCGCCAGTGCTTCCTGAAATAAACAGAGAGACCGTAGATGATAAATGGCACACGGTTTGAAGCTGCTCGCGTTTAAAGAGTTCGGCTACTACCTTCAGTCCATAGTCGAAGCCTCGAAACCGGTCAAGAATGCACCGGGATGCCACGAAAAACCAATGAGTACGTGAGTGCTGGCACGAACGGGTAGACATTTTAGTTCAAATTACAGGAGCCGAGGAAACAAGAAAACTAAAACAAGGAACGATTCGTTTTATGAACTTATCTCACGTGTCGATGAACTCTTAAAAATTGTATATGCATGAATAACGATTGGCAAATACAATTGTCCATCGGATTTGATAACTATTGTAAACCATTATAATAGATGATTTGTGTTGTTTAGGTTTTGCGAAAATGTTAAGAAAAGAATTTCAAATTTACACGTTAAATTCTACGATTCAAATTATATCGATGACCGAATCAATATTGATCGTTCAAGGAAAATATCTTTATTCAAATAACAGCGGTCCGTTAAAGAAACTACATAACAACAGACTCTTATTCTTTTTCTATAAAAACACGAGTATCGCCAAACACTTGTAATTTCTTTAATTAATTAACCTTATCTATTCGCAATCAGTTCTATTTGATATAAACCAATGTAAGATTGACCTACTTAACTTATCTCTCAATGAATTCATTGTTACTTTAATAAAACCCATAAAGATCGTAAAGTCCGGTTTAAGCGATCTAATCCATATTGTTATAATATGTTCATATGCAAATATCACCATGAGAATTTAAGCTCTGAAGAGATCTCATCAGTAACATAATCGTATGATCAACGTATCAATTAAAAGAAATAGGATCTTACGCAACGTGCATATTTTTTTATTAAACAGAGAAAGCAAAACATGACCTTTGCCCTACATCAGTATAGATAAATCCGATCGGTCTAAACGAAGTGACATGAGACGGTGTGAGGTTCTTTCAAGTTTGATAATAACGGGTCAGTATAATTTATTTGATAAGAGTAACCTAACCATTTTTTCCCCCTAAAGAACGGCGCCTTTTAGAAATATCTCGAGGCGTCGCGGCGCATGGATTTTTTACTATTAGACATTGATACGCAATAAATATTTCTTCAAAAATTACCCAAGTGAAATGAGTCGTAACTTAAAGCATTCCACGTGCATTTAAGAACTTGCACAATCAACCGGACTATGCGATCTTGATATGCAGCGTCGGCACTTTCCTGAAAATTTTTCCATGGAAATATACTTGGCCATCCAGATAAAGATAAAGAGATAATCATTCAAAAATGACAAAAACGTCACGAATAGATAGCCCGGATTAAATCAAAATCGTGATAACGTCCACAAGAATACAAAAACCAGACACAACCCTTGATATTTGAATAGTAAATAATGACATTGGATATCTAGTTAGAATCTCTTAAAGTTTTTCAAATTTATGCTTTAATCTTGTAAAGTCTAGTAAAATGATCCCAGACTAAATAGAACAATTTTGAAATTCCAAAATACACAAAATTCTTAAACGGTATCTATTGCGTTTTCATAAATTAATCAAATCAACGATATACAGGAAGGTCTCATTAATTTATGCAATATGTAACTTATTTTAACAACTTAATCTTTTTTTCTCGTGATGGACATTCTTTAGTCTTGACAAACAATCTTTGGCATTCATGTTCCTTTTTCCATGTTTTACATGTTTATATGTATATATATACTATATACATCACATTCCATCTTTCTCCCCTTTTTCCTGTCTTGGAATTATATTGTGGAAACGTATCTGGGAGGGGGTCCGAAACATGCTGTACTTCCCCCGCTGATAGTGGCGATGATGGCGCTACGGTGGGAGAACCGGCAGATTCGCACGATTTAAAAGGACGCGTAACTTGCTAATACCGATCAGTTTGTACTTACGTATTTACAGTGGTGGTAGACGAAACGATTGAGGGAGAATCGAACACGGCTAACAAGATATCGATAACGGTGTCTGGCCTACGCTGGAGGGACCTGTCATTTTTCACAGTTCCTCGTGCGTCCGAGAATTATTCTACGAGGATTGTCTCTCCTTCTGATACTTCTTGTCAAACAAAGATATCGGTCTGCCCTCTGCTTCCATTTCGTTTGAACGTTGTTACAATAGCCACCAGCCACGGATTATCCACGCTCGTAATTGCACAAGGACCACAGGCTGCGGAAGGGAGTCCGGCTACCTAGAAGGTGAGATAGAAGATGAAAAGAAACGAGGATGATAACGCAATAATTACGTTAACGTTTTGCGGTAACGCCTGTACGACTTTGGCTTCGTTTTACTTTCCATAATCTTTACTTAGAGATTCTATTTTATGGGACTTTAGGTTCGTTCCGAATGACATGTTTTGTTTTTTCAAAATTAACATCCATAAGTTTAGTGGTTTTATGAAAATTTTTGTCTACCTTTGATATCTAACGTATAAACGAAATTTAATGGCGTTCCTTGAGCTGTGGAACGTCAAATTATATTTTTGATCATTTTGAACAATGCCAGAAAAAAGGGTAACAACAATCGGTTTTTTGCTTTTGAATTCGGTAATAAAATATCATTCGAATATCATATATCTCTCGTTGTATTGTTAAGTATTGTAAATGTAACTTTTGAAATAAATAAAAACAACAAATATAATGTATAGTGTATTTAATTGTTTTTCAAACTACGGGCGACCGAAGCACATGAAAAGTTTTCTGGCTTACCTAGAAAAACGTCATTCGTATCCCTTCTACGTGGACAAATTTTTATCTTGAATTGCAGCATAAATTAGAATTCATTTTCTAATTATCCTCGTCTGGATATATGAACATAAAATACATAATATCTATGAAGTATTCATCATGTTCATATAATACTGGCAAAACACGAACGAAGCATCCATATCGCATAATAGAAATATCTTGACTATCCTGTACGATAAAAATTATCAATAAAACAATTGTCAGTGTCTATAACGATTTTTATATTCGCTTTATTAGCAAGAACGTGCTCGTTGATACATTTTTTATCATGACAAGAAACCGTTAAAAAGAATAAAAATTATTCAACAATCGTTCATACCTCACTTTAAGAATTTTTGCTCAAACAAACAAATTCACGCAATATTATCTTCAAGAGAATCACTGTTAGCGTAGCGTCTATCATTTCTTTGTTTAACAATATTTAATCCCAATGACAGTTTTTCCACTTAATCATTTTACGATGTACGCAGACAGTGTCGTTACACCTGATTGCGATGCACGTTTATATAATATAATGACCCGCGCTGTTGCGATTTTCTAAACTGTCCGGCAAATAATTCTCATGAAAATCTTACATTGTGCACATTTCCCTACCAATTTACGCGAGTCATTAATTCTAATCATTGTTGGATTAAGATTGATCAAGGTTATATAATAAATTCAATATAAAAGACAAGGTCAAATTTCGGACAAGAAACTTGATTGAATATATTGCATGAATACATAATTGCTCTGAGATATGTATACAGTTAAGGCTTTGTATATACGTAGTAGATTTAATGTATAACTTATACAGAAATAAGTATCAATAGTCGCTTTAAGTGGTTATATGTATGTTATCGTTAATTCTTGCGAGTAAGTGTTCTAGAGCGGATATAGCGAATTTATGAATTTACAACCCCTTTACGACTGTGTAACTATATAATTTTAATCATGGTTTATATTATGTGGATGTTTTAACAGTCGTGAAATTGCGAATTACTCGGTTATATAACGATTTCAGAGAAGTAGATTTTCATTGGCTTAAAAATTATGTATTGGTGCGAGTACTTCATATTTAAGTTGATATAATAATTCAGAATAACATAAATTACGCAATCACTTGAATTCTCTTAGGAATCGTCGATATGATAGAAATACGCCCATCGAGTCATGTGATTGATTAGGTTTTCGACTTTGGGATTATTTATCATTTCCTGATTAATCTTGATTGTTGTGCATTCGACACTTTTTTTCTCTTTCCAAAGACATTTAATGATTCCGTGAAGAGTCTGATAACATGGAAATATTATCAAGTACCATTTATCTTGCAGGGACAAATAGTCGTGTGTTATACTAATGAGTATTATGCTATTTGAAATGCGAAGCAGAATGAAAGAAATAATAGAGCAGAAAATTGGCTTATTTTGAAAATGTCCGAAGAAAATTACAGAATTATGAGAACGTAGATAACGAAAGTTGTTAAAAAGAATATATATGTAATTCGTATGTATATATATACATATGCGGTCACGTTGACATTGTCTAGCAGTCAAGGCAGCATAACTCGGACTTATGTAAGGTTCTTGTAAAATAGCAGCAAAGTGCGCATTGTTGTTGGCTTATCAGGGCAGAAATAACGAAGCATAAAACAAATGCGAACTTAATAATTTCCATCGCTTGATATTGCATTACGAAGAAAATCCTGATGTTTAAAATTTTCAAGATAAAAACAAACAGAAGTAACGCACAGTAAGAGTTATTTGCTGAGTAAACATGTTAAAGGAAATGAAGAAATTCTCTTTACAAAAAACTTGTGCGATAACTTCGTATGGGTCATCTTCTTGCTCAGTTAATTTGTCTTAGAGAATGCAATTCGCCTTGTTAAGGAGCATAATATTTTTTACGGTTGGGAAAATACCAGAAAAGGAATACTTACTACATCATGAGGATCATTAAGGATAATTGTTACTGTTATTCTCGTTCTTGTTAGACGGCAATTATTCCTTATTGATAGGATGGGCATGATGCGTTGATAACATTGACAAGCATTTTGTAGTATGGCGGCTTATCATTCCTCAGGCGTAAACGTAGTATGCAATTTGTAATACACAGCTGTCGGAATGGTTGCTGTAGGTAGAAAGTAAATGAAATCGTGACAGCTGACCCCGGTTTTGATGAGATAAAAAAGTAGAGACTGGTAGAGACTCGACTGTGGATGTGATCAGATACGACGGAGTCGAGAGGGATTACCGATACAAAGCATTAGTGGAGGACTATATACTTACTTATATTTTTATCATACGACAAAAAATCCAGACCTATCAGTGTTCTGCATTCTCAGTATAAATCGGAATACCATTCGCTATCGACGTGCATTCATCGTAAAAGTTTTGTGTTTTAGACCTGTGCAAACAAACGAATCCACAAAAATGGTTGAGAAGTATGAAAGTGTTGCAGGTTCGAGTCAGTCCAGTCTTGAGATTGTACGTAATAATTTAATCGTTTATCTTTTGTTTAACATACTCGTAAAGCATTATTTCTACTTTGCAATCTCAAAAAATTTTACGAGTTTTCGTCATGATGCTGATGCGGCGGAAAATGTGTTCTGGTTGCGTAATGTTGGTAGAAGTGTTTTGAGATCGGTAAAATTGAGGGCGCTAAACATTTTTTAATTTAAATGCATTATGAAAATGCAAGTACATTTTTTATTTGCGATGTGAGCTGCCTGAGACAGGAGTTTGAGGATCATTCTTCTTTTTTTTTAATGATATTAACTTGTGTTGAAAGATACAAAAGAAATATTTCTGCTAATTAATAATGATTTGTGGTAATTGTAATTATTTTTTGTTATAGGCGACTGACAGAACTCCTTTACTGCAAGACCATCGCACTGCCATGGGAGAGAAGAACATAGGAATTTCACAGCAGACGCTGGTATCCAATGCTGGCGATGTGACTAATAAAGCTAAAAAGCTTCCACAGTATGCTGCGGGTTTGGCATCAACCTTGGGAGCTCTAGCAGCTGGTATGGTGCTAGCTTGGTCGTCACCTGCTGGTACTGACGGTGTCAATCTGTCAGGATCCTATGACTTTAGTATTTCTCCAAATCAGTTCTCATGGATCAGTGCTTTAGTCCCCCTTGGAGCAGCAACAATCTGTGTACCTATTGGAATCCTTGCTGATTTGGTTGGAAGAAAGACAGCCATGCTCATGCTAGTAGTGCCGTTCATGGTTGGCTGGGCTCTTATTATTTGGGCAAACTCAGTCGTAATGTTTTACATTGGTCGTTTTATCACTGGTCTGAGTGGCGGTGCATTCTGCGTAACAGCACCAATGTACACAGCAGAGATTGCAGAAAGTGAAATTCGAGGAAGCCTGGGTTCCTACTTTCAACTGATGCTCACCGTGGGTATCCTTCTTACCTATGCACTTGGCATGGTAACAAACATGTTCCAATTATCCATCATTTCTGCAATCGTACCACTCATCTTTTTCGGAGTGTTCTTCTTCATGCCAGAGACACCTACATATTACATCAAGAAAGGAAACATCGATGCTGCCAGAGCAAGTCTTATAAGACTACGAGGGCCAAGATACAACGTAGAACCTGAACTCTTGGCACAAAGACAATCCCTATCGGAAACTGCTGAAAACAGAGGTTCCTTCTTCACAGCAATCAAATCAAAAGCTGCAATTAAGGGACTGATAATTGCCTTTGGACTGATGTTCTTCCAACAGCTAAGCGGTATCAACGCCATCATTTTCTATGCCAACAGCATTTTCAATGCAACTGGTACTAGTCTCTCGGCCAATGTCTCCACCATCATCGTAGGCGTCATGCAAGTCGTCGCTGTCTTCGTCAGTAGTCTCATTGTCGATAAACTAGGCAGAAGGATTCTTCTCCTGGTATCTAACTTTGTCATGTTTGTCACCGCCCTGATTATCGGTATCTACTTCTATCTGAAAAATAACGGGCACGACGTCCAAGCCATTGCATGGCTACCACTAGTTGCAGTATGCGGATTCATCATCCTCTTCTCCCTTGGTTACGGTCCCATTCCTTGGATGATGATCGGCGAGATATTTTCTTCTCAGATTAAAGGAATTGCTGGTAGCAGTGCCTGTTTATTCAATTGGCTAATGGCATTCGTTGTGACTAAATTCTACAGCGACCTGGTGAACTCTGTAGGCATGGCAATACCTTTCTTCATATTCGCTGCAGTTTCAGCCGTTGGTACCGTTTTTGTCTTTTTCGTTGTACCGGAAACGAAAGGCAAATCTCTTGATGAAATTCAACAAGAACTTGGAGGTAATCCAGTTGTTGCTCAGCAAGGGATGAAAGCATGAGGACACGTTGTTATAAGCGTTGAAATCGCTTCGACAAAATCTCGTGACAATGCTCAATGACTTCTATGCTAATGTTACGAAAATAATGGTCGCATAAGGGAGGCTTCAAATTAATGCTATTGATAAAAGCATACCTCGTCGAAATACATGTCAGATACAGGCGAAAAGTTTAACATTCTGAGCGATTCGATCAATGACGATGACGTCGTGATGATCTTATAGTACGTCGGATATCCTCGCATAAGACTGATTCTTGTATAAATATTCATTCTTTGCATGTCTTTCATGACATATCTATTATGTATTATTTCTGTGAATATAATGTGCATGAACCCCGTTGTTGTAAAACTGTAAATAAATTATTGTTACTTAAACGTATGATTATTTGCTCTTATATACCTTCATGGAAAACGTATCGAATTTTAAGATTTATTTATGGTTCTTGATCAGTAATCAATAACCAATGATTCAGCTGTCCGTTTATTTCTCTCACAATGATAAGGGTTAACGCCTGCGCGCGAGAAATTCTTTGGAAAACATGTTTCGCTTGTATTGTCTGATAACAATGTGATAATATAAATATATGCCGACGTGCCCTATAGTATATTGCATTTTACATTGTCATTGCAAATAAATTCAAGAATTCATGTATAAAGATCTTTATATCTATACTTTATAAATTTTACGTAAAAACTATTTTGAGCAGATGAACTAATTCATACTATCTACACGCAAGATAATAGTACATTATGCAACAAGGGAGTAAAGTTGTTGATTATTCCCGCGGGTGAGAGATTAGTGCCCGAGCGAAGCGAGGGCAGTAAATCACCCGAGGGAATAACCGACTATAATCTCGTGTTACATATAGTGCTTTATTCACGACTAAGCTATAATAGCCATTTTATTCCCTGAAAAGTGGGACTTACTCAGCCACCGTCATTATGATGGAAATATACGTTTGTTCAAATATTCAAAAAATTATAAATGTTTAAATTTTTCACCTTTTCAAAACTTTCAAAAATTTTCAACATTTTCAAAACTAAAAAAAAATTAAAAATTTTGCGGGAATGAAGTAAATTTGCGGGAAAACCAAATAGGCGGGAATAAAATGCTACTTTAGTCCTGCTTTTCAGGGAATAAAGTGGCTATTATAGCTCAGTCGTGAATAAAATTTATTTGCAGACACTATATGTATATAAAAAACAGTTCTTATAGGCAAATTATTCTGAAAATTTGTAAGTACAAGACATATCGTGTACAAATATACATTAAAATAATACACACAATTATTCTTCCTAACAGTTCGAAAATGAATTATCTGCTTATACGTGCTGCGTTGAGTATACTATACACAAAGATAACAGAGTTCAGTACAGACTAGTGGAAAAATGTGAGCGTTGCGTTGCCTACGTATTAGGTGGTCAGTTCTGGAAAAAGATTGGCTAGTAATTGATCTAAAAGCATATAAGCCAGATGTTTGTTGAGAGGAGCATTTTGCAATGGTTCTAATAAAGAATCCATTAGTTTGAACCATGTAGAATGTAATCCCACAAACCACCATGGGAGTAAAGAATATAGTCCCTCTTTAGCATTCTTATATTTATCCTTATTCTTTATATGCACCATAACGTCTTTCTTGTTAGATTTCGTACCACAAATATTGGAATGTAATAACTTCACCACAATGGCCGCACGACCGCCGCTTAATAACTTCACCAAAGTATTTTCAAGTAATCGATTCACCACAGGATCCAAATTGTTACGCGATAAAGAAGCCACCAGCCAAGAAACACGGCATACAGAATGAGATGTGTCCAAAAGACTTTCCACTGTTGAATAATAAAGATGTCATGATATACTGGTTGTTAATTGAAATTATATACCTACTACTTTCTAATTAGCTCAAAATACTTACGAGCTTCAGCAATACAAAAACTGGCTCCCTTAACGTGCTGTCGCTTTGATGCAACGTATGGAAAATCTTTAATTCTGGGATTCAAATTTAAATTATTGCCAAAGGGCCCACTTCCTAATAAATCACGACCCTTCTTCACAGTTTCATTGTAGTTCTTTTCACTCGTAGGTTCTACGCCAAGATCTGCGTGCTCATTCTTCAGATTAATCGATGCCAAGAAGGTGGACATAAATTTGTCTAAGTGTTGACCCTTCTCCTTGCGCAACTTGTGGGCCATACTCTGATATAGTACACCAATGTCAGGTGTGCTGTAGTTCGTGAAGTAAGGCTTCAGGTTGGGTGCCGTAAGGAATATGTGAAGGAGCTCACTACTCCTTAAGGTTGGCTTAGCCAGGAGCTTCTGCAGGAAGTCCTGATAGCGTTGTCTATTAGTATTTAAGGATGGATGCTGAGTCTTCCGAGTTGGCAATGGTGAATCGTTCAGCTCCCGATCTCCGTGGAACTCGGTGAGACGTGCACGCAAGTCGTAGAAGTCCACGTCCCTGCGGAGGACTGTCCAGGACTTGTCTTCGGCTACGCTATGCACTGCTACCATGTATAAGGGTTGAGCTCCTCCTCCGTCTACGTGAGGAACTGTTACTCGCCAGGTCGTTAAATCTCGGCCATATTCAGTTATATTACTATTGTCCTCGTTGTACGCCCTTGGTGAGCAGTCTACCTCTTCTGCCTGATACACTTGCTGGGATTGATACGGCGCCCCGTCTACAGCGGATGCTCTTAAGACTCCACGAATTTTACTAAACTGATTGCTCAATCGAGCTCCTACGCCTGCTCCACTTTTGAAATGATTGTTATTAATTTTAATTGTTTATTAGTTATTAGCAAACTCTTAGCATATTGCGATTTTCTGATATCAATGGGAATTTAATCAGACTTACCTCATTTGACCTGATGCTCTTGTGGGGATACTGGATGTCTGTTGACCGCAAACCAGTTTATATAGCTGCAATATAGTTTTAATGTTAAGCGGTATATTAAGACTGCGTACTATTTATTGAATTTTATATGAAAAGGATGTCGTACTTCGTAACTGTGATGAAATAAGGGTAGGCAAGTGACTTCTAGCAATGCGTGAGCTTCTTGATGAGCTTGATAAAGAGGTCTAGAAGTTCTCAGTTCCTGAATCTTTGATGGTCCACTTTCTAGAACTAAGATTGTCATTCAATTAATGATTCTTAATAACATGTATACTATAGACACTTTGATATGTAAATTAATTGACGAATCAAGAAAACATTAGAAACTAACTTTGTCGCATGCCCATTGAAATGTGTAATGGCAGATGTAAATAATCTGGACCCTCAGGATTGAGGTACGTTGAGTATAAGTTCTGTGCATCAATAAACAGATTCTCTTCCGTTTCTGGTGACATCTCAGGATTTAACATTCGTTTACTCAGGTCGTCTAAAATAGGTTTTGTTAATCATTATATATCTGCATTTCGTTATATAGATTAAAATTTATGGATGCCCTTCAAACTTGTTGAATTCACCTACGTACCTATGTCCAAACAAAACTGCAACAAATTTACTGGACCTGCTTCCTTGATGTGTTGCATAAATAAATAAAGCAGCTGAGGGTTATGCAAAATATCTTCCAAACTAGGTTTCAGGGGATCAATTTCAGTTTGCATAATCATCGGTGGTGTAACCCAAGAGTATAGTAATGGTACACTAATAGAATCTATTGTTTCGGATAAAGTGCCCTCGTGATGTGTCGACAAGACAATTAAGGTATTTATATTGTCAGGGTCTGCTAGTGCATCCATAGCCGGCAACAAGACCCAATTCGCCAGAATTTCTCTTAGAATTACCTGAGAGCATAATGTTAATATTAATTGACAAGTGTCAATTGCATAATCTTATTGTAAAAAAACTTACCCTATTATTGGTAGAAATATGTGTGGTAGGTAACAGATGTGGCATAAGAGCTGTGACCAGTCCTCTTAAATAATTTAATTCCTCTTCGCGAGAATATGCTGCTGGATGAACTTTAGATCCCAAATAATCACCTACGTAATCCTGAGGACTGCCACCCTGACTCTTTGAACGTTTTATTAGTGCTTTCCAATCCTGAGCATGATGTAATGCAACAGGTATGAGATTATTAAAAATAATCCCTGCAAGATTCACAGAGAACAATCTTCCTGCAATGTTTCTGGCAGCTGTTGCTATAGTTATTTTCAGTTGCTGTAGAAAAGTCTCATCTGATGATAAATCTGAATACCAGGTACAAACATAAGTTTGTAACAATTGCTCCAGCAACTATAAATAGAAAATACCATTGAAATGTTGTTTAAAAATATTAATATGACTAAACAAAGCTTATAAAATTACTTCTTCCAAAGCATCGTCGAAGTCCTTTGGCACTTTTATACGAGTATTATATTGTGATGGTCGATGTCTTTTACATCCGTTACCACCACATACTCCACATGATTCTTTCATATCAACCTTTAAATCTGGTAGTACTTTTGTAGCTCCAAAACTTATACCAAAGTAATGTAACAAACGTAAACCCCATATAAGTCCAGCTACATAGAAGCCACTGATTAGAAACAGCCATACTATACTGAAACAAGAAATACGTTTTTAATTGATAAATGTTTAAACATTAGCTAAATGAAAAACTGATACAAGAAACAAATAAAACTACTATAAACTATTTAAGATAAATAACAGAAAGATTTTTTTTCTTGAATTTTCATGTACATAATCCAATTCGTTACTAGAAAAAAAAATGAAACAATAGAGTTTATATTGTAATTATAAACAATCAAAATAATTACCAGCTGATCAAATTCTGTCATGTGTCTAGACTGAAAAACAAACCTGTCAATAGCTGCCAAAAATGTTGCCGTTGTTATCGCTATCAACATGAGAGACCATTCTATTTTATCACCAATTAACAATGCCATGTTTTTAAATATTAAAAATAAGAAATACAAATACTCAACGGGTTAAATGAAATTCTTTTGGACGTAACAATGAAATAAAACAGAATGTTTTAAAGATTTATTGTTGCCTTTGAATTCGGGAATGTTTATTCACCACACAATAACCGTCCATTCTAAGTAGATGAATGGTAAATTGTTTTTGAAAGAAAATTGTTACAATTTTTCTGTGATTGTTATAAAAATTCATGCAATCAGTAAATATAACAGAACAAAGTGCACATAAAAATCAGAAGTATTTGCTCCAATTTTCTGTTGTCTATTTACACCGTCATGAGGCGCTGTCTCCGCCTAATTGTTTCCAGTTGTTTCTGATCAGGAATTGTTGTGAAATGTCGTCAACGAAATACAGTGAGCTATTAGACACGCGAATATTAACTGGTAAACGAAATTTCAACAATTGCCTGGAATGTTAAGCGTGTCAGAACGGTAAGAATGAGTGAAATTTACGTCTCAAAGAATTTCTTGTAAAGTTTAATGAACTTTTTAGGAGGACAGGGTTACCAAAAGATATATGCAAATGACCTGCAAACAATTGGTCAAAGTTCAAGAGACTCGCCTGTTTTGACTGTTTTGATTTTGACATGCAAATTGCTGATTGAAATGAATAATTTTAACTGTAAATAGTAAACACATATATTTAATACACTTTGACTGTAAAAGTAGAAATATTTTGTTGTCTGGTGTACAACCTATCTGGTCATTTCCAAAAATAATGTACTTTGATTTATAAACTAAATTGTACAAAGATTTTTTTCTTTGCTCTCATTCAATAATAGATTGTGTAAGTTATTATTAGCAGGACTAATGTTGGTGTTTGATTGATCGGTATAAAATTTAAGATGTAATATATTGCTGTGTTATATTATAAATGATTTAATTAGATATTTATACATAGTTGATCTTTTGCAGAAGATTGCTGCTACACTGTACATATCGCTATGAGACTTCTCACATACAATACTTAACGGATGTCCCAGCCAGCAGGCTAAGGCTTTTGTAGCCTACTGGGGGCTCCGTTACTCATTAGCGATGACCAATGAGCCAACGGATAGTACTGCGTCATATTCGCAATTAAGTCCTAGGAATTTGAACACAGTCAGCATCTTCTATGCACCGCTAACTTCGTTTGCTGGTGTGTATCCTCTTCCTAACTCCCATTTCCGTTTATCCTGTATAGTAGACATCATAACTTATTCAAGTCTTCTGTTCTCTCCTTGGACAAATTTAATATTGATGCATCCTGTGTAAACAAGCATCATACTCTACTATATATTCATATCCCATTCATTTGTATTTTTTTATCCTTAACATAATTCACGTTCCATTTGTCTCGCCAAAAACACATCAACCATGACCCTGAGATCATTTCCTGGTACGTAAAATAAAGTATAATTGTCTATCGTGCATGTTACTGAATACAGCACAAGACATAAGATTATATCATGCCTATACTCATTGCAGCAATACTCCTCAAAAACCAAGCATTACAGCTCACTGTTATCATTTAAATAAAAAATGTAATAGATAAAGTAGTTTTATCACTAATCTTCATGTCATCCATTATCTTAACGTATCATTTAGTTTTTTCTTTATCAAATGGTTAAAATTAGTATAAACGGTAATGGCTGTGTTAATTAAAGCCTTAATCATGTTACAGAGATGTGGTACCAGATATTTCTATGGGCATTATTCTCATCCATCTTTGTCCATACAATTGCAGCTGCCATCTGTTTTGCAACATTACGCAAGCATAAATATGGAAAGTGAGTAAATCCCACTTGATTGATCGATCAACTTTAAAACTTAAAGTAATATAAACAATGCAATCTGAAGGTAAAGCAAAATATAGACTATCATTCCTGTTATTTTTCAACAGATTCTTCCCTCTTCTGATTATAATAATGGGCGTATTACTCCCATTAACATCTGGTGTACTCAGTTCCGCTGCAGTGGCATTTGTTTATCGAGCATCAAGTTATCAAATGCCACCATTATACGCTCTTCTATGGGGCATTGGACAGACTGTAATGGCGGGCTGTGTAGGATTCACCCGAATTTTGGCCACACTATAATATCTCAAGTAATATTAATTTATAAAAGTCAAAAAGTTTCATCATAAGTCGTCCTTTTGACGCACGCACCTTTCGCAGTTCAGGTATTTATCGCGTTAATATATAAAATCGCTCCACGCATTTCGCTTAGGTAAATGCAGATGTGCGAATGTATACCCGCATGTCAAGGAATACAGAAATAACGTGCAAATATAAGTAAATGCTTCTCCTGGAATCACCATAATTTTTCACGTGAAAAATCTTAAATGCAATAACAATTTGTCAAGGGCTTTCATGTTCCTTGGTTCCATAAAACATATCCTAATCGTTGTATACAACTCCTTAATTAGCCTATTGACTATAATTGGCTTTTAAATTTATTCGCCATGAGTATTAGAATTCCTCAAAATCTGAGAACTTGTAAGTTCCCTGACTTCTCTTAGTAAATGGGTCATACAGCGATCGAAAGACTAAATAAATTGTACATTATAAGCTAGTAGCTATTATTGTCACATAGGCTAGATGGACCGAATTTTGTAAATTGCCATTTGTAATATTCATTGACTTAAATTGTCACTGCGAAAAATCATTTAATAACGTTAATACACATCCAGAGTAAACAGATATACATACGGTACTTGGATATTTCGTTCTCTATTTTTTGGTATGAATTATCCAGCTGTATCTGGGACATTTATTTATTGCACAAAATAAATTTTCTACAATGGCAGCTTAAACGGGTGAACCTACAGTGAATAATAGAAAAGTTCTTCAGTGTATACTAAGTGTTTTGCGCGACGAATTATTTGTTTCGTTATTAGCTCACTCCAGTCTTTCACTAGATTCATTATATTTTATACAGTACTGCCAGAACTTTTAATTACGTTTTCTTAATTATAATCTTTGCACTTTGAAACATTTGTTTTACATTATTCTCTAAGAACATCATTAGTTCAACGAGTACGTTGACAAAACCAGTTCCCATTTTAATTTCTACTCACAACGTATATGGTATAACATTTCTTATAGTATATTTTTTTATCAGACATGACACAACGAATATATACAGAAGCAAATTGCTTCTATATGTCCTCTATTTGAATTGTATTCATGCAGCATATAGTAATGCAAAAGTCAATATTTCTTTAAGACTGTCAAACAAAAAGATAAGAATAAAATTGAAAAATACAATTTTAAAAAAAGGATTATTAGTATGTCCTCTATACAATTATCGCATACCCAACTGTATAGACATACTGATTGTTTGATGCAACTACATTTATAATTAACTTATTAAAATTCTTTGGAATAATGAAATAGTGCAAGTTTACTATAAGAGACATAATTTTATTGTACTGGTGTCGATACTGATATTGGGAACAGGTGATGTACACGTTACAGCGTATGGATAATGTATTTATATTGAATTTATTATTTTAAGCAAATGATTATTGTATATTTAATCCATGGTATTTAGCAAACATATGTAAATATATACCTCACAAGACTATTATAATTTAATATAACTGTTTTGAAATAGTGCTTGGGTTTATAATTAACTTTAAGTAGATTTAATTCAAAGACATCATAGGCAGAATGCAAAGAGTTGTATTACTGATACTTATTGTATCCTGTGGAACACGAATCAGTGCAAGAACATTGTGTTATTATTGGGTCATGTAATACATTATTGTAATTTATTGTATATAATCTCGTTAAAGAATATTTGCATATACATTTTTTTTAATGTGATCCTAAACATTCAATAATTTTTTGTACCTACAATATTGATTACCATATGAAATTTTATGCCAGACATAAATATAATCTATTAGACAATATTCATACTACTCTGGATTATTTCAACGTTTTGATAATAATGATAAACGTTTCTAGGAGAATATAATTTATAAAACGTGACTCTGTTATTTTAAAAGTGACAATTTTTCATTCGCAATATGCATATACTGTGTAAATCATTGATTTTCCTATGCAATAAGATGATATACATAGAAGAGTGAATGTATTATTATACTTCAATATTTTATATAATATGCCTTTCATTATTCCCTCATCAGCGTATATTATTTTCTGTTTCATTAATTTATTTATATTTTTATACTCCAAAATATTAAATGTTAGACTATACACACATAGCAACATCTTTGGTCATACTAATGTACCTACCTAAATCAAAGTATTCAGTATATATATAAGTGATAAGTATATATATCAGTGATTCAGATATTGTACTGTGCGGCTTTCAACCGCTTATTACACTTTGTTTATTACCTACAATTTATTGTTCCATAATAAAATAATCGTGTTTTCTATAACTCAGACCGCAGTTAAACGTAATTGTGTTGTAAATGGAAGAAACTCGTCAATTTAATATGATGTGAACTAAAAGTTTTGCGGTCCATAACATGAAAAATAGGTTATTCCTGTAGAATTGTAACATTATGTCTTTCAAAGGTGTTTACGTGGATAATAAACCGGGTAAGTTTTACTACTAAATGTATTGTGTATTAATTAATAAGACAAACTTAACAATAACAATTGATATATTATAGGTGAATACAAAACTGATAACGATATTAAAAAAATACAATTACTGTGTTTTGATTTGACAAACTACACTGTCAAGTCACAATTACTTTTGTGCAGTTTAGGTGTATTTGTGTTTTTTATCTTGTATGGATATCTGCAGGTATTTATAGTAAATTTTCTTGTAACATTATCATTGTATTAATACTTACTCATATCATTAATATAATTGTTTAACAGGAATTAATATTCACCTTGGATGGGTTCAGACCCTATGGCTGGTATTTAACTTTAATTCAATTCGGTTATTACACCGTTTTTGGACTAATAGAATGTCGTGTTAAGCATATTGTTCGAAAAATATCCATTGGAACATATTTATTGTTAGCCTTATTGACCCTTGGCACAATGGGATTTTCAAATTCTTCCCTGGGCTATCTCAATTATCCTACTCAGGTTCGTAATAAAGCTTCTTTATATTGACTAACACTAATAACATGAATTGTTGTTTACATATAACAAAGATAAAATTTCTTTACATAGGTGATATTTAAATGCTGCAAATTAATTCCTGTAATGGTTGGCAGTATTTTAATCCAAGGAAAAAAATATAGGTTGCTAGACTTTCTAGCAGCTAGCTTAATGTGCATAGGCCTAATCCTTTTTACCCTTGCTGACAGCATGATTTCACCACGATTTGACTTCATTGGAGTGGTTATGATCAGTTGTGCATTATTGTGCGATGCAATCATTGGAAATGTACAAGAAAAAGCAATGCGGCAGTACAAAGGGACTAACACAGAAGTTGTATTATACTCATATAGTATTGGGTTCTTATACTTGCTGTTGATCCTTTTACTGACAGGTGATTTTGTAAAAGGCGTATCCTTTTGTGCCAAGGTAATTTTTAATAAAATGCATATGCTTATTACGTTTAAAACTTCTTATGAGAATTACTACAGACAAGAATTTCAGCATCCCGTGGAAGTGTATGGATATGGTCTACTATTTTCACTCTGTGGATACCTTGGCATTCAGATTGTCCTAACTCTGGTCCAATGCTGTGGTGCCTTCGTAGCCGCAACAGTAACAACTTGTCGAAAAGCCGTATCCATTATTATCAGTTTCATGTTTTTCTATAAACCATTTTCATTTCAGTATCTTTGGTCGGGATTACTAGTGATTCTGGGAATTTACCTAAACATTTATAGTAAACAAGGAAATTCTAAGAGTGACCTGCGTGAAATATGGATAAAACTGAAGAGATGTTGGAGCAACCAGAATCGTATACAGAGACAGTTGATGGCTAATGTGTAAAAAAAAATATAATTTGTATTTGCTCTGTACGTACAAGCACAGCTATACTTGGTCTGCACATATGAAAATGGACGAATATTTTTTTTATCTACGGTACTTTTATTGCCTACCATGAATATTCTTTGCACATTTTGTTCTATATGTATATTCCCATTCGTGCTTACAAGATTAATATATATATGTATAGTATTAATACGTACATAGTAAATACAATTAAAAGGAAGTGTAATCTCAGATTCTATATTGATATTAAAAATCTTTTTTTGCATACGTGTAAATCGTTTATTTGCAGAAATAACTCTTATGTGGCGTGGATCCAAGTCCCAACATACCCAGTCTCAACAGTTCATTCATTTTTGTATCCATAGGATTATGGAAAGACAACTTTCTTCGTCACCGCGCATATAACATGCGCTTGCACTCAACTAGATTTGTCGATTTTCTTCTTTGATACGAAAGCGAATGTACTTTCTGGAATGTTCATAAAAAATTGTCTTGGTGTAACAGTTTTCTTGACACCAGCAGAAGGAATTGTAAAATCTATACCCTGTTCTTCCATCTTTCCAAAAATTTGGAGAGGATGACCAAAGAAATCTGGTTCATTTGGATGGGGTACTAAAAGAGGACTATTATAATCTACTAATGACTCACTCTCGCTTGTTGTGTCGTCTTTACAAGATAGACATCGTGAATCATCAGAAACTGATTCACACTGAGAATTGCTTTCGATAGGGCTATTTTCTTTAGCAATTGTGTTTTCAATATATAAATCCTCCACACGAATCACTTCATTTTTAATTAATCCAGATATCAAGGCATTTCTTGAAAACATTTGAATACCTGTCTGTTCATTTTCTGGCTTTACAGAACAGGAATTATCCTCTATAATATTTATATTATTTAAATCAATATCTGAAGTGGATGTATCATAACTAGGAATGTCATAATTCATCGAAGTGCTTTCTTCAAGATATTTCATATCATTGACATTTACAGTATTAAGTTTTTGTAACTGTCGAAATCTTAAATGTTGTTCAATGGATTCATTGGAATAATCAATACCACCATTGACCTGAAAAAAAAAATAATCACATAATTAATAAACTAATGATTTTAATAATATTTAGAAAGGCATTTGAGAAGCTTATTAATCATTACTTACTTCTATTACATTGGATATCACTTCGTCTTGGCAGGTGAAGATTTTAGATATAGAAGAATAATGGTTAGATGGATCCTCATCTGGCTAAACAAGATGATTTTTACACAATTTTCATAGAGAAGTTTATATAAAAATGCAATAGTTCAATAAAGAAAGTACTAAATACCTCAAAGTTTACATTGGTAAAACGTTTTTCATTTGGACGAGAATTTTTGGTTTGGCTCCTGGACTTTACATGCCAGTTTGAATTATGAGATGGATTAATTTTCGTAGCTCGTTTAATGTCCTCCCTCAAATCCATTATTATATCTAAACAATATACTGTAAAGTCAATTATTTTAATTAGAATAATACTCGAACGTTTCTATTTCGCATATGACACAACTTTATATGAATTTCAGGTTATATGTTATTACAGACAATATGCGTATTTAGACTGTAAACAAAAATTAGTACGGTACGAAAAATACCGATTTCTAAAAGAAACTCTACTCTAGACAAAGCGATATTGCGAAAACAGAATATATTGATTATAATTTAAAAAGCTAATAATTTAAAAAACATATACCTTTAAAGCAATATAAACCTTTGCCGATCTTTGGCAATGCTTGACTGTACCGAAGCAAACTAACGCCAAACTAATGGATACTAAACGAAGAATGACAAAGAATTATAGAATCACAGGCCTGGCTCAATTAACGGAATGTGTTTACTAAAGTTTACTATTTAAACTGTGAAACAGAATTGTCACTTTAACTTCTCGTACACCAATTTAAATGATCCGATTAATTTTAAAATTATTACTTCAAGAGCAGTTGTCATAACAGAATCTAAAATTTCATATTTTTTGTTCATACTTCGCATCATCTTACAACACTTTCGCAGAACTCAATCCTATTCCTCCTACTGCCTCCTATACACACAATGGTTGTGTTCAGCGGAACACCACTTAGGAAACAAATACATTTGATTGGTTCAATTCTATACCTTTTGCAAATTTACTACCAAATAATCCGTCAAAAGCTCTTGCTCGCCAGCATTGCTGCTAAATACATATAACCAACGGCTGTGTCAGCAGAACAAATTGCTGAGAGAGCAAATATGTTTGAATGGTCATTTAATTGTGAAAGTCTTGCAACAATTTGTTATAAGTCACTTGATTAGTAAGTTTGGCTTACTTTTTATCTTGTATTCCCATTCGACTGTCATGTTGCTCTACCTGTCGAATGGAAATCGAGCCTGGGATCCGGGAATGAGCGGAGTATTTAAACTCTGTTGAGAAGTAACACTAATGTTCTTTTATTAACACAAGAAACTTTGATGGTGATTTGAACTGATACAACACTTTTCTCAATCTTGGAAGGTTGCACTTTCGGGACGGAGTAGTGATAAATCACACTTATTGATTGTTACTAATTATCCTGTTTGTAACACGCCGTGCATTTAATATCACTTGACACACGAACGACTCTAGTCAAATTCAACGAACGTGATTCTTTGCTATAATAGAGTATAATACAATTGAACTTTGCACACATACAATATGTATATCTATAATCTTATTGAAAACCCTTCACGTATTATTTATTGAAGATTTTCAAGGATAATTATCATTTGTTAGATTTGCACTGTGTTGCAATTTTATATTAAAAATATGCCTGAGACTCACTAAACTACAGTGAAGTACCTGTAGATCGTATTTTTGCCTACTGCTGCACTAATGGCTATATATTATTTACCATTCCGTATTCAAGGTGAATGCACAAGCACACGATATCCAGGATATATTTAATGAGTGCTCCGACGTCAGTTCAGAATTGCGGAGAAAGTTATTTTGATTTTCAAAATCTAAACTGAGACACGCAGCCGTACAACAGTCGACTGAGCAGTGTACAAACTCTCAAGTAGAATAACATGCGTGTGGAACACCTCAATAAATCCTATGTCAATATATCTATAAAATATAACTACTTCCGGTGATGATTAATTGGTCATAACATACAGTGGTTTTTAACGTCCAAGAAATAATAACGTGAGTGCAGGAAACAGAAGTATTCCAAGACTTCCGTTTATCAGTGACGTGGCTCCACTTCCATCCCAACAGAAATCTAGGCTGCATTCAAAAGCTTCTTTGCCCAATTTATTTTTTAGATACTCCCAATCGCAGAGACCCACGTCGCATCCTTGGAAGAGCAGAGGCTTTTCGGCCACGTAGAACATTACTTTGTTGGGAGAATCTGACGTTGTGCACCTGAAATGAAAAAAAATGAACAGTTATAATGCGTGAGTTTAATTTCCCTTACTTTTCATACATTTGAACTCCTTTTAGAAGTAATTTTTGCTACAATAATTTCCAACAGAAACACAATGAAGGCTATTAAATGGCCGCAACCAAGGACCACGCAGAGGTCCCATATAAACTTGCGTTGTTGCTCTCGATTTTCAAATTTCTTCTGCTTTTCCATTTTGTAAAAATGGCTAGCATCCGCCTCGACTTCGTTATCACGCCACTTCTTCGTCAATCCTCCTTCCAGTAAGTGACGTAAAAACTTGTTGAATTTATCGACGTAAGGCGAGTTCTTATGGAATACATATGTCTGCAGTGTTAGCCAAAAGCAGGGTTGCATAATTTCGAATCGTAATTCATCGTCTTGAACATTTTTCAAATAATTATTGATTTTATGCACCGTCACTTCAGCCTCCTTAAACCACATTAGACACGTTGTATTTCTGTATGTTACCATATCAACGATGCATTGAGTTAGGTTATCGTAAATAATTGCCTTGTTCTTCAAGTTCAAAAGCGGCCCAGTAGCAATTTTAAATACATTATTATAAAGATTCCTGTTCACAACCGGAATAAGACCGGATTTATCCAGCTCGTCAAAGGACCGAATGTGTATCGGCTTGCTGTTAATAGTAAATGTTTCTGTCAAGATTGAGTAAGCCACTGACGAATAACTAATGGATATTAATATAACAATGCCAAACGCAATTCTTTCTTTCAATACATATGGTTTTCTTGACACTGGCATTCCGCAGAGTATGATAAATACGTTAGCTGGATTCCATATACGGTTTGGAAATTTAAATACGATCGACAAAATCCATGAAATTATTACAATTGCAAAAGTCCACAGTAATGAAATGATTACGTGATGAGATACTTTAACTTCAACGTTCGTATACAGTGGCACTAAAGCACAATATTTTTCTGACTCCACAAATATACTGTTTTGAATACCTTTTAACTGTTCGCGGTTAAGATACATCACATGGTTTATCAAGAGTTCACTCTTTCCTTCTGCAACGCGAATTCTACTCCTATATTTTTTGTGGTTATGATATTTGTTAGTTATATTTTCACATTGACGTATGACCGCACTGGCATTAATAAATTGAAAAAAGGTTTTGAATATGTAACCATCTCGACCGGATAACTTGCATTTTCTATTTAATCTAACAGATTTATTCCAAGGTACAATTACGGCTTCCACTGTAATTTTACTTTTTTGAATATTGCGAAGCTTCTCTGGGAACCACGTCACGTCTGGAGAATACAAACGCTTTGTATAGCTCTGCACAAACTCATTGTATTGATGAACAATCATCTTATTCACTTCAGAAGTTTGAGCAATCCCACCCCCATGAATTTTTCGAATAACCACTTCCAAAATTGTTACATCAAATAATTTCTTATTCCACATGAGTCCCATCAGAGGCTCAAGACTGTCGCTTTCAGATTGTAGAAATATGATCAGCAAGCATTTGGGTTTTTGAGTATTATCTGATATCTTTCGTGACAAGTCTATCAAGGTGAGATCCTTTAAAATCTGAGAGGAATTTCGTGCTTCATAAAGACCCACAATGAAGTTCATTTTGACCATATTATCCTTAGAAAGTATCGGTTGAGTATAATTGATTTTGTCATTCTGATTTTTAGCAATGCTGAGGATGTAAAATGGCACTGATTTAAAAATAGCTTTTGACAGTTCGTTAATTTCCCGAACCGCATCAGACCGTTCCAGTTCATGAGATAAGAAAGCCATTCGATAAGGATTTACATCTTTAATAATATTCTTCAAAATATTGCTCAGTCGATATGTTATTTTTAAATTTTCTCGTTCTTGCACGGTGCATGGCAAACTTGCGTAAAATAGCAGTAACACTTGCCACACGTACTTCATAGTGACGACTGCATGAAAAATACTGGCGACTCCTGACGTGAATGCAATTTTCTTTAAAAGGATTAGCACCATCCATATATCCCTTCTTTATCATAGATCTAGTTTGTAAACTGTACCTTTCGTGTCTGTGTATGGGCTATTTTTACAATGCTATTTTTTCAATAAGTCGTTGTGTACCAACACTATGCAAATTGCCATTCCGTTAATCCACTTTAACGGCTTACTTCAAATTGTATAACAATACTCTTCAGCGTCTCTATTTCATCGACGTTTCTGCATTCTCATGAAGATTAAATCGTGGCGACAGGATGCAATTCGATAATTGGATTGGTGCTGCTTTCGAAGTACGGAGAAAATTAATAATAAATTTGTTCAAACAGTCAGCAATCGTATTAGAGTTCTAAGCGAAGAGCTTATCTACGCAATCTTTACAAGAAATCTTTGTCACCCTGTATATTATATACAATCTGCCAATTTTTACCAAAACCCACAATGCAAGAACCGACCATGCAATACAATTACCGTATTGTAAAAATCATAATTCTCTGTGGTTAGTGCTTGCCTTGTATGATTAACTATGTTATATCAGGTTTATTGCTGAATTTAAGCACCCAATAATTGGTATTACTAGGTGTTCGACAATTAGTAATGGTTTCTCGTTTGGTAGGTTCATAACAAGATAATAAATCACAGGGTAGAATAGAAATATTATTCTATATTATATAGGACATTTAAAACTCACTTGTAAAATACAGCAACGATGTTGGTAGCGAAAGAACCAATTTCAGAAGTTCTCCAAAGACGTTTAGACATCTCCTTGTAATTGGAGGCTGTCAAGGGTACTTTATCTTTGGCGATTCCCAAAGCAGTCATGGTGGTTTGCAAAGAGCCTGAATGAGTGAAGTAAAAGATACCCTTGGGTTGATGAGAATACTCAGATCCCTCGAGTTTTCTAAAATTAAGGAAACAACATTTCAACTTTATAACAATCGTCAGGGTCCATATGGTGTTAAATATATTTTATAATCTAGTAAAACTTACTGAAAGTGCTGGAACATATCCTGTAATGGTGGACATCCTACACGAGCATTAATCTCTCTAGATGGACCCGTGTAATAATAATAGTACAGATCCTCCTGGTACTCCAGTATCTGGAGTTCGTCTACAGTGAATACCGCGCACCAGGGTGATACCTTCGTCACGTTCCATGCTTTCTCATACCGGCACATGTCATACATCAGACCCACGGATGCTGGATAAAAAATTAAACGACTGTAGAAAATCCTGTATCAATACAACACTAAGTTAATTGAACATTCTTAAAAATGTATCCTTACTCGTGGTGATGTTGTAGCGAAATCCTAAACGGCGACTTACATTGTGCAAAAGATTCTCAATCTCTATGCCATTTCCAAATTTACTGGATTCCTCAAAAACTGATGGATCGTTTAAGGTCTCTTGATAAGAATCGCATACCTTGTACGCCTAAATATAAAATTTCAGTTGATATACCAATTAAGGAATATTCATTAAATTCGACAAGTGATAACTAAAATTTACTTATTTACTTTCAACAGTGTATCATTCGCTGGTGTATGCTCAGGAGTGACAGCATTGGAACTTCCAAAGAGACCATGCATGAATGATGTCAAGCTAGCTTTGGTACGTTGACTGTCCGTTGACCTGAACTGAAAAATCAATAATTTTATTATTGAGCAGCCTAATTTTAAAAAGCACCAAGCTAAGTGGGGAAACCTTTTAACCATACCTTATAATTAGTGGATGTGATATTGGCTGCGCTTGGTTGCAGAAGCTCTGGAAAATTGGTCTGAAGGCGACGTGCCAGAAGTTTCAAATCTTCTTCTCCTTGGACTGTCAGATACTGAGCCATGTCCTCGGTCAAATTTTGTATGCTGTTCCATGATTGTAGATTCTTAAGATCTTTGTCGCACAGATTACCGACTGTAACGTGTAACACATTTCTTAGAACAATACCGTATGTAAGTCACGAAGAATGTTTCTGAATTTCTAATTATTAATCGAGCTTGCTTGAAAACAAATTAAGCGACTAGATTAGCAGGAACCATAAGTTTAATTCGAATTGTATAATCTACCTAATCCAGTAATACCATAAGTGGATTTAAGCATCAGATTGATACTGGATGGAGGGATATTATCTATCATTATTTTGTCATGCTAATTCAACGTGCGGGTATAGTATCTGTACCTAACGGTATACCAATGAAACAGCACCATTAAAATCCGATGACTTTAGTCGCTAATCAACTTACATCCACGAATCTCATGATTATAGATTATTTGATCACGTAGCTTTGGCAGCGTATGTAACTTCGTTATCGTTGACTTCTTTGGATAGCGCGTTCCGTGTCTTGCCAGCATCCAAATTTGCACTGGATTACAATCTGCGAAATAATAAGATTTCCATTACTCAAAATCCACAAAAGTATACATAATTAGTAATAAAACTAAAATTTCAATAGATTCTCTCTCAAGGTTCCCCTCAGCTACCGGTTGCACCATCTATTCAGCTTCACCTTGTACACTAATTCATTATCTTTCACTCACCCTACTATAGATCCCTAGCCTGTTTAACAGCCAAATACTAAAATTGAGTAATCTCTTAATTTACAAATAGTTACATCTAACGATCCGTTATCCCCTGGACTTTAAACAGTCATGGTGCAATAAGCATACACTGTAATGTGTAAATACAAAAATTTAACACGTCACAGTGTATCAATATCTACTAGTACACTAAGTAAAAAAAGTTTTTATCTAGTAGAAGCTAACAAGACACCATAAGTGGTAAATGAGCTAATCCTCTATCAAGTTAGTATACAATGTTATTCAATCCAAACGTACCACCTGAAGCTAGACCCATATAATCCTTGTAGTAATAATAATTCTATAGTAAACTATAGTACATTTTTTTAAGATATTCGTTTTTTCATCCAATTTTGAGAAAGCAAAATGTACCATTCAAATGAAACTCCCTACATGGTTATTCTTCTGTTAATGACAATATATAAAAAATACAATAAAATTCAACATGCAGTGAACGTATATTCAGATATGCACCAGCATAAAATAGTATTCTTTTCCAATGCATCGGCATTTCATGAGAATAAACCATTCACGAAATTTCATTTCAATGGTTATTGTTTCTGCCGCAGTCAAAAAATCAAATACCTGTGTTGTATATATCTATATCAGTGAGCCACAGGTATACATCCAATGTAATTAAACTATAATTCGACTCCGATGGTAACATAGCCAATATATGGTACATTTGGTTTTCTGACCATTGGGTCTACTAAATCTACTACAAGTGTAAATATACTTACTTGGTATAGTTTGGTATCGCGTTTTGCCACCATGAACAAATTGATAAGCGGTTTTCGTAGCCATGTATAGATATGGATTGTCATCGTCCGCATAACAATAGTCATGATCACGTGCGATAATCTGACTGCTCAGAAATGCCACGATAGTCAGCGGCAACAGCATCTTGTTTATGTTTCTTGTTCAATTTCACTCGGTATGTACTCTGTCCCCTTTGTCGTTGCCAAACTGTAACAAAACATATAAGAATTATTAGCAATATGCTTTTTCTCTTCCACTTTCTTCACCCATCGATTCGACGTTAGTCGATTCTCGCTTTACAAGCTCCGAACTCTCGTAACGTACGATTGTCTTATGTTAGAGCCACTGTACGATACTATATATATTTATATTAATTTTGAAATACTTTTTCTTAACGATTTTCAATCCAACTTTCACATACTTGATCTCGCAAATCACTTCTACCTGAAAGGTCTATACTTTATGATAAATATATATATATATATGAAGACTTAATCTGATCTTATTATTTTATATAAACGATAGATTCGATGGATATCGATCGATCTTTTTTAGTTGTGAGATATGAAATTCAATTTTTTTTTTAATTACTTGTACTTAATACGAAATTTTTCTCTGAGTAAATTCACGATAAGCCAATCTGTTTGATAAAAGTCATACGTGCCACTTTTTATTTGTCTTGCAATATTGTCTATGCAGTCAATGCGAAAGAAAGTGAAAGTGACATAATATGTATCAATAATATTGCACGTATTACACCATTTTTTCTTTTTTGTTGTACATATTAAAAAAAATTCTATACACCCAGAAGTCTTTACCACTCAACCGTACACACGGCGTAAGTGTGTCGCACGAAACTTCCAAAACTGGAGTATCGAATTCTACCTGCTAACTTGACGGCCAATAGCCACTTTAGCGCAGTCGTACTTCCATTTAATACAGTGGATGTATTTGCGATGATTATACGTGGCGTAAAATTTGTAACGGAAGAATTACCCTAGTTTCCTCTTTTAAAAATAACTTCGTCTATAAGCGTGTATAATGAATTAATAGATTGTTTTAGGTTAATTTGTTTCTCATTCATTTTTCACATATTCATTCTTAATTACGAATGCGAATCATCGATTGATCGATAGAGATGATATTGTGTTAAAGTCATAATTTTTTTAAAATTCGATTTAATTGAATTGTATTATAAACATCTAATAAGTTTCAATCTATCTTGTCGATTATTTCTTAAACGATAATCAAACCATTTTCATCTATATATAGAAATCAGATTAATCTGAAAAATAATAAATGGAGGAAATTAGCTGCGGGAATTTTTGTTTTGCATTATCGATAATTAAACAATGGATACTGTATTTATTGATCGAACCATGTTGTATTAATTATTCAATTGATTACCTGAACGTCTAGTCGATCCTTCAAGGACGTTTAGGTAGAACCAAACGAATCGTTGGAGAAAACCGATGCAAAGGCCAGCAAGAAAATAAATTATAAATTTCTGAATTTAACTTGAAATGGATATCGATAGGTTGTATATATTTTGTATGTATTTTAGTAATTTATTCAATGATATGGCTGTCTTTGGTTTATACAAATAAAACTCAGACAACCTTTATCAAATGGTCAAGGGTCAATTTTAAATCTTTTGATAAAGCACGGAGTCAGGTCATTTAGTATTTTTTTAATTTCACTTAGGTATGTATAAAGAAGCATCGGCTTTTCTTATATTTTATAGGTAGTAATACTATCAAGTTACTGGACGGATGTATTTACGTTATTTGGATGAAGATAGCAACATAGACAACAATTACGTGTATATGATGACAATTTGCAATTGTGAAAGGAAAAAATATCAAGTCGGAAATACCAATTGCATTATTGTAAATAAAGGATAAAGCAGGATTTAAAAAAAATGGTGTGTACGAGGCTTAAGGATAAATTACAATATTGTAACTAGACATGTGTAATACAGAGGATATACTTTGTCAATTGGTTCATTAATCTTATACAATGCTATGTGTATTTAGCGTTTGTGTAATTACTAATGTCATTATGTTTTCTATGAATTATACAATAAGAATTTTTAACGTCAATAGTTATCATTTCTGCATTTATCAATAATAATTGTTCGGTTGTTATTCTTATTTGTATTAGTGGCATTGTCAAAATTATCTTCGGCAAAGCCTGCCGATGATTATGCTTTAAAAATTACTGAGAGACGTACCAAAATAATTCCTCAATATTTCCTCAGAACCACAGGAAGAACCAGCAAGATCCAGCAGATAAATAGAAAACGTAGAACGCGATAAAAAAGTAAAATCAAAAAGTCACTGACAACCGAGCGAACGTCAACAATACCGTAAAATGAAATAACAATGACACCGAAACGATTTAAAAAAATAGGTCTATAAATCGCGGCGTTCAAACCGTCACGCTCAATAAATCCCCCGAGCGCGCCACCATCACTATTCAAAAATATAAGTTAAGAAGAAATTTTTCAAAGGTGCCACTCGCGTCTGTAAAACCGTTACGTTTCAATACACGGACGTTCAGTTGATTCCTCCTCGCCCAGTAATCGTTCACGAGTCAAAATACGAACTGGAAGTTGTACAAAGCCAGAGGCTTCTCCTTGCGAAAGCAATGAGAGACGGAACGCGGAAGAAGTCCGGGCGGAGTAATAGCCGACAGTAGCGGCAGGCAGACTTGATTTGGGGTCGACTGTTAAGGCCCAAAGAATTATGACGTCATGGATTCCTCGTTCGTCTTTGAGTCAACAGGTCACCGAACGTCACCTCCACGACGGCGACACACGAGAAGCTGCTCGCAAACTGTCGCTATGGTCACCGGTGTGTCATTACTTACATACTTGCTCTTTCTCGTTCCTTTCGTCACTTCATTACTTTTTTCTCTCTCTCCCTCTTTCTCACTCGCCAGGTTAGGTACGCATGCAAGTCCTCGCATTCATGCATGCCTATGGGTACTATACCTATTTACGTGTTCCTAGCTTACATCATACGTATACCACTCGCGTACCAGATCGTCCCACTCTCCTCTGCTCCTTCCCACATTACAAAACTCTTTTACACCGTTCTACTTGAACCTGGATCCCCTCTATCTTATACTCCCTCTACCTTTTCATGCTGCGAGACAAGGTAACAGTGTCTTTTAAACGTTGAAGGTTCCCCGTGTCTCGACCTGGTGCACTCTCATAAGGAGACAGATGATCCGTTAGTGAGAAAAAATGGAAGAAAATTTTCGAGGTTAACTAATCAACGGTGAAGATTATAGTGAAGCAGTTATTATACTCAGGTGATTGTCATTGATGACATTTGTTGATCATTATTATTATAATTCTATAATTAATTACTCTAATTAACTCTGTCTTCCACTTAGTGCCATGACCTTGGTCATGATTGCTTTCTTTATGAAAATCTCAAATTAATATTTATATTTATTATATACAGTTATAAGTTATGATCGTTGTTATACGTTACAGTTTAATATGCCATAATGGAAAAGTCATCTTCACGATGTATCTCAAATGTCAAGATCATCCTGGGCTCATTTAGAAATGCACGTGTATGTATCACCTGTTGATGCTATTGTTACCCTCGCTATATATGTATATTATGTATCGTAAAAGTAGGTCAAGATTACGTGCTACTGATTTTTACGGTACATCGAGCATAGTTATCAGGATTTCACAGGATGATCGTATCTAATAATAAACGCACGTGTTACACATCAGTCAGGTGCACAAACGCACGTGATTAAACCGGGAATAACCACGTGGGATATTTGAGATAACACAATCGAATGCTTTTCAAATGGAGAAGAAAATAACACGATCATTTCTGGGTTAAATTCTTAAGCTTTTTGTTAAGCTTAAAAGGAAATTCGAATCCTTACATAATATAATAATAGTTCAATTGTGATTTATATTACTGAAAAAAGAATCTTAATCTTGTATCAATGAAAATCTGATAAACGTAAACGTTAAAATATCGTACGTGTATTCGCTCATGAAACAATATACTATCTGTATATACAAATATACAGGGTGTCCCAAAATTACCTGACCAACGGGGTATGGCGGTGTTCGGGAGGCACCACTGATCACGAAAATGACCTTCCTTTTGTCCGGAAGTTCATAGTTTTTAAATGGGAGCAGGTCAAACTTGACCAATCAGAACGAGGCGTCAAGAGAAACGTAGGCACCTACGAACTCTGAGTTTTCTTCCCTCGCTTTTGTTTCTCGGTAGCTTGTTTCTTGTTTCCAATAGGCATGTCTTCGGCTGACGTCATCCTGCCCGAAGCCACCGAGAAACAAAAGCGAGGGAAGAAAACTCAGAGTTCGCCGGTGCCTACGTTTCTCTTGACGCCTTCCTCTGATTGGTCAACTTTGACCTGCTCCCATTTAAAAACTATGACCTTCCGGACAAATGGAAGGTCATTTTCGTGATCAGTGGTGCCTCCCGAACACCACCATACCCCGTTGGTCAGGTAATTGTGGGACACCCTGTATAGGTATATACAAATGTAAGCGTAGACCATTTATTGAGAGATTCTAACTTTCGAAAATCAAGTTTTCTTCTTCGCTTAGAATGATTTCACAGCGGCGCCGCAACGTTCACTCGTAATAAACACCGAATACGCAACAGTAGGCGTAGAAAGTTTGTGTTTCCAAGGTATAGGTCGAGTAGTTGTCCCTTTGAACGTCCCAGATAAATCCCATTGAGCTCTCTAAGGACTGGCTTGATTTTTCTATCAACGTTACAATCACCACGATTTTATATCTGAAAGCAGGTAAATCATTGGAAGAAAATTATATGTGGTATTGTATACAGTGACTATACCTATCGAATTCTAGTTTAAGTATCCTCTTGCGAATTTCACTACTGATTTCACTGCAGATCTTTGGCGCCTCAGTAGCATCGTATACAGCATCTTCCAAATGATTCGTCATTACCATCTCAACAATCTTATCCACAGGTTCAATTTTGAATGGATTGTATGATTCCAATCTGTAGGTGTTTTGATATCTTGCAGGCTGAAATATATTTGCTTTTATAAAATATTTTTAAACACACCTTCCTTTATCTTTTCACGTTAAATTATCATCTTTGATTAGCGAGTGTCTTCTAGAGTGACAAAAAATGACAAATGTTATTTATAAGATGTCGCACGCAATAAAAATAAAGTATAGTGAAAAAACTATAGAAAATATTGTGTGTTCATTGACTGTGATTGAACAATAATTAATAAATATAATTTTAAACTTGCATATGTAAATAATTACCTCGCCATTTTCGTCGCTCGTTCGATCTACAATATCTAATTGCATGGGCATGCTGATGATTTTGTTTCACATTTGATAAAGGCGTGATAAAATTTAATGTACTCAACCAAAATAATCATTCCAAGAGCACTCGAATTTTAATAAAATCTCAAACTCAAGCGAAATTTTCGTTGTAAAGTATTAAAGCCTTTGAAATCAAGATGGAGTCTTAGCGACCAAACAGGCAAACAGTAAATCGATTGTTACAGGATATATACAAACAAGCTTACAACCCTTAAATGGTAATTCTAATTTTTAAGCTAATCTTCGATCATTTGAATACTTCCAAGATATCTACAGTGTACAACCGTCGGCTATATAGATTCCAATGTTATCCCTTTAATCGATCTAACGGATGACAATGTGCGTAGGATGGCTGTTAAAAATTCCTTAAGCTTCTTAATAGACCTTCATATAAACGACCGATTGTCAGCATAAATACATTTAAGGCATCGTGCACTGAATATGTAATACATCATTCGCAAATATTAACCGTAGGATACTCGTCAGTGTACAAATAAAATGTTTAGAGTGCATTCAACTTTACCTTATGTTTCCGGTTTGTAGCGTAGAAATTTCCGGGCTTTTGAAATTTCGAACGATCGTCAGCATTACGTTTGAGCTGTAAAATCAAATAATCACAGAATCCAAATACATGGGATTTCTAATGATTGACTTTAAAAGTATTTCGTAAAGGAAGATGCGAATGTCACGATGCTATCCAACGTGTGGTATAATTATCCATTTTATAAAGATTACGTATTTAACTTCTGCATATATTCTACGTCACAGTATGATAATAATATGAATTATGTCACTAAGCCGAGTACAACGTGTCAACTAATTAGACATAATGATATAATTAGTTTTTAAATGACTCACGTATTTCCAAAAGCTTATGGCCATAGCTAAAACTCACTGCAAGAACGGAGCACTTTCGTGCTGGTTTCAAAGCAAAATGATTTCTACCGTTTAGCCGATCGACAAAAGGAAGCCAAGGTGAAAATAGACAATCCTGAGAAATGTTTACGAAACTGTCTGTTCTATAAATCATTCCTGACACCAAAATCACGCATCCGAAATTCGAAAAGGGTTCAATCCCGACCATCACGAAATCCGACGCATTGGCGTGACTTTTCAAATGGTCTATTAACCATGCAATGTCGCGGCACTCGGAAAATTCGTTCTAGCCCATTACAGATTTCATCATCATTCTCCAACGGTACAGAAATTTCTGCAAAAGTCACAAATTCGCACTGCAATTCTCAATGGCGAATCTAATTCGCATTTCCCTGCTTCTTGTCTTTCGTAAGCATTCTATAGTTGCGACATTATTTAGCGTTACCAATTGTTACGCCCTTGGATATTAAACCCATTTTAGTCACGCCATTTTATTGGTAGCAGCTTGTAAAGATAGTTCGTATATCACTCGATCATATGATTTAGAATCTCTAGTTATATATTTTGGGCTAAATCCATAGTTTCTAAATATTTTGGCTTCAATGGTCTCCATGAACATTGTACAAAATTTACGCCAAAATCGTAGTCTTTGCCAAAATCGTAGTCTCTATCTGCCATTCTATTTATTGCCTTTTCTGGGAAGCACCTATATGCATTGATCATATTGATGTAGATATATTTAAGTAGGTATTATAATCAATAACAAATAAACTGACTGTGAGTTTCTAAAGAGATTCACTTGTACTGATAGTTGTACAGTAGAATCATGCTTAAAATAGATTTTCCTACCTAATTACGTGACCGTAAACCATTTAACGTTTACTCTGATGTACTATATCGTATGATTATATATACATATAGTTTTGAAACTTAGATTATTGGAATATTGAATAATGATTGGATAAAGTTATGTTTTATTACATTTATTTTAATGTACATTGTAATTTAGTGTTGGTGGTACATTTCTCGGGAAAATAATAAAGGTAATATCTTTTTTTTGTTTCAGTATTGTCTGTTTCGATTTTACGTTAAGTCATTTGTATTATTTATAAATACAAGAAAAATACAGCTGTATATCATTTCAAATCCTTTGCGAGTCTAGAATTCCTTGTTTTTCGAATAATTCCATATTGTGACAGAGTCGATTCTGTCGAGACGCAATTTCAATGTGTAATTGATAAACTTCAAGATGTTTTAAAGCATATAAACTGCTTGCGTTTCAAAAAAAAAACCCAGTTCTGATTCTCGCAGAAATATAATTAGGATCCATATTTGAAATACTAAGGCATTCAATTTATAAAATTGAATGATCCTCAGTGACATTCGGACAGAAGGAAATGGCGGATAGTCAATTTTACAGCAATCAATATGTAAAATTTTATACGCGAACGATGCTCAGCTTCAGTTTCATTAGAGTCTCGATCAAGCATTAGATTTGAGACAAAAAAAATTACAAAAATCGAGACTCACAATCTCTAAACCTAACTCGAACTGCACCATTTAAATGAAGTGTCCGAAAAAAAGCGTAATAGAATAACGATTTACAGTTCTAAAGAACTAATCGCAGACAAAGTTTTACTATAAGTTTTAACATGTATCTAATCTGCGACTATTCATTAAAACAGAACCTAATTTCTTCATCGACGTAACGTGCCCTGCCGTAACATATCGCACGGATGTAAAGACGTTCATACGAAGAAGCATGAAAATTGTTATTCCGTACTTAATCAATTGGCTGGATTTAATCTCGCAAGGACTTATCACGGCTAGGACAACAACAAGAATATTTCTAGGAGAGCAACTCTACTTCGTCTTGTATATTCTGTCTGGCTTGTTCTTCGAATTTATCGCGAAATTCTTTTGTTGCAAAAATGTTTGGTATCTGCACAAAGTTCTGCAACACCTAGAGCAAAAAGCTTACAATAGCTCCATTGTGCATAAGGTCATAGAACCAGTTTCTTTTCTATACCTTAAGTCTCAATGCTGTGTACATTGGTTCACTCAGGAATGAATATTCTCCACGTATTCGTTCCCTGTATTCAGCATATCTTTCAGGCTCAGCACCCAAAACTGCCATATCCAAATCCAAAAGATAATGAGCATCCTCACCCCCAAAAGCTCCCCCAACCTTGTGTGCTTCAGTACTATGAGTTGCTGCTGCTTTTAGTAATGCACATGTTTCTGAATGCAATTCGCTGTCCTACAATTAAACAATAAGTAGCTGGCATTATTAGTAAGTTTTAAAATTAATTTTTTTTTGCTTCTTACATTTGATATGCCAGCTTCCTCCGCAAAGGTGTTGAAATGCTCAAGATTTTTATCTTCTCCATCGAGTGCCTTTGGATCATACTCAAAGCTGCAATAATTTAATTGAGAATGTCATTTTATGTTTATAGATATAGAAAATAATAGTGGCAAAAGATAATCATACTTCTGAAAAAATAAGGCAAGCAGCAGTGCCTTAGGATTCTTCAAGTTGTCTTTTATCTCATAATAATGAGATAGTTTCTCACAAAGGGAATCCAGATTGTGATAAGTGCGTTTCTCTTCAGAATACATTTCTTTCAATCTCTCGAACCATGAGTCACAAACTGAAGTATCAAAATCTTCAGTAGCTTCTTTCCAACTGTCTTCCAAAGATGCCATTTCTTCTGTGAAACAGCTAATAATTGAAACATAAATTCTACAGGAAAATGAAGAACAATTTCAACTATTTATATTTCATAAGGCTCACAAAAAACACAGCAAAATGAATAAAAAAATATTAATAAAGGACCGAGTAAGTATAATAGCAGAAATAATGTTAAACTATACCATATTGTCTACTTACTATAAATTATTTTGGTCACGCGAATTGATAATAACGTTTAACTATCAAATTAATCCAATTGTACCTCATAAGGTTTATAATCGTAAAAATATTAGATCTGCCTCTGAGAACTGTCTCTGACAAAACAGGGGCTCTACTACTTATTGATCGCTTCGCGCTATCGTCAATATAAGTCTCAACATAATTAATAATCAACTGTATTGTACTCTGTGTATTGTAACCATATGAAATTACAAACTATTTCATGTTTAAATATTATTTTTGTTGATTTTAATAGAATTGACAAGAGCTGTATCAAAAGGAGTTGATTTTAATTTGATTTCAGGGGACTAAAAACTGTTGGTAATATCCGTTCCTGTATTATTGATAAATGAAATCTTTTTTGGGTAACATATAATGAATGCGCAAATATAATATATTTAAATAGCATAAAATATGGTTCAATTATATTAATAGAAAAATTTCAAATGTTGACCATTAATGAGAATCACTTTAAGGATCATATAAAGGTGTCTCCCGTTTCATGATTGTTGCGCAGTTATCAAGTTCAAACTCAATAAAGTAGGTACTGTTGTATTATATATTATGCAAATATTTAAACATTGTATAAAAAAGATATTGAAAATATATCTTAGTTACAGAGGATATGTATTTGTTGTTATGTTAAAAGGATTAGCATGCATAAGCAGCATAACCTAAGAAAAAATTATAGCTTTTATATTTTGAAATGAAGAATTCCGTACATAAGACACATTTCGTATTAAACGTTTATTAAAAAAATGGAAATTCCTAATGGTAAAAAGGGTTTGTACAGTATTTTACATTTTATGACTTTGTACATTTATATATCGCTGTAAAATAATATTGTGTTCTTTTACAGCAAATCATACACTTTCTAAAAGTATTTTATTAATATATTCATCATTTATTGCATTACTTGCAATTGCTCTTTTCCTATATGGGTTTTTTCCTATGAAAACTTATGATAACAGTATCGCTACATTTTCAAATATACCTGATAATATAGATACTATAAGGTAAATTATAATAAATAGTACTATTCATGTGGTAATTGTAATATGGCATCTATTAATGAAATTATGATTTTTCAGAATAGAAAAAAATGTACTATATAAACCAGTGATTAAAAGGATAGTTATTATGGTAATAGATGCTCTAAGATGGGACTTTGTCACAGGACCAATTGGTAAAATTGCAATGCCTATTACAAACAGTTTAATCATCAATAATTCAGCCTGTTTATTGCAAACTAAAGTTAATGCTCCAACGGTTACGATGCCTAGGATTAAGGTTAAACAATATAAAATATATTTATCAAGATTCCTTAAGAATTCTTTCTAGTGATCTAATGCCAAAATATATTGCAGGCTCTAACAACTGGAACAGTGTCGAATTTCGTTGATGTAGCATTAAATTTTGGTGGAAAACCTGTTACTGGTGACAGTGTATTGCTTCAGGCCAAAAAAAATTTGCACAAGCTAATTTTTTATGGAGATGACACGTGGATCAAACTCTTTCCAGATTTATTTGATCGCTACGATGGAACATCATCATTTTTTGTTACAGACTACACCGAAGTAAATTTTTAATAAGCTAAATCGTAATTATGTCCATCTACATTCAATACTTTATAATCATTCCTTTAAACCAGGTTGACTATAATGTAACACGACATATACAAGCCGAATTAGGTAATAATGATTGGTCTATAATGATTCTTCATTATTTGGGATTGGATCATATTGGTCATACACAAGGACCATCTAGTCCTCTAATAAAAACAAAACTCATGGAAATGGATGACATTATTGGTCGAATTTCAACAGAGATTGCTAACTGGGTTAGTGTCATAAATTCAATTAACATATCACAGCCTAAGCAAAATTGCATAATAGCTGTTCGTTATCACATTACATGCTTTCAGAATAGAAAAGATATATCATCATTGTTTATAGTATGTGGAGACCATGGCATGAAAGATTCCGGTGGGCATGGTGGTGCCACACCGGAAGAAACTCTTGTGCCACTGATTGCAATTGGCGCATCATGCCCTTCGACAAATGATCATATTAATAAAATTGATCAGGTTGACATTGCAACAACCTTAGCAGTCATGTTAGGCATACCGATACCGACTTCCAATATTGGTAGTGTCTCATTGAAGATGATAGATAAACTATCAGATCCCAGAAAACTCTATTTACTCTATTATAATTCGCTGCAAGTTCTGAATCATTTCAAAAATGTTGGCGATTATACATCTCGAAGTAAGTCGAATGATATAATGATATTCATACAGATAATAAAGTCTAAAAAAATTAAATATTCCATTACAAGATTACTATATCAAATGTTTAATTTTTTAGAACCATATAAGCAATTGCAGAATGCAATCGCACTTCATGTAGAGTGGCTTAACAGTCCTAGGAAAGCAAGTGAATCCATAGAAAAAATTATATTACAGTATTGCGGAACCCTTAAAGGAATGAAAGACATTCTCACAAATAGTATGATCAAGTATGATATGCATCTTATGACAGTAGGAATATTTTTTATATATCAAGTAAGTTCTTAACGATACAACTTTCAATCATCGTCCCACAATATTAACATACAGAAATTAGTTGTTTCATCAATGAGAATTCATATTTAGATTCTATATATACTCATAAACAGACAAGAGGATCCTGTAGCTACGCCAACAAAACTACTGTTCTTTATATTTTTTAATACAGTATTATGGCTATCAACGAATTATGTATTGGATGCCAAGGATAATACAGTATTATATTCCAAAGAGTTAAGCAGTGTTATTTTAACACTATTTATCATAGTAATTCTTCTAAGTAATTGCTATTTTTGTACAAAACTGAAGTGGGATGTACAATCTATTCAAAAGGTAAGAACATTGGAAAGTTTAAAAAATGATTATCATATGTATAACTATATATTTTGTACTAGTTAGCACAGAATGGAACAAGTCAGTGGATCTTTTTACTGGCAGCTTTAATTCATGCACTAAGTTTGAGTAGTAGCAGCTTTGTGGAAGAGGAACATCAGACTTGGTATTTCTTCTGGGTTACTCTTTTTGCAGTTTTATTATTGATCAGCATAAAAAATCTTATCACCCATTGGTCCAGGTATAATACTAATTATTAAATCTTAATTAACGATTTGACATATCTTTCATTAGCTAATGGTTTTCGTAGCTGCACACACGAAGGCCAGTGTCAATTTGTACAAGTCTTCGTAAAACTGTTTTTAGTTCTATTAGTATCTCGCATATTGCGAAAATTAAATAGCACTGGTGATAAATATGCTCATCTTCCTGATATCGCTGATTGGCTCCAGCAACAAGAAACTAACACGAGTATGACAGTTGTTCTGATAAGTTGTGAGTTTTTACGCTGCATAGAAAAACATTTCTAAGCTTGTACTGTTAATAATATACCATACAATTAATTTAGCACTTATACTTTTAATCTGGCTGGGTTATGTGTCTGAAGAAGAGCAACATAAAAAAAAGTTATTAATTTTTAACACAGTTATGGGTGTTTGCATTTATCTTCGACAAATGACTACCGACGCTGTTTGGAAAATACCATTATATCCTTCTTCAAGGTACATACACTACATTTTTGTTAATTAAGCTCAAAAATCTTATGTTATTAAATACAATATAATTATTTTTCTAGAGGGATTTACGAAGTGCAAATATTTTGGATTGTAATGGCAAGTTTCTTAGTAGAGGGTGTCTTAAGACTTTTTCATACAGTTAAATATCGTAAAAGAAATTTCTTAAGTCTTCTACTGTATCTCGTCATTCAAACATTTGTGATAATTTCGGCCATGTTACATCGACCTCACAACGTCATGTTATTACCAATACAATTAGTATTTAGTTCTCTTATACACAAAGTATTAAAAATATACAAAATGCATAATGCTCTTACATATATACACTGTTGGCTCGGAAATGTGTTTTACTTTTATCAGGTAATAAATTACAAGCAAATAGGCTATTAATACAAATCATTAAGTTGACAGATACTGTAATGATCAATCATTTTTTTTAAACGATTTCATTTGCAGGGAAATTCCAACAGCTTAGCATCCATTGACGTAGCTGCAGGATACGTCGGTTTAGAATCCTATAGGCCATTTATAGCGGGTGGCTTTTTGATAATCAATACCTACTCAGCACCTATTCTTGCTTATCTAACACTTCTCTACGGAGTGGCAATAGAAAAACCTACATCGTAAGTATTATCTTCCGATTTTCTGTTCAGCTAATGATCTCAAAGATATTATATTCTAACATACATTTTAGCACGTGTAAAACCATGCTGCCAATTAACAGAACATTAGCAATTTTGAGATTACTACCAATGGCGGTATACACTATTGTTGTTAGTATACAACGATATCATTTATTTGTATGGACTGTCTTCTCACCGAAATTACTATACGAAGCTATGCACTGCGCTGTAATGTTCTCTCTTATGTTTTTCATGCAAACTATCTTTTTTCTACACGACTCAATAAACAAATTATAATAATAATTAATGAAAATCGAAGAATATGCGTAGCTCACTTATATTTGTCATGAAAGTTATCCTCTTCTACTCTTTTGTTTATAACCGCTTCCTCTCTGACGTTTGATCAGACATCTGTAAACTAATTATATTAATTATTAATATTTGAATTATAAAAGTTCCTGAACAATATTACTACGTTTATCCTGTCTCTGATAAGTCAATTAATTAAACTGTAGAAATAAATTCAACAGCTTAAAAGATGCTAAATGTGAAATATATTTATGTGTACACAATCGTTACAAGCATAATAGCTACCTGTATTTTTCTCTATGGATATATACCAATAGATTCGTCAAAATTCGATCCAGCATCAATGACAGATTTGCCAACAAAAATTGGCAATATTAGGTACATTAGAAAACTACATTTGTACAGTAGAGTTGTAAATTTCATTTTAACATGGAAATGAATTGTTTTATACAGCGTTAACCCAAACGAGTTATACAAGCCTCACGTTACTAAGGTGGTGCTTGTATTTTTGGAATCTCTAAAAATGGATTTTCTAAAAGAAAAATCTAGATCTAATTTGCCCTACATACAGAAACTCATTAACAGTGGGAGGGCCTGTATTCTTCCATACGTTGCACCAGCGCCAGCTACTTCAATTCAAAAGATCAAAGTAAGACAACGTTATATGTCGATAAGTAAATGTATGAATTATATTCCATCGTAGAACTTGGCCACTGGAAGATCCAGTAATTTTATGGAAGAGATGCTCATGTTTGATAATGCTAAAATAGAGATAGATAATATATTTGAATCGACGAGGAAGAAAAATTTAAAGATTTCTTTAAGTGGTATAGACACTTGGCAGCAATTATTTCCAGAAAATTTTATTCGCAACAAGATCATCCGTCCATTTAACATTTTTGATTTCCATGAGGTGACAGTTTAATTATACTTAACTCCATATAAATATTCTTATATTTCATTGTTTCAATTGTAATACTCTTACAATAGGCAGATTCAAACGTAACCAGCAATATGTATGCGGAGATGAACAAAAATGATTGGAATTGGCTGATTCTTCATTATATCGGATTAAAAAATATTGGACTTACGCATTATGCGTACAGTAAAATTGTTCTGGAAAAATTACATGAATTTGATAATATCATTAAATATATTCACAAGAGTCTCTGTAGCCAGGTCTGAGTAATTCTCCATTCTATTGATTTGGTTGTAAAGTCAATCACATTTGCATTTGATTATAGAAAGAGGATTACATGATACTCATCATTGGAGATAAAGGAACAGGCAAACTAAATGACCCTACAATATATTCTTCAAGTCCAGATACAATTGCACCTTATATAGTGATTGGAAAACCGTGTTCCCGAATTCCGTAAATTATGACCTTAATTTTGGAAAAAGCTAAAATTTAATTATTGTCAAATATTGATAGATTCTCAAAAGCGATGAATAATTTCGACATGACTCCTACGCTTACTGCATTGACTGGTATCCTTACACCTACAACAAGTTATGGCTCGATAAAATCAGAACTACTGAGAAACTTTACAGTCGCAGAAGAGCTGTACGTTTTGCATTATAATGCAAAAAGGTTGATAGACAATTTTTTTAAGATGAATATAAAAAATAACAAGGAAGGTAAGTGACTAAATTTTACTTGTCTTAATTTTCTTTAAATTGACTGTACTCTCCTTTCTGAAAAAGACTTGCTTGCCACGTTCAAAGAGGCTGTCAGCCACCATGTAATGTATTTACAAAATTCAAACTTTACAAAAAAGACGACGCTGTCTAAGATGATTAAAAGAATGTACAATACTGTTTCACAAAGTATATCACAAAGAATTCATAACCACTTTAACACTTCTGATGTGGCAATTCAATATTTGGCCTTTGTTCTAATATTCGAGGTAATATTTTATAAAATACATTATGCAAGTGTTCTATTAATAGTTCTGCATGAATAATATTTATACAGGCAATGTTGATCCTGATAAACAAATCTGAGAAGATACAAAATTTGAAGTCAAATACTATTATTACAATTGGAATGAATATCCTGATTCTCCTTTATGTATTAGCTACAGGAATAAACAGAAGAGGCACGTCTCTCATTAATGTTACAAAAATCAAAGGAATGATCTTGGCCATCATTATACTGATAATGATATGCAATTCCTACATCATGGCTAGACAAAGATGTTTCGTAATACTAGCTCTCACGGTAAGAAAGTTTTAGAATTATATTGAAAAACTGAACTAATAAGGCTTAACCACTTTTCCTAGGCTGTACTGAACTTTTCCTTAAAATCCAAGGATGTAATACAGACAGTGTCTTCTACAGTGCAACCCACAAAGCGTAAATCAATGACTAATTGCATATTCATAATACTAATAATGGGAATTATTTTGCATGGATTCAGCCTTCTGGAATTGAGTTATATTAAGAACGAAAAATGGCTTTGGTTCTTTCTGTGGTGCACACTGTGTCTTTGGATTATTTATAATCGTGTGCAGAAAGCATGCTGCGAACCAGCAACAATAATTACTAAATCTGATCAAACTCAGAGCAATTACGGTGGAGAAATATCAATTGTCATTTCTATACTAATTATGCACCGAGCCATAATGGCCTATAGTGTAATGGAACAGAGTATATCTCACTCTGACAATCTACTCTGTGCTTCCCTATGCTTAGTCTTTGGTGAGTGCGACAGAAAACTAATGCAATTGATATTTCTGAATATTCCTAGTTAACGTTAATTTCATTGCAGGATTGATGTTATTGGCATTCACGTGTAGTATCTATCACGAGCCCTTTACTAGCAATTTAGAAAAAGCTATTATATATGTGCATCTTATTGTCGTATGTTTAACAATCTACGCGTGTAATATTGCTAAAGGGAATGTTGTGTTGTTCTTTTATCCCAAATCATGGTACGCAGCAATAGAAGCAGTGAAAAATATCAGTGATATCGATGAGGTATATTACTGAATTTATACCAAATGTCCTTTTGTAGTGGTACTGTGGAGATGATACTATTCTGGGTCAGCTGGATATTTGGATTGGTATATGGGCTAATTATATACGGTATACGAACTTTATACTCTGGTGCAATAGATGCTAAAAAATTATTAGCACATGGAATCTCGTTCTGGGCACTTTTTTCTGCTTTGCTCACTCGACCTCATAAAGTTATGCTGATACCCATTCAGATGCTCTATAGCCAAGTACTTGGGGATATATTCAAAAAGCATGATCAAAGTTATATTATTTCGCACATCTGGCTTGGACATCTTTTCTTCTACTATCAGGTAAAATTGGAGAAAGTTAAATGAAAGAAAAAATCATAAATAGTTCTATGTATAAAACAGGGATATACGTACAGACTGGATAGTATTGACAGAGCCGCAGGAATTATAGCATCACAATATACCAGTCTAATTCTAACTGGAATTTTTTTAATAGTCAATACTTTCTCAGCCCCTATCTTATCATATTTTACTTGCATCTATGGGATTTACGATAAAAATACCACTAGAAGGTTTGCATTATTTTTTAAATATTGTCTTTCTTATTTTTTGTAATATTTCATATACTAATTATTTTTTATTTCTCATGCACTCAAGTGTCACTCAGAATACCTTATTAGTGAACAAACTGTATGCATGCTGTCGACTGTTTTCAATTTCTATATATACCCTAAGCATGCTAATACACAGGCATAATGTTTGGCTCTGGACTATATTAAGTCCAAAACTACTCTACGAAGTAGTACACACCTTTCTATTATTTAGTGTAACAATTAGTTCGCAAGTATTTGCTTTTCTACATGATTCTACTAAAGCACCGGTATCAGAGGTGAATAATTTATAAAGACGTTTCGTGGGCTTTCTTGAAATTATAGTAATATAAAAATGATTTGCTATATGAAACGTCTGATTAAAAATTGATACAAGAGTACTCGAATAAAGAGAGACAATTATTTAAATAAAAACCGTATTATTATCTTATTATAGAGTATAAGACGTATAAAAATGACACAGGAGCGATAATCACATAACAGGATTATAAAAACGTTTCGCCATGGCCGATGGTTTTTTTCAAATTAGCAACGTGACCTTCCAAGATAGTTATTTTCTGTAAAGTTTTCAAAGCCAGTTAATTAACAGTACCTTGGGTATAAATTTGGCAAATGTACGACTTAATAGTGACCCCATAGAAAAAATACGTAACTGTGTATCTAGATGAAATTGAATGTCTGTGATTTTTTAATCTTCTTAAAAGGATTTTAATATTATACCTTCAACTTCGTGCTCTACCTTAAGATAGTTTTGGCGCTGACTATCAGCTGAAGCATCGACGGCTGCCAGAAGCGTTCTGTAACGTTCCTCCAGATTTGTAACAAGAGTGTCCAGTTCACATTGCTTCTCTGAATTCAAAGTCATGGAAATTTCACTCCGCTGTCCTTGTAGTTGTACCTGTAGAGTCTTTATTTCATGTTCCTTATCCTGTAGCAGATAATAGAATAATTTTAAGTAAGATGTCACGTCTATTTTTAGATAAAAATATTTCTGTGAAAAATAATATCTTTTTACAAACCTTAAGAATGCGATATATTTGTTTCTCATAGTCATGTATGAGCTTCTCCTTTGATTTTTCTAATTTTTGAACATTCTTTTTCAGACTGCTTATCTTATGAGTCATATCTTGAATTTTCTTTTGATTTACTGTTTCCAATTCGTTCCTTATCTTAGCAAATTCTTCTTTCATAGTTGCGCATTGCTCAGATACTATCATTTGTAATTTATCCTCCTGAGTAAAGATCAAGATATTATTCGATTTTCAAATTCGAAAATTATGTACGTTGATATTTGTAGGATTATGAATTTTTACCTCTTCGATTTTCATTTGCAACTTGTCGTCCAACTCCCGAATCTTATTAAAAAGTGATTCCACCTGCTCACGGTGAGCCAGATCTTTTTCTGATAATTCATTCTTAAATCGATTAATGATCTCATCCTTGGTCTGTATTTCTTTATCTTTTTGTTCGATCAATAGATCATACTGTTTTCGCATATCTTCAATTTTTTGAGTCGATTCCGTTTTTACATTCTTCACTTCTTCCTCCTGTTTTGAAAAAACTAATTATAGCCATCTATCAAACATGAAGTATTTTTTGAATAAACATTTTAATTATAAAAAAAAGAAATCACCTTATTATGCGTAATTATGTCCAGTTTTTGAGTAATGGCCACCACAATATTATCCAATTCAATGTTTTTGCTTTGAGCTTCCTCAAGTCGAAGTTTCATTTTTGAAAATTGCTCAGTTATAGTTGATTTATACTGTTCAATGATCGCTTTATGATTTGTCTCCAGTGTATCCTTCATCTTCTGCACTTCCATAAGTCTATGTAATTATATACCCTTTAGAATATAGTAAGTCTTGGTAATAGTCTACATAAAATTCTTTAATAACTCACTTAGCTTTCAACGAAGTAACTTCTGCAGTTAGCTGTTTAACATTAGCTTGCAGCTGCGGTCTCTCATCGCTGTTACAATTCTCATGGCACTGTGCTAATTCCTGATTGAGTCTCTCATTCTGAATTTGCAAATCCTTAACAATGGTGGTGAGTGTATCTATTCGTTGCCTATATATATTAAACTGATTTCTATCCGTTCTACCATTCTCATAAAAGTGGCTACTCGATGCCATCCTGGCACCATGAAAACAGAGACTGGTACTTGTAGTACCTGACTCTCGTTTCTTTAACGAAATCTTATTCATCGGAGCAGAATGTCTCTGAGTACTTTTAGTACTTGGTCTAAACCAGCTGTAGTATGGTGATGTGCTACTATCAGAGATCTCACTGAGGGATGAGCTTACACTTACCTAAAAGGCATAAAATCAGTATACTAATGTATGCATTATGGTACAAGATACAAGCTAAATCACCATTTGGCCCAATCTTGACAATGGTACCAAGGAACCATTAGTTGGTGCTCTTCCAAATATTCCATCCAGGTGTCCTGACTTTAATTGTCGACACAATTCAAATAAATACTGGTTTCGTAGGTTACGTTGCGACAAAGCGTGGCTTAGTTTGTCCAACCAGAGCCTGCAGAGCTGTACATCATCTGGTGCTGTTAATGCAAGGATATACGGTCTGACTCTTGCTAATGTTTCCTTGAAATATTCATCCAATTTCAGAGCTTCCTGTTCATCGCGCTCCCTTGGTCTTGACATTTTCTTCGTGAAAATTAATACTCCATCTGAAGTGTCTTGAAATATTTATTTACTTGTTTCGCGTAGCAGAAGCAGACACGTTTGAAAATTTATTTAACTCAATCTCTATCTACTTTATATAGACTTTCCAAAATGATGCATTTTATATTTTTTGGATTACACATTTGTTAATTGACAGATAGCAATTTACATATTTTTTTAGTGACTAATGTCCCAGTGGATAGCATTGGCAATGAGTTTATGGAAACAAAGTATTGCATTTTTTTGTGTTTGTAAATTGGAAAGATAAACTGGGTAGAATTCAGCTTGCAATTGATCCTCCAATTTATGACTCGATAGTATAATGTATCTGTTATGCTGGGCAAATTGTATGTCAAATTTCACATTAAAGAAAGTTGCAAAAAAGGAAAAAGATTTAGCAACACAATCAGAAGATTCAAAAGGTTTAACCGTTTTTGGGAATGGAAGATGGAGAAAAATAGGGTTTTCATCATTATGCGAGATTATCTAGAAAAAACTATTATAACAAAATCTGTATACTGTAAAGATTGTGGAGTCTGGCCCAAAAATGCCGACACTGAAGAAATATAAAGAATAGCAAGAAAGCTATGACTGTTCTATCAATAGTAAAGAAAGCGCGGGCAAGTGGGTGATAGACGGAATTCAAAAAATGTTTCAAAGGTCACAGAAATTTGACGATGTTAAAAAGTGTAAATAACATCGAAGCCAGGGACAAACTTTTAAAGCAATAATTTAATTAAATTTTTAAAATTTACTAGTTTCTTACTCTTTAAAGTGAATGTAACCCCTTGATGAATATCCTTTTTGTATAAAACTATATTTTACATATATATATATATATATATATTTGTGACAAAGGATATAGGTACAATTAGAGTTATATATATAATAAATGATTCCTAAGCGTTACAATTAAATACAATACTGTACAAATTCTTGGTATTTTGCATTTGATGACTTTTATCGTATTGAGTTAGTCATGCGCAACGTATTTTTCGTATCAATATATTCCACAGTTCCCAGTCTTTATACAATTATAGTTTAAACTTCCTTTAAAAGTATCTCTTAATAAAATGTCGAACTTACTACACACGAGAATTCAATTTAAGCTGATTTTCTGTTGTTTGTTTTAAATCCTTTAATTTTTCTTTGATTGGCTCTAAATGCGTGCCTATCCACTCGTCGATCGTAGGTGGAAAAAATATTATTTCCATTTGAACTCTCAGATATCCCTCGAGGGATGACAATTCCAATAATATGCTGTTGACGAATCAAAGATATACGTTTCAAAAAGAAGAATAACAAAATAAATCATTTTTAAACAGTGATACATGTATAAGAAAGTACTAATCTGTTATTGTGTTAAATAAATACTTACTCTGTAAAAGTTGGTACTAAGCTTTGGAGCTGCATTGGATTTGTATAATTATTAGCAACTTGCCAGGGATTCATCCATGTGGCTATTCTACAAAATACAAAGTAGAGAATTAATTTAAACAAAGCTTTTTCATCATTGAAGAATACTATATTTTACTAATCTTTTGCGAGAGTATTATTTTAATTGGCTATACGTACTGTTCGCTATCGACAATATTACGAAACTTTGTTTTAACATTAAGAAACCATTCGATGCCTACTACAACCTGCCAACCAGGAAATGACAAGCTGCTCGGTATCGGAGCCGGTCTAGGTTGTGGAGCAAAATGTAAAGGATGATCTATATATCCAAGACTCTTGGCTACTTGTATATGAGTCTGTTCGGAGTAGCCATGAAGCCAGACTTTTAGACACATTGCTAAGGATGGTATCGATGTTGGCAACAATTCACACATAGTTGCGTAGTGATCATACCTAGTAAGATAAGAAACAATAAACACTGCTTAATTATAATTATTTAGGTTTCTCCATTTTCAGGTACCTGGACCAGCCAGTAAAAGCGGTGCCACGAAATTCGCGCATTTTATTCACATGAGTGCTAAGTTCCTCTAGCCAGCGTTCATGATTGCTTATATGATGATGAATCACAGGAATGTGCTGGGAAGATCCAGTCGCACCCTTAAAGGCGGATGCAGCCCAAATGTTTGGAAAGACTGCACTGTATTTATCCCATAAGTCTAGAGCACAAGAGTAGAAAGTTCAAGCATGAAACTTGGAGTTGCTTTGCATGATCAGTTAAGAATTTACCTGCTGGTAAATTAAAGTGTTCCCTTGCACTATAATGCCACACCATAGGCTCAACGTATTTTCCTATGTAGCACTCTGAAATTAAGAAAGGAAAATTCATTGAGATGGTTTATGATGTTTTAAATCACTTTTAGAATATTGTGGTACCATTCAAAACCTGTAAATCTATCGATCTCATCATATCATCCCAGATAATTATTTTTAGGCAAGGGTATGTCTCCTTAATATATTGGGTGATGGTCAGAACATGTTCCAAGAACAATGATGATTTGCCGTGCTTATTAGCACTAGCACGTTTTGTGCAAACTGAACAGAGACCTAAATGCCATACTTCATCTGCCCCAATGTGAAGATATTGTATATCAGGATGAAAAGTGACGATTTGTCGTATGAGCGATTTCACCAAGAGCAATGTTCCTGGATTGGAGGGACATATCGAACTTGGGAAAGATTCCACTTCCCTGAGTGATCTCCACTCATCGTGCTTTAGTACAAACTAAAAGAAAGAAATGCTAAATTTCTCAGAATCATTATATCTTTTACAATCATTTACCTCCATATGACCAAAAGTCTGAACAAGCGGCACTACAGCTAGACCTGAATCTCCAGCTATTTGCAAAATCTGTTGAGCTTCTTGCACAGTGTAACCACTTGTTAAACAGCTGGGTCCGTTGCTTCCAATAGGTGCAAGTTCTCTGTTGTATGGGAATGTATCCTCCCATTCTAACAGAAGCCCTGTGGCACCCCATGAGCGTAGTAAAGGAAATAACTAAAATGATAAGGATCTTTCTTATAAGCCAATATCTCAACCTTTTATATTTACTTAAAAGGGATCTTAATAAAAACAGAAAACTATTAATACATTAACAACAAATAAAATACGTATATAAAAGAAATATACAAATATCAATTATCAAATAAGTTAATGATAAGTACACTGAAAGTAAACATGGTCTAGTTTCCTTGCTATCCATTTATAACTGACCTCTATTATGATCACACATTATTTTACAAAGTAGAGAAGCAACAATGACATTATTGTTAAATCGAGCATTCATTAATAAAACATATAAAAAGAATACAGTGATTTAACTGTGAAACTTGACATACGTTTAACACACGATGCCATCATGTAAACAAAATGTCATTACTAAAAATTGAAATACCTTTTCGAAGTAGCAAACTCGAGGCGGACCACCCTTCAGATCTAGATGGACCAGTCTGCAACAGTAATTTCATTATTATTCAATAAATTAATCATTTAATTAATGGATAATTGCAAATTAACCCAAACGTCTTCACTGATTGTTTACCTGTGCGAACCAAATGTCAAGGCATCCATGTTTGATACATCATTAACATAAGAGGCAAGTGTTTATTTCACCCTGATGATTGTGCAATCTATCCTTCGAAGAAATTTAAACGGTCATTTATCATACAGAAACAAGGATAAATGATTAATTATAATTACGTTAATAATATTTTTATTTAGTCGCTTGCTGCAGAACAATATTTCCGCCATGCAAAATTTAAATGGATCTTCGTATAATTTAAGATGACGCGAAAAAATAATATTAAAATAATTTTAACGCTATTCTTTGCTCTTAATAAATCCACGCTGCTTATCCTATTTAAAAACTATAGTAAAAGAATACCTTTTATGTTTAGAATTACAATTCCCATAGATATTTATGCATACCAACAGTGTCATCTTGTTTCTCCTTTACATAACGCCGGTATTTGCAGTTTCATCCAGTTCTTATTTTCGGTCATAATAAAGTGGTTATTGAATTAACAGAAAAACCCATTGAGGAGAAAAGATTTCCAGGTAAATCTACCTACCTCTCTTGGTGCACAAAGTAACTCAACCAGTTTTGACAAAGGACCCATAACGATCAGCATAATATATCCGTTGAAAATCTTTTTTCGGAGTCCAATTCAAAACATATAAACCTAGGGCTATAATATAAAATGGATTACATGTTCTTCAATAAGGTCATATTCTATTCACCGTTTGAAATATATCTTTATTTCAGCCTTATACAAAATGTTACAACTATCTAGTATTGGCTTTCATTTGTAATTACTACAATAATTTATTATGGTCCTGTCATGACGAACGATATAGGATTTTAAATTCATAGGACGCGATGCGAAACGACAGACTCTAAACAGACGTCGACATTACAATTTTTTTCCCTATAATATTTATAATGTTACAATTTTGTTCTTTGCACATTTCTATAGACACACTGTCTAGAATCTCTGCGCCTTTAAATTTCTGTATTCTTCAGTCTAATATCCTGTTTTCGCCATTTAATTACAAACATTACACGCCACAAAATTTTGTTATATTAATTATATGTTCATTTTTATTTAGTTTACCTTTAATTTCTCTATAATGCCATGCTCGTGATGAGGTTTTGCAAAGTCGCAAAACAATTATAATCCAAATAATTATAATTTATAAACGTATATTACAGTGCCTTTCTCTGAAACGTGAAGATCATTTTTCTATTCTTTCTTTTCGTTTATTATTATACATCTTCTCTCAAGGAACCCTCAGACTTTTTATCAGAGATAAAGTTTTAACTTAAATTTACAGCTTAAGAGTTCAGGAACGCTTTTATATAATGGGCCACTATTATTTTCTACTCGACGCATTTGTCAATGAACACAGTATGGAAACCCGTATGATATTGGGTAAAGATGAAAGAATTTTACACCTTTAATGTACAATATAGATATGATTAAAATGATGAGTGACAAAGAAAATTTGGCACATTGGCCTTTCATAAGGGCTGTTCTTGTAAAAAGAAATACAAACAAGCTTTCACATAGAAGGTACAATTAAAAAGACTTTGTTTTGTCTTACTGTCACAGAATCACTTTGAAAAATTACTTGTAGGACTTTTTCGAAACGTACACCAATAATCATTTTAACAATGGTATGTCATTCAGTATACATAGAGTAGTTTAATGGATAGAATGAATTATTGTAATTAGAAGGTACGATAACCATTCAATGTAACTTCTATACTTTTTTTCATTTGTTTCCAGGTTCAATCCCTGTATCGAACAGAAAATACAATAGGCTGCCAGGGAAGTTTTATTCAAACAGTAATTTATTATACAGTCGGAGAAAAAGGCGAGGTAATTCACCTTATCGAAAATTATTATCAGTTTGTAATATGTTATTTCATTTGTACAAAAATGATTTGGCCAAGATTGGTACCCATGGTCTATCCCATTAAGAAACTGTCTCCAAATTGTTCCTTGAATTCTTTACATTTATTCAAATGGTTATTGATACGTGTTTCATTCTTCATCAATGATAAATATATAAGAGTATAAACGAGAAAGAATTAAAACTGAAATAAACCGTGCGTTCCAACCATGGTCGTTGGTGTATACAATTGTCAGGGCAGGAATACGATAACAGTCAGCAATATACAAAAATTGCGATCGGTTGTTTAAAAAAATTGAGCTAACCTTAAAATTACCCTTACGTTTAATTTCATGCAGGATGCGAACAAGAGAATCGATCGCCAATAGCATTGTCTCTTATTTTTTCAAACGTAAGAAAAATAAAACGAAAGTAATGCGGAAACAGTAAAGAACCAGCACCTCTTGCTGTTACGTCATAATTTCTCTCCAATTCTTCCATTTAATCAGACAGTTCAATTTATGATCGATGATCATATTTTACTGCAATGGTTGATATTCCTAATAGAGCGCTTTCATTGATTATCTGATCCGTAGAGGCGAGAGTCATCCTTGCGTTGGATGTCTATTAGCCCTGTCTTGTTTTTTTCTACCTTTAAATTTATCTAGTAATTCGATCAATAAAAATTATCTTGTTCGTACTGCAATTCCTACTTTAATTTTTACATGAATTTTTTTTCGAACATTCTTTTTCTCCGGTTATTATTAATCTTCCACGATTATCATTAATGCGTCATCCTCGAGGACTGATCGCATTTCTTGGATCCTTTTTCTATAATTGTTCATAAAAAGCACAGAATTCGCTTTATGCTGGAAGCAACCAGTATTTCAGTCACTTTTGTCGTGCATGGATACCAAGCATAGTAGCATCAAACAATGCGCTTTCTTTTTTCTCCCTATGCAACGACTTCTCTTATTAACACTAAAGAACAGAAGCCTATCGTCCGGCATTCGATCGTCAAGATAAATAAGTTAATTACATGATTTGGACTTCACATTTTACTATTCCGACCGTACTCCAGAATCTGTTTATGATAGAAAAGTAGATACCTGTAACAAAAATACAATTCATTGCATGAAACGAAGTGAGCAATAGATTAATAACAAAGAACAAATAATTATACTATATGCGTGCTCTCTATAAGAATAATAACTTTATACGCTTCATTAAAGTTTCTCAAATATTATTGAATAAGTACGACATTGTGACTCACCCTTCACTTGTCAAGACATCCTTCAACTTTGCCCTCGTTATCAAATGATCATCGCACTTAAACCACTGATCCCTTTGTTGCCGAATGAACGCAGTATAATGACCCGTCTCGAGAGATCCTTCGTGATTGATAACGGCGAACAGACAATACCTGTTATCACTGAACGCAGTGTCCTCGCCATTTTTTGGCAAAGCATCCAAACTCGCGCTATTATTATTCCCGTTACGTCGATGGGACATGAAAGGTGTCATGTCCAGCTGTTCAGGAAAGGATATAAACGTGGAAATCTTCTTGTCCTGAATGCTGGAATGCTCGAAACGCTTTAGATGAAAGCTGGCAACAATTGGTAGCTGCTTCATCGTCAGCTGCTTCGTACTTTCCTGATAAGTCTGACAATTGCTACACTTGATTTTCGCACTGGAGCCCAAATGTTCAGCACGAGTGAAGCGTTCCAAGCAATCCAACAAAGAAGTTGGTGGTCCAGAGCTATCCGATCCTGAGGCACCTGCTGCTGGTCCAAGATCTAATGATATATCCCAGAAAGGATCGATCGTCGTAGACACTCCGCTGGAATGATCAGGTAAATGTGAGCTATAAATGAACATTAATAAATAAACACAGCTAATAAAATAATGACGTACTTGCATGCTTGACAGACGACATCGCTCTGGAGACCACCGGTGAAAATTTGATCTATTATACAGTTGCAATGATGCGGATTATCCTTAACGAGGATTGGCGCAGCCTCACAGTGCCTATGAAGGACATCGAGTGTCGCGATAAAGAACTCGTGAGCGTCTTGCTGTTCGTAACCAGCCAAGTGTCTGGCGTGGGTCCAAATCAAGTGGAGTAGCTTGTGAAGTGTCAAGGGCGCCTTGCTACCGGAGTAGAACTCCTGAAAGAGGTGAGACACTTCGCAGACTAGGCAACGGCTCGGTTGAGGGCAGTGATGACGATCAGCGAGGAAGTAGTCTCGGAGAAGAGGTGTGTGAATCAGCGCCTGTACTATACAGTTCATGAAGCACGTACTCCCGAGGTTTATAAGTCCCCTTAGACCTATACAACAGTGTGCTCATTAGTGTGGACCAGGAAGAAAAAAGAAGTCTATGGATCATCTTACAGTGATATAATATTCCTTATGTACAACCTCACTCTTTATCATCTAATGACTTACCTATAGTGGAATTTTCTACAATGCGTCTTCTGCGCGGATTCTTTCTCAATAATTCTGCTTCTATCTGTGTGGGCTCCCATGCACGATAAAATTCGCCTAAACTTAACGACTTCGCCGACTCGCTCCATTGTGACTTTGCTACAGCCAATAACTCTCTGTCGTAAACGTAATCCCCGCATTGGAAGCACAAAATATTTCCGTAACTCAGATCCACGGCTGTAAAGTAGAATCAAAATTAGAAATGGCAAATAAGCAAACTCGCGCATTAAACCTTTACTTTTCAATAAGCCAATTGTCCTGCCTTGTGCAACTGAAGGAGTATTTGATCTTATGGGAAGATTTGTGATTCTAGGTACCCGGTGAGATTTAGTATTTAAATTCTACGTTATTTCAATAATCATTTGTCAAAACGTGACAGTTTACCTAATGCCACCGGATGACTAGATGTGATTTACATAATTTATTTATCTATTTTCGTTTGACAAGTTCAGTTTCTCTTACTCGTGGAACTCAAGGATCCGCTAAGATTTAATGTAATGCTATTGCCAATTACTTTTGGTCTAGTGATTTACCTAGAAAATGTTTTTTTGTTTTAGCATGCTCCTGTATGTGACCCTTGACATAGCAGCCGAAGAATATACAATGTAGACAGGAGTGTAGACGATCCTTGTAGGTTTTACATGTATGACACAAACAGCTTACTGCCTGTAAAAAAAATACCATGATTTACCGTGTTCTAGAAAATTCGCTGATATTGAAATATTAAGTAGTTTGTTAAATAAAATTAATCATGAGCGTGGACAGTATCGTTGATGAAATATAATTAGAATTACGTATAAAAATGAATATATAAAAAATCTGCCAAGTGTCAAAGACTAGAAAGCTAATGCGTGCGAATATGAAAACATCTGATTTGACGAAAATGAGTAAAAGTGATTGTACTCTAGAAAGATAGGAAAATAAAATAAGATAATACATTGATTAGTTCCTTCTACGACAAAGTCGTATTTATTGAAATAAATTCTTTCAAAGATGGTCATTCTTTTTTGCTTTTTAAATACATTGAGAATAATAAGACCAAATCGTAGCTTATGTTAAGAATTTAACGCACTTGCGGGCGTAAAGTGTCGCCCTGTAAATTTTCTCTATCTAAAAATAATCTCGCTGTATCACAAAAGAGACCCATACAAATAATACCCAGGTCAGTTTAAAATTCGACGTCAATCGAAACCGTTTGGTTCTTCAATTATTGATACCGACGCTCAATAACATGATCATTTATTTAGTCCCTTGGGTCACTGTTAGGGCTGTGTAATGCTCAGAGTCCGAATTGCACTTAATATACGTTCGATGCGCCAGTGTACTTTTGATCAACGGTACCAGAGTCGTAAATCTGAGATCCCGTTAGGTTCGTTAGTGGCGACTCCAACAAAGAAGCCTTTCCTGAGCAGGTGTATCTGAGTGTGAAAAAAAAATAATCAGGTATATCAGCCATTTTGAAACTCTTCGTCGGAGCCTTTGTTTAAGCGCTGCAAGAAGGGTCAGATACACGCTTCTTCGGTAGCGTCCCTTGTGAAAATAACTCAACATAGCAACCTAATCTAAAAGATTGCGCGAAAATCTGCTATAAGAATAAGAATCGAAAGGCTAGAGCCATTATGCCATGAAGAAATAGGAAGTTGTAGGATGATGATAAAGAGACGTGGGATAAAGACAATCCTGATCTGGGAAACGGAGATCCATTGATCAACATATTCAATTTTTGTAAGATTACAAAAACGATGTTTCCAAGAGATACGTCCATTCATTGAGTACTAAACTCGAACCCTATGTAGAGATCTTGAGTATACCCTGAAATGAAACAAGAAAAATGTCGTTAATTTCCAATCAAAGAAATTCCCCTGAACACCTTTCCATGGTCAAATTCAAACAAAGTTACTGAAGAACGATTCGTCTGTGTAAACTCCAAAAAGTCTTCCCCTTCAAAGACGTAAATTTGTCAAAAAGTATCAAAGCAGAATCCACGACAGACCTGACTATGGTCCTATACTATATCACGTGTATACCCAGGCGTAGATAAAGACGAGGCTCTACATACCGACGTGTCCGACACTGAAAACTTGAATGAACTGGGCGAGTGTGTCACGCACATCAGTGTACAGACGAGTGTCCTCCACGTATCGTAAAAGTCGTACGTTCTTGTCACGAATCGAGCCTTGCACAAGAAATAAGGTTAGGAATAGAAAAAGAACGTGTTCATATAAAAGAACAATACGAAATAAAGGGTTCTGAGCTGAACTAAAAGTACGAGCATTGTACGGACTAGAGTAGTAACGAAACAGAATCTATCAGTAAACGTAGAAGGCAGTAGTAGCAGTAGCAGCAGTGCAGTATAGTGTAGTGGAAATCAAGGCCGGGTGTTGTGTGAAGTATCTAGGATGTCAAGATGTCTAGAATAAAAAAAAAACGGGAAAGATAAAGGAGTATATAATAGGTAGAGAATAACGTTGAAGTAAAATAGGAATATTGATAATGGGTAATGTCCAGAGATAATATTAGACTATATATCACGCATCGAACGAATGTCTACGATAAAGAGATATCATCGCACCTTCCTCACGCGTGCCTCCGCTGACGTGCTGGTCACAAAATACGAGTGGATTACTTTGTACGGTTGTATCCCCTTGGCTGCCTTGAAATTATTCAAGTGTATGCAGCCATGGTCGCTCATCTCAGGCTGGCAAGAACGTCGTGTTGCTCCCGGTACAAATCCGCCTTCGGTGTCTCCTTGACGAGACCAGCCACTATTTCGACTGTCTTTCTCCGGCTGACTCTATCCTCTTGATAGAAACTCTTGGACGTCGCAGGGCCCTCCGGAGTCCCACGACACAAATCACGGGGGCCCAGCGGCCAAACAATGCGACTGAATCTGCGCTGGGCGTAGCACGCTGGCCTTGGCAGGAGCGCGCGTGTCGTTGACATGGAAAAGCGCGTAAGCCTTGGAAAGAATACGTGGTCGAAAGTGACTGACTGACTTATAGAGTGTCTGTCTGCTTGTTGTAAAGCGACTGACTCGACGAGTAAGGATGCAAGAGATGTTTCCGGCGTGACGTTATTGACTCCTGAGGCTTGTGAATTGTTTTGTGTCTGTATTAGTCACTGAGGTTAACTATTAATTATAATGCAGTGGGACGCGAGCGCGTGTGATCTCGTGCGCTCCTTCCAATTCTTCCTCTGAACTTGGGAAGTCCACCTTTCGACACCTCGGAGCTCACGGACACCAGCCGGTCACTGCAGCGGCGCCGGCATCCGAGAGCAGCTCCCTCTTTAGTATCCCCTCCACTCGATCTTTCTTACCCCTCTGTATAGTATTTTATCCCCACTCTTGACATGCCCTTTAGTATCCCTGAATATGTATTGTTCCGCTGGGTGGTTCTCTGCCTTTATTTTACGGCACTGTCGCCACATTGCTAACCACGTTATACGTTTCAGGGGTGTAATAAGCGTAAGGTGTAATTTATCGAGAGAACAAACATTTCATAAAATCTTATAGCAACATCTATATTTGCTTATTTATATTATTTTTACTGCTTATGAGATCCCTGTATGATCTGTTTGAATGAACTGTAAAGAAATAATTTTCATAAATTTTGGAGTATATTTTTACTGTGGATTGACTGATGTAACAAGGATGGGTTCTTGTGTTTATTGATACGTTACTGGCATTAGCCATCCTCGCTCTCCAGGGTTCTTCTTGTCTCTAGAAGTAACAGCTGCGCACCGTGCGTTTTGTCAGATGTGTATTCTTGGAGGTTTCAGCACTACAGTGCAGAAACGTTCTATGATTATTTTCAGGATAATTTAGAATATGAGTGTAGGGTCTTATACGAAGACTCCAGTATCCTCGGGCTTGTCCACATAATCGTATTTTTTAAATTATTTTTACCGAGACAAACGGCGTGCTTTTACCTTTCTGGCTGATAACGTTTTATCCACGACTGACAGTCTTACTTTTTGCTCGTCAGAAATTTTACTCGAGAAACCATAGTGCCACTGAACATTATCTATGTATATTTAAATGAAACGGATGCGAATACTGCGAACAAAATGAATGTTTGAAGTTTATCAGAGTCGTTCCAGGAATAATATTGTTTTTTCCGAGTACTGTTTTATTTACTATGTATTAAAAGAATTTCTCTTATCAGTCGTTGCTTCGAATTTGTTTAGATGTCATACGCAAACAAAATTCCATTGTCATATTCGCAAAAACCATCTTGGACGTAACCTTCAATTGTTTGTGTTCACAATGTAACTAGATTATACAGGTTGGCATTTTGATTTCTAGTGAATATTTGTTGGTAAGGTAGAGCTGCTAATTTACTCCTAACGACGTCTACATACGGTAAAACAGTTTATGCAGCAAACGGTAAATATGCGTTTACCAGACATCAATAAATTACCAGTAACACATAAATGCTGCAAGTACATTAGCAATGCAAAACTTCACTGTCACGATAATATTTTCAGATATAAAATTTTGTAGAATCCCATTAATAAATACAATTGAAATTTCAATTTTCTTATAAACTAGAGTCCCAGCCACGCTTCCATCTCTATTAAACAAAAATTTGTGGTTGCGGGAAGGTCCTCAGCAACCACCGGTTGCTATGTAAACAACTGGTTGCTATGCCCATCGATTCTTGAAATATAGGTCTCACACTTTTCCGGCTGAGTTTTCTGGATTTTTCTTGACGTACATACCATGGGATGACCGAGACGAACACAAAAAAACATTCCCCAAGCAAATCGGACGCTCCGTGCTCGAGTATGGTATTACAAACACATTTCGGGTTTTTCGTTTATAGATATAGACTTGTAGCAATAATGCTTGTGAAAGATCTCACATGCTTTCTCAGATACAACAAAGTTCAATAAGGTCCCTTGTAATAAGACACATGGTTAATGGAGCCAAATAATTGTTAGCACTTAACGTCTGATCCAAATCTTGTCAATTCATTAAACTACGTATTACACAAGAAACTTATAGAGCAAATGAAAACTCAAAAGTTCAACAAACAATAA